TGCAAGGTGGTGCAACTTGGTGCAACTTGGTGCAAGTTGGTGCAGTTTGGTGCAAGTTGGTGCACATTGGTGAAAGGTAGTCCACCTTGATGCAAGTTGGTGCAGTTTGGTGCACTTTGGTGCAAGTTGGTGCAGTTTGATACACTTTGGAGTAAGTTGGTGCACCTTGGTGCAAGTTGGTGTACTTTGGTGCAAGGTGGTGCCACTTGGTGCCAGGTAGTGCAAGTTGGCGCAGTTAGGTGCAGGTTAGTACAAGTCGGTGCTGTTTGGAGCACTTTGGTGCAAGTTGTAATCGTTGGTCCAAGGTAATGCAACTTGTTGCAAGTTGGTGCAGTTTGGTGCGAGTTTTTGCACTTTGGTGCAAGGTAGTGCAACTTTGTGCAGTTTGGTGTAAGTTGGGCCGTTTGGGGCAAGGTGGTGCAACTTGGTGCAGTTTTGTTCACTTTGGTGCAAGTTCGTGCACCTTGCTGCAAGTTGTTGTGGTTTGGTGCAAGTTGGTGTACTTTGGTGGAAGGTGGTGCAAGTTGGTGCACTTTGGTCCAACTTGGTGCAAGTTGGTGCACTTTGGTAAACGTTGGTGCAAGTTGGTGCACCTTGGTGCAAGTTGTTGCAGTTTGGTGCAAGTTGGTGCCAGGTGGTGCAAATTGGCGTAGTTAGGTGCAGTCTGGTGCAAGTTGGTGAACGTTGGTCCAAGGTAATGCAATTTGTTGCAAGTTGGTGCAGTTTGGTGCGAGTTTTTCCACTTTGGTGCAAGGTGGTGCAACTTTGTGTAGTTTAGTGTAAGTCGGTGCCGTTTAGGGTAAGGTGGTGCATCTGGGTGCAACTTGGTGCAGTTTCGTTCACTTTGGTGCAAGTTGGTACACGTTGGTGCACATTGGTGCAAGGTGGTGCAAGTTGTTGTAGTTTCTTACAAGTTGGTTAAGTTTGGCACAAGTTGGTGCAGTTTGGTAAAAGGTGATGGAACTTGATGCAGTTTAGTGCAAGTTGGTGCACTTTGGTGTACTTTGGTGCAAGGAGGTGCAACTTGGTGCAAGTTGGTGCAGTTTGGTTCAAGCTGGTGCCGTTTGGTTCATTGTGGTGCAACTTAGTGTAACCATGTGCAGTTTGGTGCATGTTGAAGCACTTTGGTGCAAGGTGGTGCCACTTGGTGCACTTTGGTAAAAGGTGGTGCAACTTGATGCAGTTTAGTGCAAGTTGGTACACTTTGGTGCAAGGAGGTGCAACTTGGTGCAAGTTGGTGCAGTTTGGTTTAAGCTGGTGCCGTTTGGTGCATTGTGGTGCAACTTAGTGTAACCATGTGCAGTTTGGTGCATGTTGAAGCACTTTGGTGCAAGGTGGTGCAACTTGGTGCACTTTGGTAAAAGGTGGTGCAACTTGATGCAGTTTAGTGCAAGTTGTTACACTTTGGTGCAAGGAGGTGCAACTTGGTGCAAGTTTGTTCACTTTCGTGGAAGGTGGTCAACCTTGGTGCAAGTTGGTGCACTTTGGTGCAAGGTGGTGCAAGTTGTTGTAGTTTGGTACAAGTTGGTTCAGTTTTGCCCATTTTGGTGCACTTTGGTGCACTTCGATGCAAGTTGGTGCTCTTTCGTGCAAGGTGGTGCAACTTGGTGCAGTTTGGTAGAGGTTAGTGCACATTGGTGCAACTTGGTGCAAGTTGATGCAGTTTGGTGTAAGTTGGTACAGCTTATTGCGAGGTGCTTCAACTTGGTGCACTTTGGCGCACTTTGGTCCAAGGAGGTGCAACTTGGTGCAAGTTGGTGCAGTTTGGTGTAAGTTAGTGTCTTTTGGTGCAAAGTGGTGCAACGTAGTGCACTTGGTGCATGGTGGTGCAACTTGGTGCAATTTCGTGCAAGTTGGTGCAGTTTGGTGGAAGGTGGTGCAACTTGGTGCAAGTCGATGCAGTTTGGTGCAAGTTAGTGCACCCTGGTGCAACTTGGTGCAGTTTGGTGCTAGTTGGTGCACCTTGGTTCAAGGGCAACTTGGTGCAGTTTGGTGCAACTTGCTGCAAGCTGCTGCATTTTGGTGCACTTTAGTGCAAGTTGGTGCACCTTGATCAAAGTTGGTGAACTTTGGTGCAAGGTGGTGCAACTTGGTGGAAGCTGTTGCATTTTGGTGCTCTTTAGTGCACTTTGGTGCAAGTTGGTGGACCTTGGTGAAAGTTGTTGCAGTTTGGTGCAAGTTGGTGCACTTTGGTGCAATGTGGTGCAACTTGGTACAGTTTGGTGGAAGTTGGAGCACTTTGGTGCAGCTTGGTGCAACTTCGTACAGTTTCGTGCAAGTTGGTGTGCATTGGTTAAAGTTATTGCAGTTTGGTGCAAGTTGGTGCAATTTGGTTCAGTTTGGCACAATTTGGTGCAGTTTGCTGCAAGGTGGTGCAACTTGGCGCAAGTGGGTGCGGTGTGGTGTAAGTTGGTGCCGTTTGGTACATGGTGGTGCGATTTAGTGCAACTTGGTTCAGTTTGGTGCACGTTGGTGCTCTTTGGTGGAAGGTGGTGCAACTTGGCGCACGTTGCTGCAGTTCGGTGCAAGTTGGTGCACTTTGGTGCAACTTGGTGCAAGTTGGTTGGTGCAACTTGGTGAAAGTTGGTGCACTTTGGTGCAATTTGGTGCAAGATGGTGCAAGTTGGCGTAGTTAGGTGCAGTTTAGTTGAAGTTGATTCAGTTTGGCCCAATTTGGTACAGTTTGGTGTACTTTGGTGGAGGTTGGTGCACCTTTGTGGAAGCTGGTGCAATTTGGTACAAGTTGGTTTAGTTTGGCACAAGTTGGTTCCGTTTGTTGCAAGGTGGTGCAACTTGGTGCAGTTTGGTGCACTTTTGTGCAAGATGTTGCACTTTGCTGCAAGGTGGTGCAATATGGTGCTAGTTGGTTGAGTTTGGGGCACTTTGGTGCAAGTTTGTGCTCTTTGGTGCAAGTTTTTGCATTTTGGTGCAAATTGGTTCACTTTGGTGCAAGGTGGTTCAAGTTGGTGTAGTTTGGTAGAAGTTGATTCAGTTTGGTACAAGTTGGTGCAGTTTGGTGCAAGTTGGTGCACTTTGGTGCAAGGTGGTGCCTCTTTGTGCAGTTTAGTGCAAGTTGGTGCACTTTGGTGCAAGTTCGTGCAGCTTGGTGCAAGTTGGTGTAGTTTGGTACAAGGTGGTTCAGATTGGTGCAAGTTGGTGCAAGGTGGTGCAAGGTGGTACAGTTTGGTTCAAGCGGGTGCTCTTTGGTACAGGTTGGTTCACTTCGCTGCAAGGTGGGGCAACTTGGTGCAAGTTGGTGCAGTTTGGTGTAAGCTGGTGCAGTTTCGTGGAAGGTGGTTCAACTTGGTACAGTTTATTGGTGCAGTTTGGTGCAAGATTGTGAAACGTGATGCAAGTTGGTGCTCTTTGGTGCATGGTGGTGCAATTTGATGCGCTTTGGTGCAAGTTGGTGTAGTTAGGTGCAGTTTGGTTCGAGTTGGTGCAAGTTGGTGCAGTTTTGTGCTAGTTGGTGGACTTTGGTGCAAGGTGGTACGAGTTGGGGCAAGTTGGTGTAGTTTGGTGCAAGGTGGTGCATTTTAGTACAAGTTGGTGCAAGGTGGTGAAACAAAGATGGATGACATTGCGTATGAGAGACCATTATTTGTAGGCAGTTATTTGCGGGTCACGTAGTGGGGTCTCGGCCAATGAAAAGGAAAAAAATTGCAAAAAAAATTAAATTTTTCTTTCGTCCGTCCGTTTTTCCTTTGTCGGGGGCGGGGGAGAGTGTGGCTACACGTAGGCTATATAGGGAGATAAATATTATAGGTAGGATGAGATAGTTGGGAAGACTGGGATGACTGTAATGAAGGGGATAACCAGGATGACTGGGATGTAAGTTTTGCTTGTTTGTGCTTGTAGAAGTAGCTCATGCTATTAGTAGTAATGCTCGTATATTCTTAAATTATGTCAATAATTAGGCAGTAGGTGATGACAGATAGCTTTTGACTGTGGACTTCAACACCGGCAAAGTCCGAGCGATAACAGCACTAGATGAAAGACCCTTCCACATAGGTATACCGCATTTCCTCGAAAAATAGCCGTCCCCCGATTAGTCGCTGCCTTTCATGGGATTACTTAAAATAATCGCCCCCCTCGAATAATCCCCCCACCCCTCTCGCCATCTTCTTTTCCTTTTATCCCCTCCCTGCCAAGTTGAGGTACAGTGTGATCCAGCAAAGCTGATCAGTGACAATTCAAGCTCGGTAAATTAACCAAGGAAATAAATGTTAAACACTCAAAAAGCCCATGTCCAGTTTATTTGATGTGATTTTTTTTCATTTTATGGGAAAATAAAACGAAATATTTAGGGCCCGACATGCAGTGAGCAATGTTTCAAATAATCGCCCCCCTCGAATAATCGCTCCCGGTGCTCTTATTCGTCGAAATACGGTATATCAGGCACAAAAGAGTACTTGTAGGCATCACTAAAAGCGGGTAAAAGGTTGTATGTCATACTATGGGACTTCCTAGTACAGGAGGTGTTAAGAGACAATCAACTAGGCGCTGGGAAAGGACAAAGAGAATAAATTATACTAGATCTTAAAAAAAAAACAGAAAGAAAAATCAATAAGTGTTCTTTGCTCTTGCAGTGAACATTGGTTAAGTTTGTTAGTTAAGGAAGATACAATTGTGGATCTCTGATAGTCGTTCAAACAAATTTGGCTGCTCGCCCTTTGAACCGATTCAACGGTCTCGACTCCCTCTGTGGTATAAGCGTTCAAAACTGAACTAGCATTATGTCACAATTTTGTTCTAAACGAGAAGCAAGTCTAAATGTTGACTAAGTGGAGGGGTGGGGTCAGTTACCAAGAAACCTTACCTATTAATCCCCCAGAAAAGAATAATGCTTTAGCTAAAGTTTCACAAAACACATAAACTTCAAGAACAACTGCAATTTTTATTTAAGAACCTCCATGAAACATTACATCATCTGCTTTATATAAATTAACATTTTATTTACATATTTACAAAAATGTGCAGAGGTTTTCTGAACACGGGCAACAGTCACGTCTTTGACTGTCTTTCTTTTATCTTCTGGTATTCATCGATTTCCTTGGGAAAATGCTTTGAAAGTTCATCCACCAAGAGTGACTTGAAATTCTAAAAGAAAATAAGTGAAGGAAGAAATATGGATATGGTGGTAGCTATAGGTCTGTGAAGCTGGAACCACCTAGTGATAAATCAAATACAGCTGTAACTCCAAACTGTTGATTATAGAAATTTAAGGCAGAACAAATAGACTGGTAAATAATTCAACAATCTGAAAGAATTAAAGGGGATAGTAACAAATATTATTAATTTTTATTTTGAATGAAAAGGTGACTGGAAAAGTCCTAACTGCTCTCTGATCAATTGCCTGAATCTCATTTCCTACTTCTGTGTACAGTCGATCCTCTCCACAACGGCCACAAAAGAGGCCGTTGTGGAGAGATGGAGTTTAGTAGAGGTTTGACTGCATTTGGTGGTAAAATAGAGAAGGAATTTGACATAAGATCAATGTCATTAAAAGCCTCATCCCATGCACTTGTTTAAATTTTATTTCAAGTTCAACAACTAGCCTGCATAGCAGGCGCTAGGAATAGAAGGGTGCAAGAAAGAATGGGGCACACGAAGGAGACACCTGAGCCCATTTATTCCTAGCACCTGCTACGCAGGCTATTCAACAACACAACTGTTAACCTGGGAAAACAGTCAACATTTTCTGATGCCAACACTGGTTTCCCAGCAAAATGACATCTGAAGAATGAGTACACATAAATATTCCATGCTGATGACATGTCACTACCCAGATCTGAGAGGTGCTTCTGATGGGTTAAAGCAAATTTTCCTCATAGTATGAACAGTCAGAAGCACAGTACCATACCCAGATCTGGTTATGACACATCATCAGTACGGAATTTCTGCACTTGCTCCTCAGCAGGCGAGCACCCACGATTCTTCTTTGGAGTGGGTGCACCACTTAGGAATGCGTGACAAAGAATACGAATATGAAGAAGAAGGCTTTTGTCTAGGCAATATCATATTGGAATTTCTGCACTTGCTCCTGAGCAGGGAAGGATCCATGATTCTTCGTAGGAGCGGGTGCACCACTTAGGAATGGCGTGACAAAGAATACGAATATGAAGAAGAAGGCTTTTGTCTAGGCAATATCATATTGTGAACTTCTGACAATACATATCAATACAGCAGACTATAGTGCCAAACTGACATTTTTACAGCCTTTAATTCTTCAACCTTGTCTCATGTTTTACTTCAACACCAATACCCTACAAATTTTTTTTTTGTAGAATACTGGTTGTATTGCTGGTGAGGGTACCCACCCCCTGCACCCTCCCCCTAGATCTGCCCCTGCTCAGATATCATTTCACTGGGCAACCTGTGGTGGCATCACGAAATGTTGGCTGTTTCCACATGCTACATTGATGTGAAACTATGTACACCCACCTTATATGCATCTATCTTTCCATTTACTTGCTGATTCTTTTCAAGTGCTTTTTCTATGCAGTCTTTTGTATACAACTGAGGGTTCCTTCCTTGATCAATGTACCTGCACACATTCAAATACACAGTAGAACAGTGTTAAGACAATAACGAAACAAGCAACCTGGCAGAGTGAGGTAACAATTAAAAATAATAATAATAATAGTGATGTATATTTTCAGAGAATGAAAATTAAAGAGTGATGCCTCTTAGGAAACATGAGTTAGTTATTGCATTTTTGACAGCAAAAGTTCCTTGACTAAGATTAAAACAACATGGCGACAAGTCACTTTGACTCTAGCTGAAGATGACTACCGCACAGGTTGTGGAAATGTCAGTCACTGTCAACAACACTCCTATTCAAGACTACACTCACCCAGATGATAATACTCAACATACATATGAAATGACTCATGGGTTGAAACCTTTCATAGCTTCACATGGTGACATGTCTTGAATCTGGACCACCAGATCCCAAAGTTCCTTTTTTAAAGAGTTGTAAATAGTTTCAGACTTGTAAAACAGGCTGACAAAATGAGTATTGTGTCCTATAATCCTTTTCAGGCTATAATTTCATACTTTCACACATCAAAAGGTGGTGTGAAATTACGTATGTATGCATTTCTTAAAAACACTACAAAAATTTTGGTCCTGAAAGGGAAAAATTTGAAAACTTTACAAGATCAAGGGATATGTTTGTGTACATTGCAAAAAACATCCCTGGACTGATACGACATAGATGATAAAAATCACTTTCCAGGCCTAAAACCTCTTCAGGAGTTTTGAGAAATGCACTCTAGGGATGAACATGGCTCGTAAAACTGTCTCCTTTTGAGTTCAAAACATATTTGGATTGGGGGGAAGTAACAGTACTTACTCGAACACTTCTAATGGGACTTCAACATCTTGAACATGAGCTTTGCACTTTTCAATTTCCCTCATGTTGTCAATCATTGCATTTCTAAAGAAAAAACAATAGTTAAATTATTGTGTGTGACCTAACCACAATATTATCATAATTATCATGGTGGTATAACCCAATATGGACAATCCGAGGACACAGGATATCATCTATACCTTATTATAGGAAATTAATGTTACATAAAATTAAGATATTGGAAATTAATGTGAATTTACTGGAAAACAAATTTTGAATAAAGGAAACTGACACCAAAGAAAGGGTAACATTTCAACACGAAGGAAATTAATCCAACATTCCCCTAAAAACAAAACTTATCGACATAACAGAGAAAAAGTTAACCGTATAATTTGAGATAGAAACTTTGTACATGGTACTTTCCATACACTACAAAGCATTCAAGTGAAGAAATCTGGCCACTTTGAGGGTTATTCACAGTTTCCCTGATACTGGTAGATCTCCACCCTGATGAAATACTCCTCTTTCGAGCATCAAGTATTTCAAAAGTGTATCAAGAATTTGGGGCCAAAAAAATGGAAATTAAGGTTGCAGAAATTTAATAACACTACACTTAATTAATGGCACGGAAGTAATCTTTACAAAAATCAATAAGACTTAAATTGCATTAATTTTATGAATCATTAATTTCCTCCCATAATAAGGTGTATTCATAATAAATTTGCCAATGTGGGTCAGTACAGGGAACCATCCAAGGAATGGCTGTTTTGCCTAGCACAATGATTATGGCATAAAGTGAGAATTCGCTGAGATTTTGTAAATGATTGGGAAAATATGTCTTAAAGAGTAATTCTTTGAGACATACAGCAACCATTCTAAATGGAATTATTCCATTTTAGAATGGTTGCTGTACCATGTTTTAGAACAAAAAAAAAACGAAATGTACCAGAAAAGCAACATCAGTGGATTTGACCATGGTTGTCATAGAGTTCCAGTAGGGCCATGGTAAGAGTATTGGATCGAGAAATATTAGAGGTTTATGAGTTTGACTCTTGTTTGGAGCTCAGAATTTTTTCTGAACTTATTCCCTCAAAAATAGCTTGGCACTGGTTAATGGTACGGAAATCTCCAGGAATTCAGTAAACGTGAGAAAAAAGCAAATTATGGGTGCTTTCTGTTCAACAAAAGCTTAAGAACTTTTGGAATCTGCCACGAATGGTACGGAAAACTTCCAAAAGATAAATAATTTTTTCAATACATGTCACCTTTTGGGTTTGTTAAAAGATTTAATATCAACCATTTTGAAGCCACCATCTGTATAGTTATTTATCATCATTATGTCACGTATTATTTTGTCATTTTTTCCACTCCAAAGAAACAAATAGAAGAGCTCATGTATATTTTTAATCACTGCTTGGTTTACACATGGACGCATAGAAACATAAACAGCTTGAGAGGCTATTAAGCTTTCTTAAACTGTGTTTTTCCCAATTAGTGATATTTCCAGTTGCTTAAGGTGACTCGACCCAGTTTTTTGGGGGGGGCACCATCCTACTTTGAAGCTCTCTGGTATTCCCACCTTTACTTTTATCGTAAGTCTAACACATGGAATGGATAACATATAGACCAATCTACAATATAACATAAAATTTTTGGCGATCGGAGTAAATGTCACGTGGTTATAATGCCACGCCCCTTTGAGGTCTGAGTCGAAAATCTACTGTTGCTGGCATTTTTCCGTGAAAATCTCTCGGCTACACATAGTGCGCATTAGTGCCTTGCGCTGAACAGAGTTTCACCAAAATCGCAAAGACCCAATTCAAGAAATTCAGCGGTTTCCAAATTTAGGTCATAATTTATGCAAAAATGATAAGCAAACTTTACACGGATTATATCTAATAAACGATGAGATTCATCTCTTTATTTTGGGCATCGTTATAACAGATGGGTCCTTGCAAGTCAGCAAAACAATTTAGGGTCTTGTAAATGCGCGCAATTTCGAGCAAAGCAAACATATAGAGATTATAGTTTTCGCTATTTGTTGACGTTTGTCAGCGTTTAAGAGTCAATCTCATGAAAAAAGCATTTTCTTAAAAATTCGTAGTTTTTTTTCCTTCAAATTTTTTCAGGGTCACAATTGATTAACTAACTACCCGGACTCTGAATTTCATGGTCATTGAAAAACTGTAACATGATCTTCTATAAGCCCAAACTTGAGTAAACATTGAAGATTTTTAGCGGTTTGGCTGAGTTTGTGCTTTGGGAGTTGTCTATTGTTTCTAGTCTGTCATTATACAGCATTCTTGTTCAGCACGCGTGCAATGACCGCGCTTGGCTGACTTTTTATGTTATATTGTAGATTGATCTATATGTTATCCATTCTATGTGTTAGACTTACGATAAAAGTAAAGGTGGGGATACCAGAGAGCTTCAAAGTAGGATGGTGCCCCCCCAAAAAAAAACTGGGTCGAGTCACCTTAAGTCAGATAGTTCTGACCAAACTTACCTTTGATGTATTCCGGTGATTTTTGGTGTGGATTCATGGATTTAGTCGGTTTTTTTGGCTGTTATTGTTTGACCCTGTCACTCTCTGCATTTTTTATTATGAAAACAGTGACAGGGGTCAAACAATAACAGCCAAAAAACCTGACTAAATTGATGAATCCACACCCGGCCAAAAAACACAGGAATACATCAAAGGTAAGTCTCCTTTCCTTATTTTATAGAAAAATAAGTAAGAATAATGATATTTAGTGTTCGCAGACCTCAGTATTTTTATTGCTAAGTCTCAGCAGTCGGTTATAACGCAACATCGACTCTCTTGTGAGAAAGTTAATTTACATAACACACTCATAACATGAGCTCATGGGACGCCTGTGATTACCTTGACTAGAATTTCTACTGAAAGGATAAAAAGAGGACATCCTTGTCTCGGTCCCTATTCAATATTGAAAAAGCTATTCCTCCAGCCATTGTTTAGAACACAGCTTTCTGCGTTGCTGTAAAAGCACTTGACACAATTTAACAGGCTACGGCCAAAACCAAAATATTCTAGGGTTTTTTTTACCGTACCAAAGGCCTTCTAAAAATCGAGAAAACCCTGTTCCACTCGCTTCTGGAAGTTGCCGGAAATTCAAACCGGAAGACTTGGTTGAATAGAAAGCGCCAAATACCTCGGAAGGAAGTTATTACCTTTAATGATTCCGAAAAAAAATCGACCAGGATGAACTGTTCCATTTCAGTTATTCCCAAACTTGTTGGGTTATTTCATAAAGATAGTACTAACTCGTAATAAGAAATATCCTTACCACAAAAAAGTACATTATATGCCTGTCATTTATAAGGCAGTTGACTGGCTCGCGATCGAAGATCAGCCGAAATAAAGACTTATCCTTTTAACGCAGCGGTGTAAAGCTGAAACTATTGCGAAAAGTCCCTATACTAACGTGGTAAGAAGTCGAAAGGTATGGAGGCTAATTTCCTCGTTTATGAGGCCGGTAGATGTTAAAGATATTAAGAAGATGTCAACCACTGAAGCCATTTTAATGGCACTTTAAACCGAAGTCGAACAGTGTCATGTCGAAGGATTGGACTGATCACTTACATTTTTTGATTAAGAACTCCCTGGCTTCCTGGTTGAAAGTCACTCACAATAATCCCTATTTGTCGTGTTGTTTCCACAAACTGTTCAATCGTTTGCCCCAGTAAATCGAACCTTTCGTCCGGAGCCTTATTATCATCCGCCATCTTTGATGGTTTTCCGGTCTTGCGTCGAATAGCATTTCGGGAATCTAGACATTGACCTTGACGGGTAGGGTAGAGGCCGGGTGGGTGCGTAGGGAAATTACACTAACGTCAAACGTACAGAATGACCTTGTTCTTTATGAAAAAAATTAAAGCCAGTCAATGGCCAAAACACATTGCCAAACTTTAACACATGTTTTGCATAAATGCTCATTGTAAATTTACCAATGTAGTATTTGAGAGAAATTTGTAGACAGAAACAACCGAATACTCTCAGAAGGGGAAAGAAAGGTCAGGAGGCTCGTCGGAAGCTCTGCCTTAGCAGCATGGTGGGACTTCTTAAGGGCGCGGGGAGGGGGAACTCCCTCAGGATGGGCTCCAGCTTTCTCTGGCCTATATGGGGAGGCTAGGCTCCGCCCAAATGTGGTACCTTTTTCAGGTTTAAGGGATATGAAAAGATACTTGGCTGTGAAAAGGTCAAGAAAAGGTTTTGGTTAGGTGATTTATTCATATTTATTTATATTTACAGTGTATTTTCAGCAATTATTAAAAGGGCATGCAAAGTTCTAACCTAGATACGTGAAAGGGGTACCATTTGTCACTAGAAGGTAAGGAAGAGGTATCTTTTCTGTTGTAAATGGTATATATACTCGGGTTAAGGGTTTGAACCTAGGGGCACAGCCTCCCTGTCTAAACCTTTGTTGGGTACCCCCTTCCCCCATAAGTTTGGGCACGGAAATCTAGTTGCGTAGAGAAAAGTATTTTTGGTCAAAAACAGCGAGAACATTTAGTTGGTTGAACACATCGCATTTAACCCACCTGTATAAACTCTTACCACGCTAGTGAGACACACTGTCTAGTGAAAAGATTATTGTAAACTACAGTGCCTCATTAAAGAAAAATATCCAGTATTAAATATGGGCCTGCGAATATTTTTAGTGTCAAAACTGATAAACATAAATCATCATTTTTCCTTAAAATTTAGATGTCAAAAGATGATCACGCTGTCATAATAATCAAGCATTCATCATGATCGTAGTCATGACATTTAGGAATCATCAACACAACTCAAGTCCCATTCATGTTAGAGACACTGTACCTTTGGGCAAGTGCTGATGGCAATGTTATAGTTAACCTGCGATCATTTTTTTTTTGGTTAATGTAATAGTAGCCTGGCCAGTCACAATGTTTTACAAATATAGTAGGCAAGATAGCCACAGAAACAGGCTTCCAGCAAAGACCTAAATTACTTATTAAATAAATTGTTATTTAATATTACTAATCCTAAGTGTTGATAAATATCTGCTGAACCCAGCAAAACCACTAGTTGCCAGCTCATTTTGACTGAGCTGCGTAGCACTTACTACAAGTAGTGTAGCACTTCAAATACCACGCTGAGAGCCTGGCACAGGTTGCCGTGACAGCAGCAGTGGTAACACTATTTCCTGAACTCATAACTGATGAAAGAGACCTGTCTGCCTCACTCACATGCCCAAAGGCGATAATAAGCTGCACTAAAAGAAGTGTAAATTTGACGCAGCTCCTTACTGGTATTTTCTAACACCAGGTATCAGAGGTTTTTCTTGCCCTTAGTGGGATGTTTGGGTGTCAAAGCAATGATTATGGGAAATTGTGCAGGGAAAGTCTCTGGCACCTGGGGTAGTACTTGGTCAGAGGTAGCTTGAATGAGCAAACCATGCGTCCTCATAAAATAATGCTTCTGAGCCTCCTTGAAAGAGGTGGCACTCTCTTTGCTAATATGTTTGCTAGGGAGATTTCATCTGACATTGGGCAGACATAATGTTAACTGCTCCATTTCTTAACCCTTTAAGCCCCAATATCCACATACAAATTCTCCAAACTGATCTCTATACATTTTCTTTAAGAATTAGTTAAGAGAATTTGATAAAAGATCAAAGTATTATCTCTTAAGTGATCATTTTATTAATTCTCATAACCTAATCTCATGATAATGTATGAATATCGTTAGGAGAAAATTGTTGTTGGACACTATTGGGACTTAAAGGGTTAATGGTAACCTGTATAACATTTTTAGACCATAACATTTTTAATCTTACCCTTTTCACAAACTTTAATGCTAGTTACCATGAATGTCATAGGTTCAGTGGTTTTGGAGACCTTTCTCGTCAAGAACACCCTTCCAAAAGTTTAATAACGACAATTATCACGTTATACAAAAGACAAAATTGGATTTAAGTAACGGTTAATATTATTGTAGTCAAACTTCAAGGCAAAAAAATTACCATTATAGACAGCTAGACTTGCAGAGGCAAATTTATTAACAAGTTCTGAATCACTGTGGATAAAATGCCAGTCTTGCAATGTAAATGATAGTTTAAAATAAGCAAAAGATTGGCAAATTTGAGGTCTGAGAAAACAATCAACATTTCAAAATACCACCACTGCTTTCCCTGTGAAATGATGTCTTAGAAATGAGTGGAGAAATTCCATACTGATGATGCTTCACTACCGAGATCAGGGTAGTGCTTCTGATTTGTCATGCTCAGCAAATTTGCTTCAGCCTACCAGAAACACGACCTAGTTCTGGATAGTCATTTCTCACACGTCATTTCGCAGGAAAAACAGGAGGCTTCACAAAATGTCAGCTGTTTTCTCAGGGTAGCAAACTTGCAGGCATTTACCGTCTACATAAGAAGATGAAACGTGATCACTCAATCAACATGCAGAACACCAATCAACTTCAATGGTATTAAAAAACTGACAGGTAAAATAAAAGAAAAGCATTCCTTGGAGCACATGACACAAAAACTACTCAATTGTAACAGCGAATGGCTAATATTATAGATTCACGACCTCAAAAGAAAATTTAAAAACTACATAAAGCTGGAGCTATACAAAACTGCTTTTTTTTTCAGCTTGACAAAAAAAGAATGCCTGTGATAGAAACATAAGTTACAAGATTCCCAGACAAAAGATCATCATTTAAAATGGACTAGTGTTGGATGAAGAGCTCTTAAAACCAGTGCTTTAGTCTTCATAGTAACCAACATCTACCTATCTCCTTTTTAAAATAACACCGCTTGATCAAAAATAAGGGTTATGAGAATACAGGAAATGATCACCTCAATAGCCTCAACTGTTTAACTCTTCTCCTCATCAGTAACAATGAATCAACAACAATTTGGAGAATATACATGCTCATGTCAGGGTTAAGAGGTAATTGGTGAATGCTCTTTCCACTAAAATGCTTATAATTCACAAAGTTAGCTACACTATTCCCTCAGTCAGGTAAGAAAATAATTTACATTTGCTTTTGACTACACTTCTCATAAACTGTCACTGAATTTATCTTTCAAGTTCTGTATGAAGATGTGGGTATTTTTACTAACCCATGGGTTAGTTGGTTAGTATGTTCTTCAAAAAACTTTTCCAATGGTAAAGTTCCTTTTCCCATTGACTTTGAGTAAGAGGCTGCGATACAACAGTGGCTAGTAAAGAGGTGCACATGAAATTTGGCTTGCTGGACAAAGTGGAACAAACAACTTAAGATAAACAACAGTCATAGCCTGTGAGCACAGACACATTTCCAGCCATCGCTTCTCTCCACCTGAAAAGTAATGTCTGACCCTGGGCCACAAACTTTTCAGGTGAGGAGAAGTAATGACGGGAATTACGTCTATCCACACGCTACAGCAGTCAAGGCGTTTACATGACAATAGATTCCACGGCTACAAGAACGAAGCAATATTCAAAAAGACTCTGACTCTCCTACTTGACAATGGCACCCGTGTAAACAAACGAAATCCACATCTACATAGATGGCACATCTACATAATGCCAAAAGGTCAAGTACCCTGTATGTTTGTGGAACAACTAAAAAATAAATGTTGCTGTCACTGACATTAGCGATCCCATGATGAAGGCTGCCTCTTAACATCAGGGTAAGTCACGGGTCTCTCACTTCCACCATATCTGTAGTCGGAGGAGTAGTACGAAGATGACGAGGGTGGGTAGCTTCTAGGCGGGTAGTCCCTTGAATAATCACGCGAATAGTCCGTGTCGTATGGAGTTTGATACCCGTATCCACCGTATCCTCTGCCGCCGTACGAATAAGAGCCTCTGTAATCACGGTCATACGGATGGTAACGTCTGTCAGACGGTGGAGGGCCATAGTCCCAGCGCGGAGGGCCGCGTCTGTCGCGTTCTCTGGGATACGGAGGTCCTCTCCCTCGACCGGAACGGCCGCTTCCATTCTTGTGTGGAGTAGTAGACATTAACACTCTTATTTCATTTCCTTTTAGGGTGGTTTCGTGCAGCTCTTTGATCGCAGTTTCGGCGTCTTCCTTCTTTTCGTAATGCACAAATGCATAATTTCGTATAATTGAAACCTCAGTAACAGGACCGTACTTTTCGAAAGCTACCCTCAGGTCGTCCTCGGTGGTGGAGTCCGAGACGTTACCGACAAATAACTTGGTAGGCATCGGTCAGTTGTGGACGTAAAAGCGGTAAAATTAGATAAAGGGCAAAGAAACTTTGCCACAACACTTCGAAGTCACTCTGACAAGATGGCCGCGCACGCGGTCGTGAAGAACAATGCGCATGCTCAAGAATCTATGGACGAGAATGTTTACGAATTAATCCGAGAAGTACCGAAAACTGCCGAAGCTTTATCGTGAGGTTATCTGACTTGGAGCTCAAAATGGCTGGTCCACTTTTCCTTGGATTTGACTTGAGTACGCAACAACTAAAGGCGCTAGCTATTGACAGTGACCTAAATGTTGCGACGGAAGCTTCCGTCCAGTTCGATAATGACCTTCCAGAGTTCAAAACGCAAGGCGGAGTTCATAAACAAGAGGATAGCCTTACTGTTACCGCCCCGACGTCGCTGTGGGTGAAGGCGTTTGATCTTGTCTTGCAAAGACTGAAAGAAAAAGGCCTAGAATTTAGATCTGTAGCATGTGTTTCAGGGACAGGCCAACAACATGGAAGTGTTTATTGGAAGAAAGGAGCGAAAGAAATATTGAGAACTTTGAAAAGTGGGAAATCCTTGCATGAGCAACTCAAGGTAGGGCATTTCTCCCCTTCCTGGGGGTCCTGTATAAAGATTTGTGTAATACCTTCCTGTGGGGTGGGGTACGCCCTTGTATAAACCACATGGGTGGTTTTTGCACTGTTTTGGTCTTAAAACGGGTATAGACTTTGTCCATTTTGGTCTGGAATCAGGTATGGTTTTCGAGGAAACTATGGGAGTGCAATGAACGTATTTACCTTGAAAACATTTAGGCGATTCCCAAGAATTTTCACGAAACAAAAAATTGTTACCAATAGTTTCCCATGATCTCTGGGCACGGAACCGAAAAAAAATTTTCCATGGGATTTAAAATCCTAGGGCTTGCGGCTGTTGGTTGTAATTGGTTGATTTCTATCTATGTTGTTTATTTCAATTATGATTGACAACTAACTTTCTCGCAATGTATTGGTATTTTCCCATAATCCGATTGGCCAACTGTGTCTAGTTGGCCCTGGTTATAGTAGTCGCACTGTAATTTCTTGAAAATGGAAAACTGTAGATTTCATACATGTACATGTATGTTAGTTTGTTGTTAGTTGTGATCAAGCCACGATTAGGAAAATGCATAATGCACTATATGCAACATTATTATAGTTTACATTTTACTTACTATCTTTTTTTCTCATTGACTGTGCAATGAATGATTTCCAAGACCAACGTCAAATTGTGTTCTGTGTGATGATTCATTTTCAGTTTTTGTAATAATAATTCAAAACAATCAAGGTACCCTGCTGCTGCTATGGTAGCCCATACTTTTCTCTCATTGCTGGACAAAGCAAATGCTGTCTCTGTCAAGAAAGACCGTTGAGATCCAGGAATCTCGTGACCATGGTAACATGATGTCACACTTCTCGTCTCTATTATTGGCAGGAAGTTTGCCTTTTGAGTGGCTTATTAATTTTAAGGAAGGTTCTTATATTAATTTTAGAGTTTATTCTCACTTCCCAAGTTAGTACTGTCAACTCCCTAAGATGGACACCTTTAGACCAGAACTATGTGTCCATCTCAAAGAAATATCCATCTTATTGAGAGGCAGGGACCAGCTCTGGGTGTCCGTCTTATAGAGGTGTCTGGTAAAAGAGAGTTGACTGTATGATGCTTCTAATAAAACTGCAATGACTGTCATTAAATTTGAAATAGGATTCTTTTGCTGTCAGTGAATCACCAATTTGGATGGATTCAAGTACAGGGACTCAGTGCCGAGCCCTAGAGGCTGCAGTAGGTGGGCCACAGAACCTGAGCAATATAACAGGATCCAGGGCTTATGAACGTTTCACAGGAAATCAAATTGCAAAAATATACCAGACAAATTGTGATGTATACAATACTTGTGAAAGAATATCCTTGGTTAGCAGCTTTGTAGCAAGTCTTTTGATTGGTGACTATGCACCTATAGACTACAGTGATGGATCTGGTATGAACCTAATGAATATACACAGCAAAACTTGGGAAGATAAATGTCTTGAGGTTAGTTGTCTTTTTATAAGATTTTGGAGTAATGGATAAATCTGGGACTGAAAATTTAGTAGTGATATACTTAAAGCTTGCTCTGTGGACACCTGTTTAATAAATACACCTCATTATTACAGACAGTTTGCTTAGTCTCTTGGGAAAGAAAGCCCTTACATTTTCTCTAAATTCAACCTGCTTAACCCATTCGCTCCTGAACTGCCTGTAACCACCCGTGCGGATCCACGTCCTTTCTACCCTTTGTGACGTCATCAGTTTTAACGGTCAAGGACAACTTTGTCCACTAACTTGTGCAGAGTGAAGAGATCTTTCAAACCATACCCAGAGATGCTAACCTCTGGAGACCTAAAAACGGGAGACTGTCTTTTTTTCACTACCCCCCCGGAATTTCAATGACCCCCGGAATTTCAAATTGACCCCCTTAGGACATTATAATATTAATGATGTCTTACATGATGTACATACTATCAAAATTCTAAATCATCGTTCTGATGCTAGAAATTAATAATCTTTGTCAATGACTAAATATGTGCAAGAATGCCCCAGAAACCATACTGCGAATAAGAAAAATTCAAGTTTTGAGCTAAAAATGGGCTAAATCTCAAACTAAGTCTGTTTTATTTTTCACTAAGTATTCAATATTTATAGTGGACGTAAAAAGCAGGAGATTTATGTACCAAAGCGGGAGAGCGGGAGACGAGGCAAAAAAGCGTAAGTCTCCCGCCAAAAGCGGGAGAGTTGGCATCACTGCATACCAGAATGAGCAGAATTCAGTCAAGGACACTGGAGAAAGAAGCAAAAAACCATGTGACATTGACCTGAAAATCTCCATGAAAATCTTGTTCCATTGCTCACCTACCTTTCCTTTCACCTAATCCTAAGATCCTAAAAGCTTTTCTAAAAACTCTTCCCAACAAAACGAAGCCTACTAAATGCCCAGCAAGAGAAAAAAAAATGAGGCAAGAAAAGCGAAAAAAGAGGGAGGAGAGAAAGCGAAAAGTAAAAGTCAAGACCGCTGTGTCACCCTTAAACCCAAAAACCATCTCGAAATGTTGCTTTCTGTGCATGCCCAAACTTCGCAGCTGATATTTTGGATAAGAAGGCCGCGAAGTGTACGACCTGTAAACTGGTTTGTGGTAAGTTTTAGCTCTTTATAGCACGACAGGGACCAGAAAACCACTTGACTAGCTTCAAAATGCGTTTTTTGGCAAAATCTCCAGGAGCGAATGGGTTAATATAGGACAGTCTTTCTACGACCCCCTCAGTGTCCATATTACCGGGGTGTGAATCTATATTAGAGTCTTTTCAACGACACATCAATATCATTATGATAGTTATGACAGTAACAATTCTGTAGGGCACCATTTTCTTTCAAGTGCATGACCTTGGAAGGTTTTTGACTTAATTCATGCCAATCATAATTTTTATCTTTAATTTTTGTAACTTGAGTACTGTAGTCAACATCCACTTTCTAATTTTGTTTTTTGTTGGGTGCCCTGTGAATACTGGGGATAGAAAGAGTCAACTGTAGTTCTATATGCTGGATAAATGTAGGTTTTGAATAAGTGAACGTTTTTCAGTGAATTTGCACTCTCCTTCAGTATCTCTTATGATGAATAGCAGTAAGGTCCTCCCATTCTTTTGTTATTGTGACATAAGGCCTGGTTCTCATATGCCGCCGATGCACCTGCAAGGTGGCCCCCAGTACTGCCTGGGATATTGCTCCAATAAGAGAACAGAAGTGGCTGGCGACATTGGTCATCCCAGTCTTTACTGCCAGCATGCCTGCGAAGTTGACTCAAGTTCTACTTCACGGGCATGCTGGTGGTAAAGCTCTGCGATGACTCTAGTGGCTGGCAGTACACGTTCTTATTGGTTTGAGAAGTACCCCAGATGGTACCGGTGGCTACATCGCAGATACATCGGTAGCATATGAAAACCAGTTTGAAGTGCCTAGTGCATCATGATTTTGTTACTTTTCTTGCAGGCATGTGCTCCAGATTTAAAAGAAAAGCTTGGTGATCTTGTTCCCTCTTATGAAATAATTGGATCGGTATCACAGTACATGGTTGACCAGCATGGGTTTAATCCTAACTGCAAAGTTGTGGCATTTACAGGTGATAATCCAGCTTCTTTGGCTGGGATGAGACTCAAGGAAGGAGATATTGCTGTAAGTCTGGGCACTAGTGACACACTGATGCTATGTTTCAAGACTCCCAAGCCTGCTCTTGAGGGGCACATATTCGTCAATCCAATTGAAGGTACTACTTGTACCATTTTGTTTCTTATCTGATAGCAGATCATCCTTGTTTTCACTTTTTACCTTTATCTTTGAAGAAGTGGGTGGCAGCGCGCAAAGAAAGTAGTGTCTGATAGCCTGGGGCTAGTGGATTTTGCTATTGGGCTAGTGAACTTTGTTCTTAACTTGCCTGACAGGCAAGTGAAGTTTTTTGAGGAACTCAAATTACAGAAGAACTGTGAAATCATTTCTGCTCATCAAAATGTTTTTGGAGCTAGTTGAAATGACGTTTGGGCTAGTATATTCTATTTTCAGCTTGCCTGAATGGCAAGCTTTAAAAATGACTTTCTTTGCATCCTGGGGTGAGGAGGGTGGTAAAATGAGTGCACCATTGACCTCATGTTTGTTACTGAAATGATAACCATTTCAAGATACTGACGTAATAATTATGAGAATGAGTTTCCTTTTAATACCTTTCATAACATTTGAAGAAGCCAAGGAAATGGGGAAAGCCTTGGTTGACTAGATTTTGGAGGAAATAACTTTATTGTCAGCCTCAGTATCACATTGGTGTCCCTTCTATGTCTACTGTTATTAAAACTAAGGCAGCCAGGTAAATTTCTTATCTTCCTAACCTCTTAATAATATTTATCATAATAATTAGAGGCCATGTTTAATACTATTGTTATATTTTAATACTAGAAAATGGCTACATGGCCCTTCTTTGCTTCAAAAATGGCTCCCTTACTAGAGAGTCCATAAGGAACACATCAGCTGAGGGCTCTTGGGAGGCCTTTGAAAAGGCTCTTAAAAGAACCAGTCCTGGTAATGATGGTAAAATTGGTATTTACTTTGATGTAATGGAAATAACACCATTTGCTGTGGGAACCCATCGTTTTAATGAAAAGGATGAAAGAGTGGACTCATTTGCAAAGGATGTAGAAGTCAGAGCACTTATTGAAGGACAGTTTATGGCCAAGAGAGCTCATGCAGAATCCCTTGGGTACACGTTAGGTAAGGAAAAGCACTGGCAGATGCATACTGCTTCTTTTTGAAGCAGGCAACTCATCAATGCCTTTTTCTATTTTACCCTGGCCTTTGATCATTACCAGAGTCAAGAATATATTATTTTATTAAAAAGACTTGTTATGACATGCTATGACATCTTCCCATGTTGTGTCAAGACTATTGAAATTACTAAAAATAAATGTAGGAATTTCATGAAAATTTTATTTTATTTTTTGTAGGTCCAAGTACAAGCATCCTTGCTACCGGAGGTGCGTCATCAAATCTGGGCATACTTCAAGTGATAGCTGATGTGTTTAATGCTCCAGTGTATACTATCAAAGACACTGCCAATTCTGCATGCCTAGGATGTGCTTATTGTGCTAAACACGGTTTAGAGAGGGCAGAGAGGGGAGCATCTTTTATGGGTGTGGTCCAGGCTGCACCTCCTTACAGTTTGGTGGCAGAACCACGTGGCAATGCTCACAAAATCTATGATCCATTGACAGCTAGGTACAAGAAATTGGAAGAAAGTATTGTAGTTGATAGCCATCTACAATCTAAGAAAGCTAAACTAGAAAGCTGAAAGTATTTTTTAACCAAATAAATCTGGATTATCTAGTTTGTGCAATTCAATAACTTTCAAGGCAGAAAAATAATATATCTTGATAATGTACTCTCTGATAGAGTGTACAATCCCTTTTGTTATTTTTTATTGTTAATTCACTAACCCCATGATAGGCTTCACATCATACTCAAGACTGGTGGCAGTACAGTAGATATAGAAAAAAATGACCAGTTTGCAATAAATTTAGTCTTTAAAGAACCAAGTTATATCATTATCATTTTATGGCATGACAAATTTTCATAATTACCGGTATCAAAGTGAACTAAAGAGAAGCTATATCATAAAATGGGACAAGTGAATAAAACTGTTAAATAAGTCACTTTACAAATAATCTTTTCAGTTTTTTTGACATCTGAGTGATGACAAATTTTACTTAAACAATAAGCATTTGTTGGCATAAGGTTTCACTTAGTAGCAGGTACTCTCTGGATTGCCTAAAATGACATTAGTGATTGAAGTTTTTCTATCAACCAAAGAAATTTATAAACAATTTATTAATTTTGGTCCTAATTAAGGCATGCATGCAAGATTCAAAGCATTTTAAATAATACAAGAGAAAGACAAACACAGGGTAGTGTGTCTGTCTCTTTATTGTCGTTTTAATATATTATTTTCTTGTGGTCACTGTTTTATTTGTCTCGTCATCCTGGCTAGGCGGCTGAGAGCGTGGAACAGGAAATTGTGCTCATCAAATCTTTCCTTAAAATTTTTATTAATCCAGGAAAAAGACTTATTTCTGTGATATTTTAATATGAATAAAAGTGATTATAAATAAGGTTTGCCAGTCTGGTGCCGTTTAAAACAGATAACACAATAATAGAAAGCTTTATATTCGAGAACAGGGACGACTATGAGTACGTGATTTGACTTAAAGTTTTTTCGTGTATCCTCACGAAATAGAAGCCCCAGGAAGCTTTATTGCCTTTTTTTAGCCAAAAAGGTAAGCACTGTTATCTTTATTGAAGCAGGTTAAACCCTCTCCTTATTTCAAAATGATAAAAGTTCCAACATTTTATAACTTGTTTTCACCACTACAACTTTCTCCCTAAAACTCATAGTAGAATGACAATGACTATCACCTTTTTCCAACAAAATGACGCTGGTTAACATGTGAGGATTACTATAGTATGATGGAGAAAATCTCGCACTCGTAGTCGTCGTCATCTTAGAATCTAAAGCTCTCTATTATGATTTCTACACAGCATTGCTGAAACATAACAGAGAGTGCATGAAGTAGAGGTGTACATATTAACCCTTTAACCCTCAAGAGTGACCAACATCAATTTTCTCCTGGCAATGTCTATAAATAATAATTAAAAGAAAAGTTTATGAGAATAAATAAATGATCACCTAAGAGGAAAATGGTTTGATCTTTGAACAAATTCTCTCAGCTGATGCTGTAAGGAAATGTATGGAGATCAGTTTGGAGAATTTGTATGTCGATATTGTAGGTGGATATTGTGGCATATGTTTATGTGTTAGTAACTAGAACATTAGGTATATTATGGTGGCAGATTTTGCTAGCTTCCTGTAAGTACTTTTTCAGCTTTTACAGCTTTCTGATTTCATTTATTCTCAATTTTCCATTCTCCTGTTGCAACATCAAACTTCAGCATGAAGATTGTACTTCCAAGCTTGCTAACCACATGCTTGATTGTTATCTCTGGTTCACCGTAATGACCTTGGAAGGCGAGAGTGACATCCACTGTTAAAACATTTCCTTCTGATGGGCTCACGCGACTTGGGAACTTGACATAAAAGGGCTCTTTGGTGAGGTCATGTTCGGATCTGAGGGATGGTAGATCTACCTTTACACTTTTCATGAAAGAGTAAGGAGTTTTGGTTACAGGATCAAGTCCTTGAATTGTGAGTGACTCAGATGTAACTTCCATGGCAAGGCAGCGTTTTAGTTGGAACTGTGGAATTTCCAAGCCAAATCGCTTCATGATACCTTCCATTAATGTGTCAATCCTGGCATGTATCTCCATTGCACAACATTTGTTGAGGGGAGTCTTCTGGAGGTTAACGATGACCACTCTTGCTCCTCTTCTGATCATACCATCAGGAATGTCAGCAGCAGGATACACTCTGAGGCTGGAGCCCAACACTATGCACAGGTCTGCCAACTCTGCATTCTCAAACCCTTTTTGAAGCTCGTCTTCAGGTAGGTCTTCATTGAAGTTGATGATGGAGTCCACCAGGGGTCCTCCACACTTGGGGTTATCACAGCGCCGCCCAGTCAGGTGATCATGCACTGCACGAGAAGTGCGAGTCCTGAAATCCCTCATGTACTTCACTCCACATTTCAGACACTTTTCCATGTTAGTATTACCATGAAGCTCAGCCAGCAGTTTTGGATCAACTCCAGACCTCCGGTGCAAGCCATCGGTATTTTGGGACACAACAAATTTTATTAGACCCTCCTGTTGCAGTCGAAGGAGGGCCATGTGCGAGGGGGAGGGCACAGCTCCAAGAATAGACTTCGTCTTTTTTGGTTGTGATGGCAGTTGAACCCCCTTGGCTTTGCGTTCCCAGACTCCAGGTCCAGTTGGTAGCACAGTATTGATACCACTACGGAAATCTGGGATACCAGTACTCGTGCTGATTCCAGCACCGGTAAAAGCAATACAGTAGCGACTCTCTCGGATCCACTGAACCAACTCATCAGTCTTCTCTGCCAGTACCTCCTCTGTATCAAAATACTCCTTCTTTTCAAATTCACTGGAGATGTTATTGTTAGGTTTTGGTTTGGGCTTGGGGCGTGTAGAATTCCTTGGTGGATTGGAGGCAGGTTTAGAGCTTGCTGCTGCTTTGCCCTTAGATTTACCTGCCGGCTTAGAATCTTTCTTTCCTGTTGTTGCTGTCTTATAATCATCCTCCAGTTCTCTTAGGTCCTTTTCGGCCTGCATGAAAAGGGATTCAGCTTTGGTTGAACCAGTTGGGAACTTTGCAGCCATGATATGCACTACCAAAACACATGAAAGAAAAATATTATGATAAGTTTTGATTCAATTTTTTCCTTGCACACCACTTCCCGCTTCTTTTTGCTGCTGCTGTTGTTGTTGTTGTTTTTTCATTCAGTCCCCAGAGCCCAAACCCCTTCGCGCCAAAAGGCCCATTTCGCGCGCTTAGGGAATTTGAAACACGACAACTTTGTTGGGTTGCAGACATCATCACGTAAGAAAGTTTAAAAGGCGGAAAAGGGAATTCCAAAGCCTTTAAAAATCGGCTCTATCGTTGTCGATTGGACTAAGCAGTTGCCTGTCCCAAGCCAGGATAGCTGGCATTTCTTGGATTGCATTGCTGAGAGGGTAAAAGAGTCGGAGAATTGATCGATGTAAGCTTATGTACATCCGAGTTAAAAGGCTTGATAGCTTGATAAACTAACGTGAAAATTGTACTGGTTTTAACTGTGGAATACACATGCATTTTCTCCAAGATCGATCTTGAGAAAACCAAAACTTTCTCAAAGGAAAAAGGGTATTCCTTGGTTAAATCAAACCGTAGCCATAACCATGGAGACTAACGCCAACAAAAACATTAATAAAAGATTTTGAAACTCAGAAATCTTGGTCTATCGATCGCAAAGAGTGAAAAAAATTATTTTTGAGTGAGATGTTTTTATCGAACTCCAAACCTTTGTAAATTAGCTACAATTATATTAGGCTTAAGCCTACCTTTTTGCAGAAATGAATAGAAGTTTATCCGTTTGAGAAACTGAAAATTGTCACCTTATCAAAATTGCTGTCCACGGAATAAATATTCCAGTCGGACAACGGGGGACTGGGGCTGGTAAGGGTCCATGGTCATCATCTTTTCTGTTGGCAAACTGGCCTGGAGTTAAGCCTGGGACCAGGCTCCTCAATGGGGGTAAAAGGAAACCTTGTCTCCAGGGCTAAGAAAAAATCGGCTTTGGCAAAAAAAATTGGGATAGCGAAGAGAGCCAATAGGTAGTCTGGGGAGGGGAAAGGGTGGTGGAGCCGCCACCCTTTCCCCCTTGTTTGAGGGTCCTGGTTACTTGAAGTCCTATCTTTTGCATCCTGGTCATTTTATCTTGCAGTGCCCATACCCAGGTGGGGGATTGGGGGTTAGGGAATAGGGAGCTGAATTTGCTTATATTTTATTCATTTATTTTCACCACAGGTAACCCAGGCTCTGTGATAGTGTCACAGGATGTTCCAGTAAAATTGCGGTGTTTGTATGGGGTAAAAAAACAATCCTAAAATTTGTAGGAAATACTAAATAAAAGTCAATGAAACTCACTCTACAGTAAGTTGTTGTTGTCCTTAATGCTCAAATGAATTTTTGTAAGATCTGGAGTCCATAAGGGACTCATCAGCTGAGGGCTCTTGGGAGGCCTTTGAAAAGGCTCTTAAAAGAACCAGTCCTGGTAATGATGGTAATATTGGTATTTACTTTGATGTAATGGAAATAACACCATTTGCTGTGAGAACCCATCGTTTTAATGAAAAGGATAAAAGAGTAGACTCATTTCCAAAGGATGTAGAAGTTAACACATTTATTATTATTTTATGGTATGACAAATTTTTATACCAAGTGAACTAAAGAGAAGCTGTATCATAAAATGGGATACGTCTATAGATAAAGCTGTTAAATTAGTCACTTTACATCTTTCAGTTTTTGCAACACTGTGCACAACAGTCATTAGTGCTGAATATGTAATTTGTTTTGCTTACTTAATAAGCGATTTGAAAACGATCATACCACTTCTAATTACCTAGACTTAACAAGTGGAACAGCTGAGATAAAGAAATTAGTAAAATTATGAACAAGTAACCAAAAACTAATGATAGTACTTGCATACAATCATTTAACTATCAGAGATAATACGGAATTGCCCTTTTTGTGGATCCACTCAATCAAATAGAAGACGAAGTTCACTTTCTTTTACATAATTATTGTTATAAATAATTAACTCTTTGATTAGGAATAATCTTTACAATAAAGTTAAGATTATTATTCTAAATTATTTTACCCAGTTACCTGTGAATGTTTTGATCAATGAACTGATGAACACATTACTATATATTAATTTACAATTCATATAATTTTGCAATACTGTATATGTGCTTGTATGGTCCTGCAAATAAAGGTTGTTGTTGTTGTTAATAGTTACAGGTATTTTCCATATAACTGCATAAAATGCCATTTGTGATTTGACATGTTTTATTGTCAACCAAAGTAATTTGGACCAGAATTATTAATAAATTATTTATTAATAATTCTGGTCCAAATTAAAACATGCATGCAAGATTCAAACCTTTTGGAAAAATAAGAGAGACAGACAAACAGAGGGTATTGTGTCTGTTTCTTTACAGTTCTTTATATTTTTCTTATGGTTACTTAATTTTTTTCCTCATCCTGGCTGTCTCACTGAGAGCATTGAACATTGAATAGGACTGATCAAATCTTTCCTTTAAAATTTTTATTAATCCAAGAAAAAGACTTATTTCTGTGATTTTTAATACAAATAAAAGTGATTTTGAATAGGGTTTGCCAGCTAAAAATTCTAATACTGTTTAAAACACGTAATACAATATTATTTCTACATGGAATTGCTGAAACATAAAAGAGGGTCTGTGGAAGAAAGGTGTCCATATTAACCCTTTAAGCACCATGATCCACTTACAATTTCTCCACACTGATCTCCATATATTTCTTTTAAGAATAGTTGAGAGAATTTGTTTAAGATTAATTCTCCCTTTGAAAACCAATTTAGTATTTCTTTAGTATAATATTTCTTTACTCTTGGTCATCTGCTGATGATGTTAAGAGAAACTTGTGGAGTTTGCTTTCATTGCCCTTTGGTTTAATTATACAACACATTCTTTCTTATATATCTGATGTGTATAAGCACAAATTTGATTTACAAGCTCTGATTAGCTAGCTGGAAGAGGACTACCCAGGGACAGATCTAGGGTGAGGGTGCAGGGGGTTCCACCCCCTCCAGAGATGACCTGCCACTTTCTAATACAGCTAATATATTCTGCAAAAAATTCTACTCTATTGTTTGATATGTATTCTCAGCAATTCACATTATATTATTGCCTGGTCAAAAGCTTCCTCTTCATATTTACTTTTATAATATTTAGTAATAATTATTTGTTTCTGTCACCAGTCAATTACACTATTCCTTACCAGTGCACCCCCTTCTAAGAAAAATCCTGAGTCTGCCCCTGTTACCATTGGAAATATTTTTAAACAGTGGAGATTTTTTTTACCAGTATGTAGCAAAATCTGTTAGCATGACATATCTAACATTTTGGTTACTAACACATAAAAAACCATAATAATAAATGCTGCGTGGTTGTTGTTAGCAATACTTTGTTGTCATTACAAATGCTTCATGTTAAAGACTTAAGTTTGGGTACAATCTCTTGTTAAACAAGGCAAAATCTACAAAATCATGATGCCCTGATGCTACAAAACAATGGCTTAAAATTACTGACAAGCAGCGATATTGTTAATAATATGGGTTTTTATGTGTTTTTAACCAAAACGTTAGACATGCCCACTAGCAAACTTTGCTGGCTTTTTTTGTAAATACTTGACCAGCTTTCTGTTTTCACTGTCTTTCAATTTCCCATCATATTGTTGCCTCATCAAACTGAAGGTCCAGTTACAAGTCTGCCCTCCTCATTTTTATAATGCAAAATGTTCAAAATACATCCTGATGCCACATAATAAATGCTGTAAAAATGACAACCAGGCAGCAGTTATTATTATGGTTTTTCATGTGTTACTAACCAATTAAACTATTAGTGTGCCATGCTGGGAGATTTTGCTAGCTTTCTGTAAGTACTTGACCGCCTTTCTGCTTTCATTGTTTCTCAATTTTCCATTCCCCTGTTGCAACATCAAACTTGAGCATGAAGATTGTACTTCCAAGCTTACTAACCACATGCTTGATTGTTATCTCTGGTTCACCATAATGACCTTGGAAGGCGAGAGTGAGATCCACTGTTAAAGCATTTCCTTCTGATGGGCTCACACGACTTGGGAACGTGACATAAAAGGGCTCTTGGGTGAGGTCATGTTCGGATCTGAAGGATGGTGGATCGACCTTTACACTTTTCATGAAAGAGTAAGGAGTTTTAGTTACAGGATCAAGTCCTTGAATTGTGAGCGACTCAGATGTAACTTCAATGGCAAGGCAGCGTTTTAGTTGGAACTGTGGAATTTCCAAGCCAAATCGCTTCATGATACCTTCCATTAATGTGTCAATCCTGGCATGTATCTCCATTGCACAACATTTGTTGAGGGGAGTTTTCTGAAGATTTACTATTGCAACTCTTCCCCCTCTTCTGATGATACCATCAGGAATGTCAGCAGCAGGATACACTCTGAGGCTGGAGCCCAACACTATGCACAGGTCTGCCAACTCTGCATTCTCAAACCCTTTTTGAAGCTCGTCCTCGGGTAGGTCTTCATTAAAGTTGATGATGGAATCCACCAGGAGTCCTCCACACTTGGGGTTATCACAGCGCCGCCCAGTCAGGTGATCATGTACTGCACGTGCGGTGCGAGTCCAGGAATCCCTCATGTACTTCACTCCACATTTCAGACACTTTTCCATGTTAGTATTACCGCGAAGTTCAGCAAGCAGTTTAGGATCAACTCCAGACCTCCGGTGCAAGCCATCGGTATTTTGGGACACGATAAACTTTATTAGACCTTCCTGTTGAAGTTGAAGCAATGCCATGTGGGAAGATGTGGGCAAAGCTCCAAGAATGCATTTCGTATTTTTCTGTTGTGGTGGTGGTTTTATTCCTCGTGCTTTGCACACCCAGACTCCAGGTCCAGTGGGCAAGACAGTGTGCACTCCACTCCTAAAGTCTGGGATGCCTGTGCTCGTGCTAATCCCAGCACCAGTGAAAACAATGCAGTGGTGACTCTCCCGGATCCACTGAACCAACTGATCAGTCTTCTCTGCCAGTACCTCCTCAGTATCAAAATACTCCTTCTTTTCAAATTCACTAGAGATGTTGTTGTATGGATTAGGTTTTGTCTTTCGCTTGGGGCGTTTAGAATGCCTGGCTGCCATGATTTTTATGCACTATAACACCACGAAAAAGAAAAATATCAAGTTGTATTCGTTTTGATTAAGGTTTCCTTTTCAAGACCACTTTTGTATTTTATTTTTTTACATACCAAAAAGCTGGAAAAGATCTACAGACCTTGTTGATGTTGCTGTTCAGTCTTCAGTCTTGGGTTCGCACTGGGGGAGGGGGGGTTAGGGGGGGTTAGGGGGCACTCCCTTATTTGGGTTATGTGGGTAAGTGCCGCTAAACAGGGTGTACAATTTCACTTTTAAGCGTCTTGAATGGGGTGTCTTTTTTGACTGGAAGCTTTTCAAATAGTGTGAAGACTTGCCAAGCAAATCAGGGTCAGAAAGTAGTGTCTCCTGTCTTAAACAGGGTAGCGAAATGAAGTTTTTGTCTCAAACAGGGTAGGGGTTTGCGGGCCTCGGCGGCACACCTCTACCCAAACTTCCCTTGAGTGCCTTCCCCCCCCCCCCGCCGGGAGTTCGCAAGACTGGCCAAGTCCCTTCGCGCCAAAGGCCCATTTCGCGCGCTTTTATAGGAAATTCGAAACACAAGAACTTTGGTTGTTTGCAGAAAAAGAGGCTTTAAAATTTGGCTCCATCGTTATTCCTTGTCGAGTCAGAGTGGACCAAGCGACTGATAAAGAAGACAAGCCTATCCCTAACCTAACTATCATTCCGACAAGGTGAAAGAGCAGGAGCAGAAGGTATGTAGAACCGAGATAAAAGGTTCGATGATTAACCGTTAATTTATTACGTAAACTAACAGCTGCACCGGTTTGCTGTTTAAAGTACTAAATACTTCCATTAGTTTTGATTCCTTAGAAATGGAATTTAATGATAATCACGTCTAAAGAAATTCAAATAAAAGCTGCCATTTCACTCCCTCTGAAGATTGATCGGAGAACAAGATCGAGCTGTACTTACTTAATAAACCAAACCTTTGAAACTGGCTCGATTAAATAAGACTTACCTCAAATACAAGGTATCTGTTTGAGGAAATTAACGTCGTCAGCTCGTCAAATGACAAAATTCCTGCCCAGCTATATTTCAAATATCGCGCGTAGTAAATTTGACAGAATTTTGGAATTTTGTCTAATGGTGGACGATGGAGGACTGGGTCAACTTCGTTCCCAGGTCCTCTTTTGACCGGTAGGAGAGGCCCTGGGAACGAGTTTGAGCGTTTAAATTTACCGGAAGTCCTATCTTTTGCGTCTTTTGCGACATTTCTGGACGATCCAAGAAGACCGAGAAGAGCGCTGTACATACCTAGGGGGTGAGGGTGGGGGTGGGGGGCTGATAGGGATGGGTAGCAAGGTATGGGTTGGCATTACGAGGTGAGGGTGAAGTGTCTAGTGTCATAAAACGCAGCAATTGACAAAAACTCAGAATTTCTGCTTTACTTTTTACTGAAGAATTTCATGCAAAGAATGGTGACACAAATCAATAGATTTCATCCCCAATTTTTCACATATAATTAATTATTAAGAAATAATACTATAATGTAACAGTATCAATAATAATAACATTATGTAAAAGATTTTTACTACTATGCATTATTGATAAAAAGTTTACCAAATTTAGTTACTGGAGTTACATGAAAGTAAGGCCTCAATTTTCTGCACACTAAAGTTTTTTTTAGTATCTTGTAAGTCGTTTTTACATATTCTATTAAGGCACTTAAAACTGTCAGTATGCATTGTTGCACTGAGTAAATAAATTTTGCTGACATTAAATAACACCTAGATTTAGATTTCTAGAGCTTTTGGCTCATTTTTCTCTAAATCTTGCTCTGACCATGGCTTTTCTTTTTTAAACCTAGGACTACTTTCGCATGGTTCACCTAAAGATTCCTTTCTTTTTTGTCAAAAGTTACTTTTAGTACTTTTTCAGGGACCATTGTCCATTAGTGAGATCATACTCTGTGCAAAATATGGTCTTCCCAGGACATTTTATGGTATCACTGAATGACATGTTTGGCTCACCATAATGGCCATGGAAACCTAACTCAATGTCTAAAATCAAGGTTGTTTCTTCCGAGATAGTGAGCCCTTTTTTAAATTGCATTTCAAGAGGCTCCTTAGAAAGGACTTTTTCATCAATGACTTTCTTGGTTCCTTTAACTTCCTGAGATGCACGCAGTGACACATGCTTGAAGAATGAATATGGGGTATCACATACCAGGTCAAGGCCTTGAATCAAGATTTTCTCAGGGCTTAATTCAATGGCGAAGCGTCGCTGGACTTTGAACGGTAGGACCTCCAAGCCAAGCCTATCCAGAAGACCTTTCATAACAGCATCTATCTGGCTGTGTATTTCAAGGGAGCTGTAACGACTCAGAGGTGTTTTCTGTAGATTGCAGATGACCAGCTTCTGTTTGCGACGGACAGCCTCAGCAGGAATGTCAGCAGCAGGATTGACACGAAGGCTGGAACCAAGCACGATGATCAGATCAGACTTCTTTGCTTGCCGATAAGACTCCTCCAGTTCATAACTGGGAAGGCTTTCCCCAAAATTTATGATTGAGTCCACCAGTGGCCCATGACATTTTGGGTTATCACAAAATCGGCCTGTCTTGTGATCATGAACCCACCTGGCAGTGCGTACATTGAAGTCTCTCAGATACTTAGCTCCGCATGTAGTGCATTTCTCCAAATTTGTATTTCCATGAAGTTCAGCCAGCTCGTTACCGGGGATGCCGCTGCGTAGATGGAGACCATCAACATTTTGGCTCACAGTAAACTTGACCATGCCCTCCTTATGCATCTGTACTATAGCCATATGGGAAAGTGACGGTATGGCTTTTAGCATGTTGGGAAGAGCTGCTCCTGGCTTGCGTGACACACCTTTTGCTTGTAACTCCCAGACACCGGGGCCTGTCTTAAGCACAGTGTTCATGCCACTGCGGAAATCAGGGATCCCAGTGCTTGTACTTATTCCTGCACCAGTGAACATTACACAGTGTTTACTCTCTTTTACCCATTTTGCAAGAAGGTCAATCTTCTTCTCCAGTTCTTCATCAGTGTCAAAGAACTCTTTTTTCTCATCTTCCTCCCCAATGTTTGGGTAGTTTCTTCCAGTAGGAGATGGCTTAGGGACGTTGCTACTGGGTTTCACTGAGGAAGGTTTTGCTTGAGCAGAACCTATGCGGAAGAAGTAAGACAGAATGAAGGTTATGTTGTCAAAAGCTGTGTGTGACTCAAATGAAAACGTAGTTTCTCTTTCAGCTGTCTTTGGTACACTGTTGACATTGTCAAGGAATAAAAACATAACATGTGTACATGCATACAATTTGTTACAACACAGAACCGTAGATGAGACAAGAAGTTCTCCATTTGGTTAAATACGTACACATGTAAACATGGAAAAATTATTATTAAGTAACCAAAATCAGAGTGAGTGTGATGTTGGTACATAAATGAAAACAAAAAGCGAGAGAGAAGTTGGAACAGTGTAAACCATCGTTTTATTTATTTTTTGATTATTATTTGGCTTGTTTTATTTTCCTAAAATAATGCTAGATTCCATACTTAAATCAGTTTGATTCTTCAATTATGACACCCTGAAATTCTTGTAAAATATTCTAGTCAGGGTACAGTAGTGCAAATAATGCATAAAACAGAAGTGCTAGTCGCTTGTTAATAGTCCTAGTTTTACCAGATGAGTCTACAATCTATGATTGCAAAATAATTTTATCTGAGAAATCTTTCAAAAGAGAATAAGTTCAGTCCCTGACTCTATGTTCAATGCTGTTTTATTCCGAAGATAACAAAATGTCTGATGAAATATCAGTGCAATGGTTCATGAGACAGCACTTTTACGCATCCATTGCTTTAGTGCAGTGAGGGATCTGATCAATTACCCTGCTTTCCATTGCTTGGTTTTCCTTGTTGATGTCCCTTAGGCAGGATTTTTATTCCATCTACAAGAGCTGCTGCTAACTTCTCCATGTCTCTTGCTGTCCTTTCTTTGTCTTCCTTCAGCTTTCGCTCTGTAGTGGGGAACACCCCCTCCCTGATAACTCGTTCGCAAACAAGCTTTTCATCTTCCCCCTCTTTTTCCCAATGAACCAAAAACTGGGAGTCTTGAGAAACCCCTTCTGGGAAAGTGACAGGATGATTCACAGGGGATTCACCAAGTTGACACACTTCAATGTTGCTTGAGCGGTGAAGATAAATAGACTCAAACTGGGAGTGTTGCAGAATATTTATGGTCAGATCTGTTGTGCTGTCAGCCATTATGGTTGGGATCTGCAAAAAGAAAACATAATTATAGGAATGTAGACTAGTACAATGTCTGTCAAAGAAACTCAGCAAGGAAACAAACTAGAGCTTTCCTCCTCCCTCCCTCGAAAAAAGGAACACTTGAAGATAAAACAAACTGTGGTCAATCCTGGCCACATTCTTTCATTTGCTTGTCCCCTGAGGTGAGAAACCTTCGAAACGAGGTAAGGTCAGTTAGTGGAAATTGAACTTCTTACAAGTGTCTCAAGGGGAGGAGGGGAGGAAAGGAGTGCAAATCTCCCAATTTTAAGTGACAGGGATGATTGAATGGGGCCAAAAATCGAAACCAAAAAAAAGTCCCATATGGCTTCCAACAAAACCCAAAAAAATTCCTGGACTAAAAATCAACCCCCCAAAATTCCATGCTGAATTTCTGAGCTTTAAAAATCTCCAGAAAGGAAAACAAGTTTGGTTGTCCTTAAATCGCAGAACAACATGGGCACCATCATGAATCAAGCCACCAAAAAAAATACTTGCCAAATTTTCCTCCCCAAAAAAATCCCGGAATCGAAAATTTCAAACCCCAAAAATCCTTTAATCATCCCTGTCACTTGAAATCCAGACTACCCTCCTGACCCTGGGATAAATCTTCCCTTCCCCCCACTTTTTGCATCAATTTCTCCCTCTTACCCACTGTTTTTTGCCATTTCTCCCTTCTCCCTATAGCTTTCCTTTCCCCTGGGGTTTGTACCGGTCATGGAAATCCTGGAAAGACACAGAATAAATTTTAAGAATTTCATTTTCCAGGCCTGGAAAGTCATGGAATTCAACAGTTGGTCCTTGAAAGTCATGGAAAATTAAAGTTTTGTGTGGTAGATTAGTTACTGCAGATGATAAAGCAAGGACATTGTAAGATAGAGAGGAGTGATTGAATAGTATGAATGTCACACATTTTGGTGGACATTAGAATTTGTGTCTGTTGAACTGTCAGGTCAAAAAATACCCTAAAACAAGGGAAGTTGTGACAATTTTTGAAGGGGACAGCCAAACCTAAGGTCAAGGAAAAAGTCATAGATTTTGAAGAGCTCAAAGGAATACGAACCCTGCCCCGTTCAATCCCCACCTCACCCCACCCCTGACCCTCCTCAAACATTTCTGCAGTACTTTCTAGTTTAAAGAAACTGAAATACAGTATTAAACTTTTAAACTCGATTTGGCCCTTTTTTTTTCTTACCTGACCACCGTCAAGTAAATTCAGCACAACCTTCTTGCATGACACAAACTCCAGTAAACCTGAAATTAGCGTGGATTTTACGTCCAGAACCAAATTAGTACAGTCTTCCAGAAGAACTTTAGCAGCCTTTTCACTCAAGCTGGCGTGGCAATCTGCGCAGTCCTTGACAAACAATAGAGCTCCTTTTGAGTCTGCCTTCAGCTCAATGTCTTCTTCTTTTCTATTGCTGATAGTGTGAACTGGTCTTTGGGCTAACTTAAACACTCCTTCTAGGTTTGAAAAAGCCATGATTTCAGAAGTGGAACGTGCACCAGTGTGCTCTCTAGCTTCTCTCACACGAAATTTCGCAGATGATCCTTCTTGCAGCTGACAAATTACAAGTCTTTCTTTCGAAAAGCAGAAATATACAGCAGTGAGAGCACACAAAAGCCCTGAGGTTGCAGAATTATTTCTGTAAATTACAGCTGATAAAAAGGTGCATATTTTAGGAACTTCGTCATTCAGTTTTGTTTTTCCTTTGGGAAGGCTCGGTAGCTAAGTCACGTGGCCCTACAGCAGAACAACATGGAGGTGGAGGAAAATTCTTTGGAGTCTCCGTATGTACTTTAATTTCCTGTTTAATATGTTTTGACAGTTAAAGTATTTCTGTCTGTATAGTGTAAATTGTGTGTACTGTTTGCATGAGTGATAAGAAGTGAAACTTTTCGGTGGAGATGAAATTATGTGCCTTGAACAGTGCTTTCATTTTGCTTCCTAAGTCTGCATGTTAAACTCTGCGTGCATTCTCCATCTTTCCCGCGCAAAATATTTGTGGCCACAAAATGTTTTAAAACTTGAAGAAAGTCTACAGTAACTTGATAGGTTTTAATGATGTGGACAAAGAATCAAAGAAAAGAAGACAGAGAAGGCGCAGGTTACAGGGTTGCCAGAAGCAAACTGAAACATTGTGTGAATAGACCATTTCACGGTTTTTTCAACTGTTGACATGAACAAGTTAGGGTGAGTCCGACGACAATACTGGAACGAGCGCCTTAACATTAGCAAAATTCCCAAATTTAAAAGTGATACGTCTTTAGCGAGAGAAGATATAGCTCTGCAAGGTTGCAAAAATTTACAGACGTTTGTATGGTGGGGAACAAGATAAATAATGATTTAGAGGTAGCACATCCACATAGTGGTTATTCTACCCTGTGAGCAGAGGTTACATTTCGCTGTGGGAGCTGGTGTGCGAAAAGTAGCCAAATCCGTCCTGAAATCTGGACAAATAAATTAAAAAACGGGTTTTTTCCTGTTCTTGACCGGTTTAGAGCATTGCGTGAGTCTTGCGTAGCAGATCAAAGTTGTCGCATTTTTTTATTCCCGCGATACCCACGCCATTTGATGAGAAACCTGACAATTAATTTTGCTTGCGAATCCTGTGACGAATTTCGTGCATGCACGATAGAAAATTGAACGGTTGTCAGCAGAGACTACTTTTTGCACGTCAGCTCACACAGCGAAAATGTAGTCTCTGCTTGCAGGGTAACCTTATTCCTGGTTGAATTGGAATTTGGACATGTTAGTTTTTGAGGAGAGGATCTAACCAGAATACTCAGAGAAAAACCTCTCAAAGCAAGGAAAAGAACCAACAACAAACTCTACCCTAGTATGCATACATGCCAACTCTCCTGGATTATCCGGTAGTCTCTCAGCGATCTCCCGCTCTCCCATACGGGTCACCATACCTCCCGAATGAAATCATCTTTTGTGGATAGCGTTGTCCAACTTTTGAACAACTGGGGCCTGGTCCAATCTTAGCCCAAACAGAAACTATGGACTTTCCCCACCAATGTTGAAGATCTAGATAATTTACATAATTTAATACAGTTTTTGTTTGATTCTATAAAGGATGAGCAGAAAGTGTGAAAACATCTTTTAAAATTTGGTTGAAACACATTGTTTTTTTCTTTGACAATGCCAAAGAAAATAATTCATCCCAAGCTGAATTACTACTAATTTTTTTTGAAAACACCGTGTTCTTTTTTGCACTATGTGTTTTACTTATGAAGTAGTGTGGTATAACAAGAAACCTTTTACATTTGAATTTACTCAACATTTGTAAGAGCAAAGAATTTGTTATACAGTCTACTGAATTTTGGATTCAAAAAGTATTAAAATGTTTTGCTTCTTTTTCAGAATGTTAGTAGAAAACAAGCCTGACTGGTCTGGAAGATGGAGCCATCTTCAGAAACTACTGATGAGGAGTGGACCTTTAGCGCATCAAGACTTTGAACCAGGATCTCAGGTGAAAATATTTAGCAGAGAAACAAATTTTTATCTATTTTTCCCAGAACCAAGTTTATTATTTATGGATTATCCCGAGGATCACTCTGTAAGATTAATAAAATATGGGACTGATCTGCAAAAACAGAAGGATTTGCAATATTATTATTGTCTTTGAAACATCTAAACCAAAAATTGATTGGTGACAATTTTTGTTTTGAGAACATTTCTCTGCATTCATCTGGAAACTATATTAACCCTTAACCGGCCATCACATCTGTCATTACTTAATGGAGAGAATAATGGCTTAACGACAAATGATTGATGAGAAAAACTCCTTTTTCATTTAGTGGGTTTGTCCAGTTTTTATCCTGGACAAATTTTTTTCCGTGGAGTGAAACCTGTGACTTAGTTTCTACATCAGATCAGGGCTTGGTAAAATTTTGAAATCCAGCTTGTCCTTTAGATGAGTAGTTCTCATATTTTGCATGCCAGGGGTCAATGGATTTATGGTTGGGCAGTGCTCGAGCATCACCTGGTGGTCCCTGGTGCTCAGCTTTTGCTGTCAGGCATGTGCTAAGATTTAGGAGACTCACCGAAGCTTAGCTCTATTTATATAATAGTCAACTCTCTCTTAGTGGATATCGCTATGAGATGGGCACCTCGCTTCTCCAAGATGGATATGTTACAGGTAAAAATTAAATTCAGGTCTCCTAGCCCTAATTCGTGAATGTAATATTAGGGCTAGCAGACAAAGGAAATGACGACCACTAGGTTTCGAAACTTTAACCTGAACTTTACATATTCTTTCCTTCATTTATGAAAGCTGCATAAAAAGAACATTTATTTATTTAATCTAGGTTAATGTTATTGTGACTTTTTTGGTTTTCCTACTGCAGGTTCTTGAATTCATGCTGGAATCAGCCAAAATCTTAGTTATTGGAGCTGGAGGTTTAGGATGTGAACTTCTTAAGGATTTAGTGAGTTTGTAATGTTGGTGCTGGAACTGAAAATACACGTAATTCTGCTGCAGCATTTTGTTACATGTAGTGAAGAGTTGCAGTACAGTAGTCTTTAGAAGTGTTACCGTAAAATTCCGAAAATAAGACCCTCCATGTATAAGCCCCTCCAAATATAAGCCCCTCCAAATATAAGCCCCCTAAGCCGGTAATGCAAAAAACACTCCTTTAAATGGCCCCTCCAAAATAATATAAGCCACCCAGGGGCTTGTACTTGGAAAATTTCCCTCGACTACAAAGTAAAACAAAGCAAAAACGGTAAATTTACTTCCAACTATAAGAATAGCCCAATCGATTTTGAAACGCAAATTTCCCTCCATAGATAAGCCCCTCGGAATATAAGCCCCTCCAAAAACAAGCCACTCAAAAAGGGTCTTTGAAAAATATAAGCCCCGGGGCTTATTTTCGGAATTTTACGGTATTTTTCTGTTAACTGACTTCAAGTGAAATACAGTTACATTAAGACAGAATCCAACAGAAAATTGAGGAATTTTAATTTTCACTGGACAAAAACCTTGTAACAGAAAAATTTAAAGAATATCGCATTCATTTTTACATTTTTTATCCAAGGGCTAAAGATGTAATTAATCATCTGTAACAACACCAAAGAAAATTTCTCATGGGATTCCAAGAAAATGAATACATGTCTAGTTTCACAAGAATTGTGAAAAAACAGGTAAAATTCTGAAAATTTCATGTGTAAGATGTAATTTTGTGAAATTTGACATTCATTTTCTTGGGCTTCCATCAGACATTTTCTTTGGTGTTATTTACAGATGACTAATTACATCTTCAGCCCTTGAAGAATGTTTAAACAAATGCAAATATTCTTTAAATTGTTCTGGTACAAGGCTTTTGTCCACTGAAAATTAAAATTACTCAATTTCCTGATGGAGTCCGTCTTAATTTTTTCCCTATTATAACATTTTGATGCTCAAAAACATAACATTATTCAAACATGTTCTTATGAGATTTTTTTAGAACCTTTTTTTGGATGTTTGAAAAATCCAGGTTAAAATAAGTTATTACTAACAAATAATACTATTGCTGGTTGGAACAACCTTGTTTGTGATATATTGTAAAGTTGGCATGTATACTTAAAATTTGACTCAATGTCTGTTTTTAACTCTCCAGGCACTAAGTGGATTTAGGAACATAGATGTTATTGATATGGACACCATAGATGTATCAAATTTAAATAGGCAGTTTCTTTTCAGGTATATTAATAAAAATCCAGTTCTACTTAATGTTGCATAATATTATATGATATATGTATCCAATGTCAGAATTACATTATGAATGCCCTTCTCTTCCCCTGTTGGTGGTCCTGTGTTTGTGGTCTGTGTTAGTATTCCTGTGACTGTCTTAGTAACTGTACAAGAAATGTGACCCTATTTGGGAAAAGGGGGATTGGGCAATTCCAGAAAATATCCATACCCAACCACGGACGGCTTCCATGTTTTATCCCCCCCTTGCCTTCGGAAATTCCAAAATGCGTTACCCCCCCATGCCCTCAGAATTCCATAATCGTGAACCCCCCCTCCCCTTCAGAATTTCCGTTTTTTGGAAGTACATTTTCAACTTAGCAACGCCTATATGAACAAACGAACATGACTTTATGCCTCCTCAAGGCTGTGATCTAGCGGCGCCAGGCGACAAGCTTTCAGACTCTAACCTACCGCTAGTAGACAGGCTGTGCAAAAAACCCCTTTTTAGGTCCGAATTTGGCAATAAAAATAAACACCACTAACGGCAATTTTACTCCTCTTTGTTTTCTTGTGCTGTTTTGACGTTTACAAAGCAAAATAGCTCAAATTCTGACCGTTAAAATCTTTCGGTGGTCAAATACACCGTCGAGGCGTGTTGCGTCCTTTTATACGTCATGAAGTGTGCACGAAAAGTGTTCTAATCTGACAGGCGTTCCTTGGAAGCCAGCGACTGGTGCGAGTTTTTTTACTGTTCATCGGACTGGAGTAACACGAAACTTGCAAGCAGTAAGATACATATTCCGTTTTTTTTTTCATGTGACAAGAAATTCATCAAGGTTAATGTGAAACCCACGTTTTACTGTTCACTTCTATAAGTTATGAGCGTAAACACGTGTCTGATCTTTCGATGCTTGTCTTCTGCTTCCGCGGTCATACGTTCGTGGTTTATTTACGAACTACAAAAGTCCACAACAATAGCGTTTGCAAGGAACTCACTCTACACTTTCTACTCCAGAAATCCCACCTGTGGAATTCCGCCATGCCTTCGGATTTCCAATCGTAAATACCCCCCCATGCCCTCAGAATTCCATAATCGTGAACCCCCCCTCCCCTTCGGAAATCCTAAAAGCCGTCCGTGGTATGGTATGGATATTTTCTGGAATCGCCCATTAAGGTGAATTTAGAAAACAGCGTTCTAACGCGTTTAATCGGCTTCGTCGAAAAGCGTGGAAACGCATTTTGTATGCGTTTAAACAGATTTTTAATGCGTTTAAACAACCGGCTCTGTTGCACTTCAATATTGCATTTCGTATGATGGAAAGTAAGCTAATTTAGTTGTATTTGAATGAATAAATTACCAGTGTTTTATTATATGAAATGCGAAGATTAGGGTGAATGTCTTCCAACTCACTGTGTCAAAATGATCAATTCACCAGCAACTTACCTTTTGCCTTTCCTTTCTACACAGCAGATGGGTAAAAAATTGTATTGCAGTAATCATCACATTCCGTCTATAATATCGTTTTTTCTGTGAGCGCCTCATGTACACCGACTTAGCCCACTTGCAGTGCAAGAATGTCGTGCTATCAACGGGAGCAACCAAATAATTAGCACACGCAGGAAAGAAGATGCGCTTTTCGAGTCTTCCTAAGAGTGGAGCAAGCAGTCGAATTTGAGCCTACGGATTCTGTAGTTTTCATGTTGAATACAATAGCCAACAATATTGCTCAAAGAAACGCAAACTACCTAACGACGCTTCAAAATGTTTCTATCGGCATATCGGGCTTCACCAACAGGCTGGTCAATCCTTTTTCTCAAGCTTGTTTTAATCTTTTTATGCTCTTTAAAACCTTCACATTCGACTCCTTCGTTTTTCCTCTTCGGAATTTTTGGCGACAAAAGCACGTCGCCAGAAGCGAAGCAGAATCGAAGAAATAATGGCGCAAGCCTTCGTCATGTATTTTCGCATTCAGGGTCACTGGTCACGATGTCGTGACGCTCGCCCCGTAACAACAGAAAATATCAGCTTTTCGCCCGCTTTTATAACGAGAAAACTTTGACTGTACCTCTAAGGAATGTGAGTAAGCTTGTGCGCAGGGAAGATCACTTATTGAATAAACCTCCAAATTCTATGTGTTATGAATCAAGGTTTCAATAAATTTCATTCCGTGACTGGCGAGTGTGGGAATGTTATCGCTAATTCCCTTGAGACATCCTAGGCTGTAATCTAATTGGTCGGCACCTTTGCAGGAGATCCCATTACATATCTAGGCAAACATTTTCCACCGTTGAATGAAGGGCGCAAACATTCATACATTGTAAGTTTTTTGCATCTAGTTCTGTTTCGAGATGGAAGTTCTGTTGATGTTTTTGGATGGAACAGCTCAAAGGTATTTGTAAACAACGACACTGTACAGTGAATTCTACGCTATAAAGTACCGACGAATCGAACCAAAGCAAGCAACACAGATACAAGAATCTTAGCTGGGGTACGCATGCACTTACAAGATTAAAACGTTCACGATAATGTACGTTCCTTAGTCCTTTGTAAAATTTAACGACGACCAAAGTAAAATTGGGTTGAATTCCTTCATGAAAAAAGTGTAGCAGATCGTGGATCATGGAAAAAACGTCAAGGTGAGCGATGTCAGGCTTACGCTGTTGCAGCGAATCGAAAATCATTTGGTTTGTGTCCGTGCAAACGTTATGTAGCACAATCGCTCTTATTCTCTTTATTTTTAAAAAAGATAAACTTCATTGTCTGCATGTTAATGCATGTTCTTACATTTAGATGAGTGACCGTGATTGCTGAATATTTACAAAGCGAGACTGTTGCAGATTTGTTATGTCACGTGCTTTTGTAACGTGTACGCGTGGATTAAAAGTATCAGTTGCATTTTGACTTTCTTGTGGTTTTTACACCGTTACTGTACTAAGGCCTTGTCAACTCCTCTACCATGTCTCATGATTATTGCATTATTGAAGTCTGCAATTCGTTTTTTTTTGTACTGACGAGTGGTAGGCCATTACCGGTAACAACATTTTATCTTTTCGAAGCCACTTTGCAGCCCAGATCGTGATTCGGGAATTTTCTGCACCGCTGCTACAGCGCTGTTTATCGCTCCATCATGTAATATTCATTCGTACATTCCTCACTTCAGCTGAAGTTTATGCTCATGATTTACGTACTGAGTCACCGAGTATTTAGTGTTTTGTTTTCTTCCTCGAAGAACTCCGCCATATTTGGTTGGACTTTCGATCCCGCATTTCCTCTCCGTTCCGAGTCCTTGAATTAAGTTTTCGATGGTTTGTCGAGCTGCATTGCTTCAAATAAATCAGAGTAACCCCGGATGACACCCAATAATGAAGCAAGTGTCCATGTAATTATGCGCTCATTTGAGGTAAATTAACAGCGTTTAAACGCGTCGTTTGTATAAAGCTCTTTCGACATAAAAATCTTTCGCACGCGTGTTTTGTGTGTTTAAACGTTGTTTAAATACGTTTAAACGATGTTTTAACACGTTTACGTTTAAAACGATAGAAAACACGTTTTTTTGTTATTCACCTTAATCCCCCTTTTCCTAAATAAGGTCACAAATAACAGTTTTATTTCTTGTAGTTTGAAATGCTTCTGGTGTGTGAGATTCGGAAGTTCTACTGGGGTCTGTCATAAAACTTAGGTGCACGTATTAATGGTAGATAATAATTTATATTAGATTGTAATATATTTTGTCACTTTGCAGACCGAAAGATATTGGTAGAGAAAAAGCTGTAGTGGCTGCGGAATTTGTCAATAGCCGTGTCGCAGGCTGCAATGTTACACCGTATCCTAATCAGGAAAGCATGATGTTTTTGAAAGCAAAATTTGAATTATTGTAAGTTGTGTTCACTGTAACTTTCTGTACCTGTAACCTTCAAAAAGGGTTCCACAATCCTTGACAGAAATTGTACAGCCATTTCAAAAAGATTCAAGATTATGATGCAGATTTTTATAGAGGTTGGTACAAAATGTTGGTACAAAATGTAGTTTAAAAAGCATGAAAGTTAATAAATTCTGTTGTAAGACATGACACTTTCATATTTTTTTCACATTTCAATTCAGTGACATAACTTTGCTCACTGTGATGTATTTGCCAGGATTTCATCTCATTGTGTGCGGATTAGATTCCATTGTAGCCAGAAGATGGATTAATGGAATGGTGGTATGTATTAAACAGCTATAATCAGAACTTTTACAACCTTCCACATTATTTAGCAATTATTGAATGAGGCTGAGTAGGATATGAAGAATTCTGCAGATCAAAGAGATCGAGTGTTATCCGCCGAGGCTGAAGGCGGAGGTGGATAGCACCCTCCAAGATCTGCAGAATTCTTCATATCCTGCGATAGCCAAATTCAATATTGCTTTATTATTCATTCAAAATAATTCCAACTTTAAAAACAAGCTAAAAATGCTTACCTCAGTCGATGTTAAGTTCACATCAATAGTGCACCTTTTGCGGGAAATAGTACATAAAGGTCTGCTCAGGTCTGCAAATATACTCCAAATAGCAGATGTTGTCCGTCAAGTTGACTTCTCGCTGTTCTTGCTATGTTTTTAGACAATATTTCACCGTGAAACGAGTACAATGTTCGCCAGACAGTTCCGCCATTTTGTTCAAACAACCAAAACAACTCAACCTCATCCCCAGGTTTCCTCGGTCAATGGTTCAATATGACAGTTCAATATGACAGTTGAGCTGCTGGTTATTTTGAATTATGCGTGTGGTTTTTTTACCCAATCAGAAACGGGGAAATATTTTGAATGAATAATAATAATGGTTATTGGACAGTATACATAATGGACAGTAAATGTACATGTTATTGCACACCCTGTAAATGGCGCAGTTGCACTTTAGTGGATTACTCTACTGCAAAGTTTTTCACATTTTTGCCTTGCCTTTATTCTGTGATTCTGTGATCTTAAAAGTTTCTAGGAAAGTGCATGGAAGAGAGTAACAGAGAGAAAACCAATATTGTGCCATTATCATGCCAAATTCATCAAGAGAGATTTGTTTTGTTGTAGCTTAGTTTATTAGAATATGATGAGGATGGGACATTGGACCAAACAAGTGTTATCCCTGTGGTGGATGGAGGCACAGAGGGTAAGTCTAAGGTGAATTGTGTTTTATCAGATATCTTCTAGGAAAGACAAGATTGCCTCAAATGCTGGGCTAATTATGGGATTTCAAAGGAATGTCACCCATCACTGTAAGAGAATGGAAGAAATAACCTCCTTGTTGATAACAGATTTTATTGTCACAACGATGAATGAGTCCTAAAACGATAACAAAGCAAAAATACAATAAAATATCAAAATGAGGACTAGATAAACTAAAAAGAAAAAGGGATAGTGTCTAAAGAAAAAATGTAGTGGGAATGAACTTACAGTGAATTAACGTCCACTGGCCACCAGTTAATATGCGAACTGAATGTTCAAGAAAAACAATATGGCTGACCCAGAAAATGGTCAGCGGATCAACAAGGACCCGTTAGATGCTTAGTGTATGAAACCTCTTCAAGAACCTCCTATACCATACCAAGGTCACACTTCTCTGAGGCACAAAGCGGATCCTCAGGATGGCAGGCTTGCAGAGAGTTAACAGTAATATTTTGTTTGGATTGTAGGCTTTAAAGGCAATGCTCGTGTCATCATTCCTGGACTAACAGCTTGTATAGAGTGTACACTTGACCTCTACCCACCACAGGTAAGACTTTTCTTGACTTGTTCGATAGTTGTAGATAGTTTCCTTGCTTAGTTTGCTTTATGGCTGATCGACATCCTGTACATGTGTTTTCTTGCCAGGTTAATTTTCCATTATGCACCATAGCACACACCCCTCGACTACCAGAACACTGTGTAGAATATGCCAAGGTGTTAGTATGGCCTCAAGAACATCCTTTTGGAGGTATGTACAGTATTTTCATCAGTCCTTAACTTTGCATGCCATTTGCATTTTCATTTTGCTGTGCTACAGAAACCATCAACTTTCAAACACTTTGCCATTACAAACAATCACTGATTTTATTCAGCTAGATAGTTAAACTGAAGTAATCCTCTATGATTGTTGGAATCTTTATTTTCATACTTTTAGTCCATTATTGATAGAACAAAAACTATAAAGACTATAAAGCTGCAGGCTACCCAAGATTAATTCCCAAGTAAAAAACGATAAAATGTTTCAATTATTGTTTCTTATTATAGAGCTGTGAAAGTACTGTAAAATTCCGAAAATAAGCCCCGGGGCTTATATTTTTCAAAGGCCCTTTTTGGGGGGCTTATTTTTGGAGGGGCTTATTAGGGAAATTTGCGCTTAAACATCAATTAGGCTAGCCTTATTCTGGGTAGTAAATTTACCGTTTTTCTTTGTTTTACTTTGTATTTGAGGGCAATTTCCAAGTACAAGCCCCCCAGGGGGCTTATATTAATTTTGGAGGGGCAATTTAACGGAGGGTTTTTTGCGTTACGAGTTTGGGGGGGCTTATATTTGGAGGGGCTTATACATGGAGGGGCTTATTTTTGGAATTTTACGGTACCTTTTAGGGATCTATCTATACAGGTATTGAACTAAAAAATGTAGGGGCCTATTTTGTTACTCAACTGAATTTTTATACCTCTTGGGGTTAAAATGAATTAAAGCCACAACCTCAAAGTAAGTTCTGGTATCTGTAAGGGGCTCTTGAAAATCCCACCATTTTTATAGCAGATACATTCATGATTATTTTTTCAGAGGGAGTTCCTGTTGATGGAGATGATCCAGCTCATGTTCAGTGGATTTATGACAAAGCAAAAGAAAGAGCTGACAGCTTTAACATTCAGGGAGTCACCTACCGGCTTACACAAGGTAATTTCAATTAGTGACAATTTGCCATAATTTTGATAATTTGCACAACTACTTTGTTGTCTAATAAATTTGTCATCTTATTAAGGTGTCGTCAAACACATCATCCCTGCTGTGGCCTCCACCAATGCTGTAATTGCTGGTAAATATGCTTTCTGTTCTTTTTATTTGTTCCTTGAGCCTTCCAGTATGGTTAGTCAATCCCATCATTTGGAACAAACTTTTCCTTCAATCCTGTAATCTTGAAATTTTTAATTGGCTAATTCCAATCCTGGACATATGTTTTAAAAAGTGCCATACAGAGGGTCCAGATTTTCTCAAATATGAACTCCCCATGGCAGATAGGAAAAGGGAAAGCATCAAGGTGAGGTCATAATATCTATGCTCCACATGGCTAGTGGGAGAATGTGGATAGTTTGTGTTCAGCCAAAAATGAAAAACGTCTTGTCAATGTTAGGTTTTACAAAATGCAGCTTAGTGTTCTAACAGGAAAAAATTTCCAAACCCTACATTATCAAATCCCAAAGTTCCAAATCTTCCTGTTTTATTTTTTAGGACTGTATGAAAAAGAGATTGGTAATTTTTGTGCAATGTTTACTTTGGGTGCAGAAGGTTGTAAGCCAAATTAAGGAGGAGACTCTCTTCTTTGGTCAATGACTCTAATTTTCTCTTGTTATTTGTGTCATGCCAGCTGCTTGTGCTCTGGAAGTTTTCAAACTGGTCTCCAGGTAAGGGTCTGTTAAATCTCTGGAATTCCAGGGGGTGGGAAGGGCATGGTTTATACATGTCGTAGTGGTCTCGCAATCTCACTTTCGGTAAGATTTCTGCACAGTACCATACATGCAGTTTCATTGTTTTTCTTGCTAAAAGTTTATTATTGTGAACAGAGTTGAAAATGTTTGCACAATAACATCATTTCCTTTGGAACATATTTGGGAACCTTGAGAACATTGCAGATGTCTGCAGAGATGAGTCTTTTTGTACATAGATTATCTTTAAAATAATATAATATTAACTGTCTTTATTCTTGAATAGCTGCTGCAATCCATTAAACAACTATATGGTGTTTAATGACACGGATGGATTGTACACGTATACCTTTGAGGCTGAGAGAAAGGTATGTAAGAATATTATATTAAAAAAAAAAGATTTTTCTATTATAGTTAATTCTGTTTTTTGACTCTATATTGTAAAAATGTGTACACTGTAGCACAAGTATGAATTCAGCCATAGGTAATATTGAAGCATGCATGTTCTATACCGGAATTCAGTCAAGATTTTAACAGCCGTGTCTTACTTTTTACAGTTAGTTGATTTTACTATTGTTAAGTGGTGGCAAATAAACTTGCCTCTTTGTAAAAATCCACCTGCAGTTGTTTTGTTATAAATGTCCAAAAATGTTTATTTTTCATAGTGAGCAGAAGGCAAAAATAAAGTACAGTCAAACCTGCATGTGCGACCACCTATCTTACGCAACCGCTTCCTCAAAACACTAAAATTTGCCAGTCATAGCTCTGTAGTTTGAATCTCTCCTTAATGACCACCTCTCATGACCTAATACTACCACCATTTGAGGTGATGGTTTTATGATTTTCCATTTTTTTAACCACTTGTATCTGAAGAACTTTTTAGGATGAAATGTAACTTCACATTATCATAACTCAGAAATTGCATGTACAGTCGAATGTCCACTAATGGTCACCTCTCCACAACGGCCACTTCTCTGCAGGAGCCATTTTTTTTTTGACAGACAGTCCATACATTCATTCTTGTTTCAACCTCTCCACAGTGGCCACTTTTTTCTGACCCCAAGGTGGCTGTTATAGAGAGGTTAAACTGTAATAATTCTCTGCAAAAAAAAAAGTAGAAGAGGCCACTGCAGTTCAACCTTGTAACCAACCATCTCCTATAATATAAGCAACCACTAACTCTTCACATTTTGGGTGGTTGCTTATAGGAGCTTTGATTGTTTAAAAATTAATGTTATGGGCTCTGATCAATACACTCTCACTAATATTGTATTTAAGGATGACTGTGCAGCTTGCAGTCAGCGACCTCAAGTTCTAACATTCCCAAAGGATGTCACCCTTAAATCAGTAATTGACTTCCTTATGGAGACTCCATCATAGTAAGTAACTGTCTTGTAAGCATATTCAAATGCATTTTAATTTATGTGGTTTATTTGTTTTACGAAGGCCGTTATTTTTTTTGTCCAATAGTCAACTGAAAGCTCCTGGCCTCACTACCATGATTAACGGCAAAAACAAAACCCTATATATGCAGGTAGGTTGTTTTATTAAGGTTGTTATTATTTTTCACCAACAAACAGATGAAAGCTTATGAGCTTAGTTTGGGAGAGTGCTGGTCTGCTGAGTTGGAGGTCACGGTTTCAAACCCTGGCTGGACCAACACTCAGGGTCTTTGTTAAAATAATTGAGAAGAAAGTGCTACCTTTGTAATGATATCTGCAAACAGTTAGACTTTGTAGTCTTCTCAGATAAGTACAAAAACCATAGGTCCCATCTCGCAGCACTTTCACATGTCTGTTTCTTGTGTGATGTAAAAGAACGCACACCACTGTTCAAAAAGAGTAGGGGACGAAGATGTTGGTGGTGTGGCCAACCTTGAGCTGGATGGGTTATCTGTAAGGAGATATCTTAATATAGGGATAAACTCATGAACCTCCTTCAGGTGTCTTTAATGGCTACCTGTAAACAGTGTATGTATAGAGCAACTATTCTCTGCAGCCGTTTTCTTTGTTGTGGGGGATTTTATTGTACAGTATCACAGATAACTCAGCTTAGGGTAACATTTTTTGATACGGCACAATAAAACCCTTTAGATTAAGAACAGTTGAAAAACATGCCACTTAGTCTTATCTTGTTTACGAAACTGACCCTTACTCTCCCTTCAATGATTGATGATATAAAAGCCTTTACTTGTGGGTAGCTTTTTTCCCTTTAATTTGTTCAGGTAAATATGGTCATATAGACTGTGTATCAGGCGCTTAGAAGTAACATGAGTGCAAGAAAGAATGGCGCACAAGGCAAAAACATGCCTACCCCCCTCATGCGCTCTGGTTTTTGTTACGCCTATATTACTTCCGAGCGCCAGCAATGCAGGATAACGGTCCTAGGAAAAACGTGTGTGAAAGGAGCACATGACTAGTAGGTTTATACTTGCAGCAATCTTGGAACAAAGAGACTCTAAATATTTTCAGCTGCTCATTTCATGGTGATGACGGGGTTCACCAGTCTGTAGCACACACAGTGTGGTTCCATAATCTTTTAAATGTGCCTTTTCCCAAACTGTTTTTTAGTCTGTGAAGTCTATAGAGGAAAGAACAAGAGAGAATCTACCCAAGAGATTGAAAGGTACTGTACTGGTTTATGCATCTTGGATGCGACATCCCTACAGACTAATCTGCCCATTGTTCCTGGAAGGAGTTTGCCAAAAGAATGATTATTCCACCACAGTTTGTCAGATTTTTCCTTACTCTAATATTTTTTGTAGAAGGTTTAGCAAACTCAAAGGAGAATATAGGGTGGTTGAGCGTAATAAATATGCCAACCAACTATTGCTCAATAAAACCAAACAAAACCATTACTATTTTCTTCATTTTTTAAACTGTTATAATCCCCTAAAATGGCTGTGTTGCACACAAGAGGTGGTCATCTGTAGAGGTTCGTACCCTAGTGATATGTATAACCCGAGACTGACCAATGGAGAAGAGAAGTCGTTACGTCACGTTGCCATGGTAGTAAAAGTTTTAGATGACAACAAACCGATAAAGTCATTTAAAAGTCTTTTCGCACTATTTCAAACTTTACCGATCTTATTCAGTTTCATTTAATTTTGCAAATCTTGGCGAAATTTTCTTTGGGACCGTATCTATTGTTATCTAAGTTAAGGAAATCACACAATTTCCAGACCCTCTCTTGATTACAACAATATTTTCCTCTCTCTCAGCCAATCAGCGCTCAATAATTTTGTCCTTTAACTAATGCGTGTGATATATATATGTGCCACATGGCCGCACAGGATAAGAAATTTCTCTTCACGTGTTGAAACATATTTCTCCAGTGAGTGCAGCGAACGGGTAAAATATTTTTCAACACGAGAAGCCTTTGCGCGAAAACATGATATCTTCGCATGGGAACAGATCACCGTTGCTATGGCTTCATAATAAATCGCGCCTTTCACAGTACAAAAACTGTTAAAGTGAAATGATGTGGTTATTCATTGGTGTTTACATAGTAAATAGAACATTACATGGAACTACGAAATTTCTCTTCTCGTGTTGAGAACACTCGAAGAGACTGAATTTTGTATCTCCGCGCGGCCATGTGTTAGAAGAGGGGTGGGTTGTATACTAAGGGGAGGTGGTTGCTCAAAGAATTTACACTGTATTTATTTTCCTTTCATCTTTGTTATCAATCCTTTCAGATATTGGACTTGTTGACGGTCAAGAGATTGTAGTAGCCGATGCCACAACACCTAAACCATTAATTGTTAAAATACACTTTTCATCTGACATGGAATGATAAGAACATTGACAACTGAACTTATTCCAGAGTTTTTTTCTTAAAAATTATTGTAAATCAACTACTGCAACCAGAGAGATGCGGTGAAAATTGGTACTTATATCACTCACACTAATTTTCCCTTGTTGTATATTGTTCTGTCAGAATTTTAGAATAAAATGTAGATAGCTCTCATGTTTTGCATTTATCTATTATTTCAGTGTTGCACAAAACTTGCTTGTAAAAGAAACAGTAGGAGCGAGAAGGGTGGCTCATAAGGGGGTTGGGCTTAAGAGCTTTTTTGCCATGAAGACGGGAATGGCCAACTATCGTTATTTATGTTTAGAAATAACGTGAGTTTTTAAAAGAGATAAAAGCTCAAGTGCTCGAAACGTCGCGAGGGGCGAGGAGAGACAACTGCTGCAATTGCGGGCCACGAAATTTTATTTAATTCTCATTCGCCACTTGCACATCTCCTATAATGCACCTTATTTGCCCCCCTCCCCTCCCCCTTAATTTTGTATAAGCATTGTTTTCAATTTCTCTTGGGACGGCTGTAATAACCTGGAGAAATGGAAAACAAAGGTTATGCAAAATTTCTGGGGGCAAATAAACTGCATTATGGGAGATTTGCAAGTGGCAAATCGTTTTTGCCTGGGTTGTTTATAGCTATTTCGATAAAGGTTTCGGAAAAAATGTGCATGCGACAATCCCAAAAGGTATTGGGATGTTGTCGAACCTACTTTTGTTGCTTTCCTTTAGCACTCGCAGATATATGTCCATGACCTCTCCTGCCATTCTTTCAAATTTCTTTGAAAAACAGTGAACTCAAAACCACCCACAATACCTTTCGGGGTTGTCACGTGCACTTTATCCGACAACCATGTACTGCGTGAAACCGTGACTTTTTGTGACAACTTTTTGTATCATTATTCAAAAGACGATGTTGCGTGATGAAGGGGTCATGCCGGGGAATAATGCAGCTTGGCAAAATCGATTCAGAAATAAAACTCTACCTTAGCGCCTGGCTCCTTTAAATCAATATTGATCAAAATTGTAAACATTAATTGTTGACACTGACAACTAATTATATCTTACGGCCGCGATCTGAAAACATCAAAGTTCGCTAACTACGCTCTCTCAGTAATAAACCCGTATTTCGCAATATCGGAGGTTGCCAACGGACTTAATTTCAGATTTGGAATTTCCTTTAAACGGCAAAAAGAAATGATTAACGAAACAGTGTTGTGATGAGAAATTATATGCAAATTGCAACTAAGTCGGTTGATTTTGATCTGCATTAGAATTTTTTTTCCATGTTTTTATTTAACTAAATTGGCTCCTTTTACAAGGTTTCCTTAATGATTGTCTAAATTTTTCAAGCCAACTTTCGTTTTATCGTCACTCCGACGCGAGATTGTTATTTTAATTTTTTTGTTGTACAATGCGCCCGTAGGCTGCTGCGTCACAAACTCGAAAAAGTTCTCGCCTTTATCTCATTAAAATTCCCTTTGATATCGAAAACGTACACATATAACAACTTCCTTGAAAGTTTCTTGTCTCCTTTGGTTGTCAGTAACGAACGCTCATTCGATATTACTGCTTTTAAAACGTGGTAGAAACTTCATACTTCGAATTATGCTTTCTCCTACCAGTTCTCTTGCAAAATCTGCACAACTCAGTTTAAAAAGATCAAAACGTAACATGTGTTATTTGCTAGTAGTTATGAGCAAAGTTTAAATGATCACAATTGACACTCTTTTCTTCGATTTGTCCTTCTCTCTCTTAAATAATGTCACGAGTGCCGTTCCATAAAATATTTAGTAATATGAAAATGGATCAGTTTGCTGTTGTCCAAAAATGCCCCGCGCCAATGTCCACTGCCTTACCCCCTCCCCCTTAAACGCCCAGTTATCGTCATCCCGACGCGAGACTGTTATTTTAAGTTTTTCGTTGTTCCATGCGCCCATAGGCTGCTGCGTCACAAACTCGAAAAAGTTCTCGACCTTATCTCATTAAAATTCCCTTTGAAATCGAAAACGTACACATACAACAATTTCATTGAAAGTTGTTTTGTCTCCTTTGGCTGTGAGTAAGGAACGCTCATTCGGTACGCAATGAAATTTTCGCCGGCAATTAGTACACCTCGCACCGGTTTGCATTTCTTGGCTGTGTCCTTAATATTGTGGGGTCTCGCTTGGGTTCATATTTCTGCTATGGATGAATCTTTGATTGGACAACACCAGGAGGTAGATAGCAGCTCTAGTGCCCGAGAATCTGATGATAAACACTCTGTCCTGCATCGCGAGCGAAGAGCCGTAAAAAACAATGCAACCCACAAGCAAGACTTTGAAAAACGACTGAAGGCCATGGAAGAAAGGCGAGTCACAGGACGCGTACCTTTGTTGTTCCGAAAACGGATTGAATTTGGATTAGGACTTCAACCTGACTAAAATTTCAACCAAAGTCACATGTTTTATCGCGCGTTATATTGTTTCCTCTTTTTGCGGCGGAATTTTTCGCGGAATGAATTAGAGTCGCTTTTTTTATTAGGCAAGAAAAGAAGAAAAACGTGTGTTACAAGAAAGCGAAAATCTTCGCGCCTTTCCCTTTTGGGCATCCATTTTTCTGTTATAATATTTTATCATGTATATCTGTACTATTCATATAACGTGTATTGCCCAACAAAGTACAGGTCTCTAACCTACTTTAAGGTACCCTTAATATCCTTGACAGCTTTAACATTATTAATGCGTTCTTTGTTGCGTGTTTTATGTACTCGTACCATAATAACCTTTTTCCTCATACGTTTAACACCACCTTTAGTAATCGCCAAGTACACACATTTAATACTTGAAATGCTAATAACTACCGACCACATTTCTGTAGAACAAACATTAAACAGTTCACAATCCTCCATCTAGGACCTAACCTATGAAACTCCCTTCCCCATAATCTTACGGAACTGACAAGTTACTCTAGTTTCAAGACTTCATTTAAAAAATACCTTATCGAGAGAGCTCTAAATTAAACTCGCTTGACCATATGACAGCTTACATTAAATCATAATTAAGTATGAGGAGCCCAATTTCTACAAGCTATTTAGCTTCTAATGGGCTTCCTCGCCACTCTATCTATTACAAAAGTTAAGTCACTTAATATTACATTTAATCTTTTGGACTATTTTTGAAGCTTTCCTGCCCTGTAAATTTGCAGTCTTAGTAATAATGTATATATCTTTTTCCTTTTCTTTCTGTAATATTTATTCTATGTGGCAAATGTAAAATACATAAATAAAATATAAACCCTGTTCCTTCCAGTTGTTAAGATAATGGGGACAGCGCAAAGAAGAGTCAGCAGGAAAAGCAGACTTCGCGCAGCACTCCACAATCTGAACGCCAGGAACAGGCTAGCTTTGAGGCGTTATTTTTCGCGAGAACTTTTTTCAATGGTCTCTTATTGTTAGGAACAGTAAAGGATATTGCGTTTATTGGGGGGGGGGGGGGGTTGTAGATTTTGGTTTTGATGTAGTCTAGTTAAACGCTCATGCAGCGCAAATTTTCGTGTGTTTCTTGTTGTTGCCGAGAGTCACTCATTTTTTTAAATTACCTCACCGAAAATCTTTTCTCCTCTCTTGCAGGCATAATAAGAGTACAAGGCGATTGCAGGAAATAGAGAAGAGGTTTAATATACTGGTTTTGTCAGTTCGATCATTATGTGCATCTCTTTTTTATAACGTTCTAAAAAAAGCTTTAATTTCATACGTTTATCCTTTATCCTTTGGAGAGACTACATTTCTAATGAAGATTGATCATGAAAACAGTCTCGCTGATATAGCAAGCATTTCAGTGGCATTAAGGTGACTCGACCCAGTTTTTTTGGGGGGGTACCATCCTACTTTGAAGCTCTCCGGTATCCCCACCTTTACTTTTATCGTAAGTCTAACACATAGAATGGATAACATATAGATCAATCTACAAAATAACCTAAAATTTTTGGCGATCGGAGTAAATGTCACGTGGTTATAGTGCCACGCCCCTTTGAGGTTTGAGTGGAAAATCGGCTGTTGCCGGCATTTTTTTGTGAAAATCTCTCCGCTACACATAGTGCGCATTAGTGCCTTGCGCTGAACAGAGTTTCACCAAAATCGCAAAGACCCAATTCGAGAAATTCAGCGGTTTCCAAATTTAGCTCATAATTTATGCGGAAATGATAAGCAAACTTTACACGGATTATATCTAATAAACCAAGAGATTCATCCCTTTATTTTGGGCATCGTTATAACAGATGGGTCCTTGCAAGTCAGCAAAACGCTTTAGGGCCTTGTAAATGCGCGCGATTTCGAGCAAAGCAAACATATAGCAATTATAGTTTTCGCTATTTGTTGGCGTTTGTCAGCGTTTGAGAGTCCTTCTCACGAAAAAAGCATTTTTTTTAAAATTCGTAGTTTTTTTTCCTTCAAATTTTTTCAGGGCCACAATTGATTAACTAACTACCCGGACTCTGAATTTCATGGACATTGAAAAACTGTGACACTATCTTCTATAAGCTCAAACTTGAGTAAACATTGAAGATTTTTAGCGTTTTGGCTGAGTTTGTGCTTTGGGAGTTGTCTATTGTTTCTAGTCTGTCATGATACAGCATTCTTGTTCAGCACGCGTGCAATGACCGCGTTTGGCTGACTTCCGAATGCTCACCGAGATATTATAATTTTGGTACAGTGAGACAAGCCATCGCGTGATACATAGAGGTTCAACTAACAATTTTTAATCAATTCTCGTGCTTCTTGTGTCTTTGCAAAAAAATCAAGAAGTGCTACACACTAAGTCTACTTACTATTTCAAAAATGTCATTTTTTTATAGGTTTAATGCAAGCCAATAATTAAACCAACTCGTGACGGGAATATCTCGGTGAGCATTCGGAAGTCAGCCAAGCGTGGTCATTGCACGCGTGCTGAACAACAATGCTGTATAATGACAGACTAGAAACAATAGACAACTCCCAAAGCACAAACTCAGCCAAAACGCTAAAAATCTTCAATGTTTACTCAAGTTTGAGCTTATAGAAGATAGTGTCACAGTTTTTCAATGACCATGAAATTCAGAGTCCGGGTAGTTAGTTAATCAATTGTGGCCCTGAAAAGATTTGAAGGAAAAAAAACTACGAATTTTTAAGAAAATGCTTTTTTCGTGAGAAGGACTCTCAAACGCTGACAAACGCCAACAAATAGCGAAAACTATAATTGCTATATGTTTGCTTTGCTCGAAATCGCGCGCATTTACAAGGCCCTAAAGCGTTTTGCTGACTTGCAAGGACCCATCTGTTATAACGATGCCCAAAATAAAGGGATGAATCTCTTGGTTTATTAGATATAATCCGTGTAAAGTTTGCTTATCATTTCCGCATAAATTATGAGCTAAATTTGGAAACCGCTGAATTTCTCGAATTGGGTCTTTGCGATTTTGGTGAAACTCTGTTCAGCGCAAGGCACTAATGCGCACTATGTGTGGCCGAGAGATTTTCACAAAAAAATGCCGGCAACAGCCGATTTTCGACTCAGACCTCAAAGGGGCGTGGCACTATAACCACGTGACATTTACTCCGATCGCCAAAAATTTTATGTTATATTGCAGATTGATCTATATGTTATCCATTCTATGTGTTAGACTTACGATAAAAGTAAAGGTGGGGATACCAGAGAGCTTCAAAGTAGGATGGTACCCCCCAAAAAAAAACTGGTTCGAGTCACCTTAAGAGCTGATTCAGTGACGGTTGTTTCGGGCATTGGGAATTGCGCACTTGGAAGCAAGGTAACCGGTCATTTCGCCCCGGTTACTTAGCCCCCTATTTTTCAGTCATTTAGCGCGCTTCAAATATAATATGCCTCGTTCTAGAGTAGGGGGCTAAGTAACCGGGCGAAATGACTTGGGGGCGAGATGACCGGTAACCGGAAGGAATTTTTTAGTAGTTACTCAAGAAAATCATCGCATGCACGAATGTCCATTTCCATTGACCATTGCTTATGTCCAGGATCAATCTTGCTAGCAAATTGTTTTCGCAGTTTTAGCAAAAAAATTTAAAGGAAACTGATATCAGAAATGTAGCAAATTCTGCAAAAATAGCGAAAGTAAAAAGGATTTTTACTTTTGCAAAATATCGCAAGAATAGCAAGATTTCCAAATTTGACAAAATTCTAGACTAAGAAAGAGGATTGGCCAAGAAGCGATTTGAGAAGCAAAAACCGCAAAAATCGCAAGTAAAATCTATCAGTTTCTTCCTCTGCTGGCTTAACATTAACCTAATGTCTCAGCTAAAATTTGACTTTGGTTATTTCCTTGATCTTTCCCAGACTTGATGCCCTTCTGCGCATACCTCCTCGATCTGGAGACTTAATCGATTCTCTCATGCGTTACATTTTAGGTTGGTGTATTGTGGTGATTAATTATTGTAATGGCTAATCACTGCAGACAAAGGAAATTTCTAAAACAATCTAGCAATCTAAACGGGCAGCGAAAGTCTAAAGGAGCTGTGCCAGGAAATTCAGCGCAAAGGACCTGGCCTCGAAAATTGAGCGAGCATTAAAAAAGTGAAAACATTGACGAAAAGTTCCCTAAAAGAGAAATGGATATGCAAATTGTCGAAAAAGAGGAAACTGACTGCAATATTGAGGGTTTTTGAGAACTGTTCATCCTGACCTTTTTCAGTCATTGAATGTAAACCTTAGAATACATATTTGTCACCACGGACAAAGGTTCCCACTTATTTAACTATATTTGACTCGATCATGGTGCAAAAATTGCGACAAATGAACATGTCTGCGACTGCCTCTTACCCAGAGGTCCCTCTCTCTCGATGAAAATTTGCGCGCAAAGGAAGGCGGGAAGGAGAAAACTGCCAAGACGTCGCTTCTCCTCTCTTCTTTCACCTTCCCATGGTCCCTTGGGCTTCGTTACCAGTCACTCGCGTTTCGCGGTCGCCTTTGTGGAAAAAAACGAAGAGCCTAAGGAGGAGGCAGTGTGTGCGACATGATTCCGGGAAACTGTCCACCTACCCCATCCCTGTAATCCTTTTTTTTACTCTCTACTCTAGGACAGCGTGGTCAAAATACAGGCAAGGAGAGAGTTGGACCACCTGGCCCTCCTGGATCACCTGGACCAACTGGATTGCCTGGACCATCAGGCCCCAGAGGCACACAATAAAATATCCTATCTTAAAAATAAAATAAAAATATCCTCAATAATTAAAAATAAATTTGTCACCAACCGCAATACAGTAACACCCTTTCCATATCCTCCCCTTAAGAAAATGAAAACCAAGGCAAAAATGTGTGCTAAGAGCACTTTGCTTTGCATACGTTAAAAATTCGGATCGCGAAGAGAGCCAACCAAAATCGCTCAGACAAATGATACCGTTTAAAAACCCTAAGGTTCAGCACCATTTCTTTATAGGGGAACAGGGAAAACCTGGCACCAACAAGCCATTTCAAGGCCCTCCAGGTCCTAAGGGGGATCAAGGACCTGTTGGAAAGACTGGAGCCAAAGGACCTCAAGGAGCTAAAGGGCAAAGGGGACAGGATGGGTCTGGCAGTTCGGGGGTGAAGTATGTGCGCTGGGGAAGGACCACATGTCCTAGCGGGGCACAGATAGTGTATAAAGGTGAAGAGACAAAAAAACGAACTGAGTACTAAGGACATAACCGTGAAAAATTTTAAAGCGACACCCGTAAACAAGTTCCTATTCCCAAATAATTCAAGCATCTGGTGATAGATCAATTTGTGATGCTGATGCTTAAGCTGCAGATAAGCGCACTGGAACATTTTTGTCAAAACCTTTATAAAAAAAGTTATTGCATGAGTTTTTTGGTGATAGCATGATCTCCGGAATCAGTAATCAAGGTCGAGGTGAAAAGAAAAAATAATGAGAAACACATCGTCGAACGGAACACAGTTTTACATCCCTCTTGGAAATCATACATTATTATCAGATAACTAATTACGGTAATCTATCCTTTGCGCGGATTTCCAAAATCTACTGTAGGCCCCTTAGCCAGTGAAAGACAGATAGCGAGTACAACGCGTAATAATGTGGCTATATGAGCTTATATGATTATTCTCCCTTTGCTTCATACAGGTATAGTGGGTGGAGAGTATTACAATCACCATGGAGGTGGTGCAAACTACCTTTGCCTTCCACATAAGCCAAAGTATGACAGATACAGAAATGGCGTCCAGGGTGGGGCATATATCTACGGCACCGAATATCAAGTAAGTTCGTTCGTTGGCACCGTTTTCAAAAGAAATATCCATGACTATGAAGCTCTCTGCGTTGTCTGCTTTGTCAAGTCACGTGGCTCAATGCTACTGATGCCTGCAAGAAATGACTGTCCATCTGGATGGACTGAAGAGTATCATGGGTACCTGATGGCTGAACACTACCGTCATCCGCACTCAAGAGATTTCATCTGCCTTGACGGGGACCCGGAATATGTTCCTGGTAGCCAAGCAAGCAGAGATGGTGCTTTGCTTTACCCTGTGGAGGGTAGATGCGGCTCGCTACCTTGTCTTCCCTATGTTGAAGGTCGAGAGTTGACATGCGCTGTGTGCACCAAGTGAAGCTCCTCGTGAAATAAAAGTAATAAACAGTAATTTCATAAACTCTCAGCTGTTAATCACACCTGCTTGTTTGAAAACAGTTAAAGCAGTAAGCAAGGTGTGGTGGGCAGAACATAAGGTAATGTTAACAATAAACCACGTGATTGCCTCCAGATGAATGCTTGTTTCTTTAATTGTATATGTGTGCAGGTCTTATCATTAATTTTAAAGGGGCATGGCCAATGTGGGTAAGAGTTAATTTCTGTGCCTGAAAGAACACATTTATGTTTCAGTTCCAAATCCTGTATTTTTTTTAAATGCCTATTTAAAAATACTCGTACCCTCGAAATTCCTGAAAAATTCCGAACCTAATGTAACTTTTCTTCACCATTCAAACATTGTAATTCAATCTCCGATTTTTCAAACTTCTAGTTCATTCGAACCGATTTGGTTAGAAAAATCGGGATTTCACTGAATACCGTTAAGCGTTCTGCTAGCCTGAATTTCAGCCGTGAGCTGTCCCCTCGAGTCGCACACTCCCGTGAGAGACATGTTTCTCGGGAGTGAGCGACTCGAGTACGGATGAAATTCACATCGGGGCTAGTGTTCTGCGTTTCGTGCTTTATTTGGGAGGGTACAATTTCTGGGGGGGGGGGGTTAGCCTATGAAAGGCCCTATTTGACCTGACCGAACATGATCCAACATAGCATTGTTGGGACCCGTTTGAGCACCTTTTTGGGAAGTGTGGCACCTTTTTCTCAGATCAGGTTTCACCGTGTTCAAACTTTTCATTCAGTTTTATCCAACATGTTTCCCTGTGCTACAGACCACGACGCCGGCACATATTACCCAAATTTGAAAAAAAAAGCGCAGGTTTGAGGTTCGTCCGAAGAAACATGATGTTTTTCGGTGGTAAACTTCTTGCCCGAAAGTAACTTCTCTTGGTTTCTGAAAACGTAATACTACAATCCCACTCCAATTGCATAGACATCAAAAATCATATAGACCCTTTCCTTCCAAAGAAGAACTCACGGAAGACCCAAAATAATTCTTTTGAAACCTTGTAATAATAGCTTGCGAACGATTTTGATCTTTGGGTTGCGAAGACTGGCGTTATTCCGGCTGCCGTTTGCTGAACTACATGTCAATTATCCTGTCGACTGACTGCCGATTTTCCTGACGGCTCGCCCTAATTTCGTACCCAGATCTCTCAAGGCCAGGGGAAAGTTCAAGACAGAGTGAGATCTGGATACAAGATTACTATCAACCAATTAAACGTGCCCAGATTGGCCAATCATAAAAAGTCCGAAAACGACTCCAGAATTGCTTTTTCAAAGAGCACTCAACGCATTTTGACGGTTACGAAGCTAATCAGCTTACTTTTATTGTACTCTCTTTCATCTTGCTACGGAGAAACATCTTCAAAGGTCCTCAAACGCTGGAATCTACTGAACGATAAACAGGATGTATCTATGACTTGCCAACAGGTCGAGCTCAAATTTTTCTCCAGCGCGCGGAGAGCGAGCTGGACAATGGGACCGTATATTTTTAGCTGCTCATTCCATAAAGTGATGATGGGGTTTGCCAGTCTGTAGCACACACAGTGTGGTTCCATAATCTTGCGCACTTCCCTTGTTTAGGTACCCTTTTTTGTCCACATTAAAAGAGAAACAACTCTTTTTTAAATGTACCTTTTCCCAAACTGTCTTTTTAGTCTGTGAAGTCTATAGAGGAAAGAACAAGAGAGAACCTACCCAAGAGATTGAAAGGTACTGTACCAGTTTATGCATATTGGATGCAACTAGAAACTAATCTGCCCATTGTTCTTGGAAGGAGTTTGCCAAAAGAATGATTATTCCTTCACAGTTTTAGCCTGCGAAGGAGAAACGGATGTTTTCGCAGGCTACTCTAATATTTTTTGTCGAGGATTTAGCATACTCAAAGGAGAATATAGGTTGATTGAACATTATAAACCAACTATTGCTTAATAAAACCAAACAAAACCATTACTATTTCTGCATTTTTATAACTGTTATAAGCACCTAAAATGGCTGTGTTGCACACAGGGGTTAAACCCTTAACCCTAACCCTATAACCCGAGGCTGACCAATTAAGAACCAATTAAACGAGCGTTTTCGAAGTTTTTCAGCGACAAGAGTAATTTAAAAACGCTGTGTAGTTAATCCTTAATTGAATGAGGACTCGTTTAATTCTTGTTTGTTACTATAAGACAAAAGTTTATAAAGGAAATCACACCAGGCCCTCTCTTGATAACCAAAATATTTTCTTCTCTCTCAGCCAATCTGCGCTCAATAATTTTGTCCTTTAACTGGTGCGTGTGATATATACTACATGGCCGAATGGATACGAAATTTCTCTTCGAGTGTTGAAACATATTTCTCCAGTGAGTGCAGCAAACGAGTAAAATATTTTTCAACAAGAAGAGAGAAATTTGTTCCATTGTATAACCACTAGTCTAATGAATTACAAGGTGAGTTTTCGCGCGAAATCATGATATCTTCACATGTGAACAGATCACCGTTGCTACGGCTACATAATAAATCACGCCTTTCACATAGACTACGAGTAGTCCCCATTTTTCCTCAGGGATATTAGATAGGGCAAAACACGAGTGCGCGTGAGAATCACCTCTCGCGAGAAAGGCGCGCTCGCTCTACTATCTCTGAGGAAAAATGGGGACTACTCGTAGTCTACCTTTCACAGGAATAATCTGTTAAAGTGAAATGGTTTGGTATTTTATTAATGTTTATGTAGTAAATAGAGCGTTACATGACCGCTTTGAGCTACGACATTTCTCTTCTGTGGACAACACTCGAAAAGACGGAATTTTGTATCTCCGCGCGGGCATGTGTTAGGGGAGGGGTGGTTTGTATACTAAGGGGAGGTGGTTGCTCAAAGAATTTACACTGTATTTATTTTCCTTTCACCTTTGTTATCAATCCTTTCAGATATTGGACTTGTTGACGGTCAAGAGATTGTAGTAGCCGATGCCACAACACCTAAACCATTAATTGTTAAAATACACTTTTCATCTGACATGGAATGATAAGATCATTGACAACTGAACTTATTGCACAGTTTTTTCTGAAAATTATTGTCAATCAACTACTGCAACCAGAGAGATGTGGTGAAAATTGGTGCTTATATCACTCACACTAGTTTTCCCTTGTTGTTTATTGTTCTTTCAGAATTTTAAAATAAAATGTAGATAGCTCTCATGTTTTGCATTTATCAATTATTTTAACAGGCTCGTACCCAGTCGTTATTTATGTGTTTTTTGGATGAGAGAAGATTAGTATTTTTCCTTCCTCCCCTCCCATGAATCCCCGGGCGCCTCAAACTAGCCCCAATCTTCTCTCACCCCAAAAACACATAAATAGCGACTGGGTCCGAGTCTGTTATTTCAGTGGTGCACGAAAAAGAAACATTAGGAGAAGGGAGGCTCGCAAGAGGGTTGGCCTTAATAGCTTCCTTTCTATGAAGAAGGGGATGGCAAACTATTATTATTTATGTTTAGTAATAACCTGATTTTTTTGTTAAAAAAAGATAATGCTCAAGTGCTTAATACGTCCCTGCGGCGGGGAGCGAGGAGAGACAACTGCTTCAATCGCAAGCCACGGGATTTTATTTCAGTAATCGTCGTTTTTGCCTGAGTTGTTTATATACTGTGTGGCGCTCTTTCGACGTGTGCTACGCAGGCTAAGTGAAACCGTGACTTTTGGCTACAACCTTTTTGTATCATTATTCAAAAGACAATATTGCGAGATGAAGGGGTCATGCCGGGGAATAGTGCAGTTTGGCAAGTTACGATTCAGAAATAAAACTCTACCTTAGTGCCTAACTCCTTTAAATCAATATCAGTCAAAATGATTAACATTAACTGTTGACTGGGGCAAATAATCTTCCCTGACAACTACAGTCAACTCCTTTTATAGTGAATACTGTAGGGACCTGGAGTTAGTGTCCTCATTAGCTAGAGTCCGTAATAGCGGGAGTTTATTGCAGTCAAACATCTGTAATTTATTTTTGCTTGGGATTCAGTACGCTCAGTCTCCAGCCTTGGGTGTCGGCGCATCGAGACACCCAAGGCTGGAGACTGAGCCTAGGGATTTAGCTGCTGTCCGCTCGTATTATCGGAGTGTCCGTAAGGTGAGTAAACTAAGAGTAGTCCCTATTTTTCCTCAGGGATAGTAGAGCGAGCGAAACGCGAGAGCGCGCGATAATCACCCCACGCGAGAAAAGGCGGCGAGAGTTGACCTGAAAACATCAAAGTCAGATAACTACGCTCTCGAAGTAACTGGCGGGAATTCTACAATATCGGAGGTTTCCAGCAGACTTAATTTAAGATTTGGAATTACCTTTAAGCGTCAAATAGAAATGATTAGAGAGAGTCGAGGCTGTGTTGCGGAACGTTGCGGTGATAATAAATTATATGCAAATTGCAACAAAGTCTGTTTATTTTGATCAGCATAATAATTTTCTTTCCATGTTGTTATTAACTGAATTTGGCTCCTTTTACAAGGTTTCCTCGATGATTGCCTAAATGTTTCAACCAACTTTCGTTTCATCGTCATTCCGACACGATATTGTTGTTTTGATTTTTTCGTTGTCCCATGCGCGTCCGTGTAGGCTGCTGCGTCACAAACTCGAAAAAGTTCTCGCCTTTATCTCATTAAAATTCCCTTTGAAATCGAAAACTTACACATACAACAACTTCCTTGAAAGTTGTTTGTCTCCTTTGGCTGTGAGTAAGGAACACTCATTCAGTACGCAATGAAATTTTCACCGGCAATTAGTACACCTCGCACCGGTTTGCCCTTCTTGGCTGTGTCGTTAATATTGTGTGGTGTCGCTTGGGTTCATATTTCTGCTATGGATGATTCTTTGATTGGACAAGACCAAGACGTAGATATCGGCTCTAGTCTCCGAGAATCTGATGAAAAACACTCTGTCCTGTATCGCGAGCGAAGAGCCGTAAAAAAGAATGCAACCCCCAAGCAAGACTTTGAAAAACGACTGAAGATCATGGAAGAGAGGCGAGTCACAGGACACGTACCTTTGTTGTTCCGAAAGCTATCAAGCAGAAAAATCAGTAGCATCAAATTTACTTTCTGATCTTTTGATTGAATAACTGATTAGCACTTTAACCTGAACAAAAATTTTAACCAAAATCACATGTTTTACCGCGCTTTATATTGTTTCTTCTTTTCGCGGTGGAGCGGTTTTTCGCGAACTGAAGAAAAACCGTGTGTTACAAGGAAGCGAAAATCTTCGCGCCTTTCCCTTTTGGGCATCCATTTTTCTGTTATAATATTTATCATGTATATCTGTACTATTAACATAATGAGTATTGCCCAACAAAGTACATTAAACATGCAGGACTCTAACCCGCTTTAAGGTACCCTGTTCCTTCCAGGCGTTAAGACAGTGGAGACAGCGTAAAGAGGAGTCAGAAAAACAGACTTCGCACCGCACTCCACAATCTGAACGCCTAGAACAGGCTAGCTTTGAGGCGTTATATTTAGCGAGAACTTTTGTTCAATGGTCTCTTATCTTATTGGGAACAACAAAGGATATTGAGTTTATTGGGAGTGTTTTTGTAGGTTTTGGTTTTGATTTTGTCTTTAAACGCTCATTCAGCACAACGTTTCGTGTGTTTCTTGTTGTTGCGGAGAGTCACTCATTTTTAAACACCCTCATTGAAAATCTTTTCTCCTCTTTTGCAGGCATAATGAGAGTACAAGGCGATTGCAGGAAATAGAGAAGAGGTTTAATATACGGGTTTTGTCAGTTCATTATGTGCATTTCGTTTTTATAACGTTCTAAAAAAAGCTTTAATTTCATACGTTTATCCTTTATCCTTTGGAGAGACTACATTTCTTATGAAGATTGATCATGAAAACAGTCTCGCTGATATAGCAAGCATTTCAGTGGCATTAAGGGCTGATTCAGTGAAGGTTCTTTCGGGCATTAGGAATTGCGCGCTGGAAAGCAATTGTTTAGTTGTTACCCAAGAACGAAATCATTGAGGGCAGTGAGTTCCGTATGTACAAAGGCCCAATTTTCAGCAACCGTTATTGAATTAGGTATATACATTTATCTATTGTATCCCTCTGCTGGCTTAACATAAACCTAATGCCTCAGCTAAAATTTGACTTTTGTTATTTCTTTGATCTTACCCAGACTTGATGCCCTTCTGCGCATACCGCCTCCTCGATCTGGAGACTTATACGCTTCTCTTATGGGTTACCTTTTAGGTTGGTGTATTGTGTGATTAACTGTATTGTAATGAGCAATCACTGCAGACACTGGAAATTGCTAAAACAATCCAGCAATCTAATAAACGGGCAGCGAATGCCTAAAGAGCTGTGCCAGGAAAGAAATTCAGCCCAAAGGACCTGGCCCAAAAAATAAAGCGAACGTTAAACCCATTTAACCCTTGGAAAGCATATTTTGTCACCACGGACAAATGTTCCCACTTATTTTAGCGATGCTGGACTCGATGGTGTAAAAATTGCGAAAAACATGTCTGCGATTACCTCTTACCCAGAGGTCCCTCTCTCTCGATGAAAATTTGCGCGCAAAGGAAGGCGGGAAGGAGAAAACTGCCAAGACATCGCTTCTCCTCTCTTCTTTCACCTTCCCATGATCACTCGCGCTTCGTCACCAGTCACTCGCGTTTCGCCCCCGTTTCTTTTCGAAAAACGAAGCGCCTAAGGAGGAGGCAGTGTCTGCGGCATGATTCCGGGAAACTGCCCAGCTACCCCATCCCTGTAATCCTTTTTTTTTTACTCTCTACTCTAGGACAGCGTGGTCAAAATACAGGCAAGGAGAGAGTTGGACCACCTGGCCCTCCTGGATCACCTGGACCAACTGGATTGCCTGGACCATCAGGCCCCAAAGGCACACAATGAAATAGTCTATCTTAAAAATAAAATAAAAATAACCTCAATAACTAAAAATAAATTTTCCACCAATCGCGATACAGTAACACCCTTTCCATACCCTCCTCTTAAGAAAATGAAAACCAAGGCAAAAATGTGTGCTAAGAGCACTTTGCTTTGCATACGTTAAAGATCAGATCGCAAAGACAGCAAACCAAAATCGCTCAGACAAATGATACCGTTTAAAAACCCTAAGCTTCAGCACCATTTCTTTATAGGGGAACAGGGGAAACCTGGCACCAACAAGCCATGTCCAGGCCCTCCAGGTCCTAAGGGAGATCAAGGACCTGTTGGAAAGACTGGAGCCAAAGGACCTCAAGGACCTAAAGGGCAAAGGGGACAGGACGGGGCTGGCAGTTCAGGGGTGAAGTATGTGCGCTGGGGAAGGACCACATGTCCTAGCGGGGCACAGATAGTCTATAAAGGTAAAGAGACAAAAAAACGCACTGAGTGCTAAGGACAAGACCGCGAAAAAAAAGTTGAAAGCTACTCCTATAAACAAGTTCCTATTCCCTGATAATTCAAGCATCTGGTGATAGATCAGTTTTTGATGCTGATACCTAAGCTGCAGATAAGCGCACTTTGACAATATTATTGGATGAGGTTTTTGTGATATCCGGAATCAGTAATCAAGGTCGAGGTACTACGGTTCTGAAAGGCAATCTAGACAACAAATTTCTAAGGCTATAGGAAATTACAAGCAAACAAAATACGGAATAAGCGACTAATAGAATAGGAAATGTGGATTGAAAATGTCTTACATACCTAATTGGTGAACTTTAACGCCATGGAAAGGGCGCGCATGCAGTTGAACTGTAATATACAAACTAGCTACTAGCGTAAGTCGCTTATAATAAGGCAAATTAGCATAACAAGCTTACAATGTGGCTTTAATGAGTGTTTGTGATTATTCTCCGTTTGCTTCATTCAGGTAGAATGGGTGGACAGTTTTTCGTTCACAGTGGAGGCGGTTCAAACTACCTTTGCCTTCCACATAAGCCAAAGTATGACAGATACAGAAATGGCGTCCAGGGTGGGGGATATATCTACGGCACTGAATATCAAGTAAGTGCGGTCGTTGGCACTGTTTTCAAAAGAAATATCAATGACCATGATGCTCCCTGTGTTGTCTGCTTTGTCAAGTCACGTGGCTCAATGCTACTGATGCCCGCCAGGAATGACTGTCCGTCTGGATGGACCGAAGAGTATCATGGGTACCTGATGACTGAACACGCCAGTCATGCACACTCAACAGATTTTATCTGCCTTGACGGGGACCCAGAATATGTTCCTGGTAGCCAAGCAAACAGAGATGGTGCTTTGCTGTACCCTGTGGAGGGTAGATGCGGCTCGCTACCGTGTCGTCCTTATGTTGAGGGTCGAGAGTTGACATGCGCCGTGTGCACCAAGTGAAGCCCCTCGTGAAACAAAAGTAATAAACAGTAATTTCATAAATTCCCAGCTCTTAATCACACCTTCTTGTTTAAAAACAGTTAAAGCAGTAAGCAAGGTGTGGTGGCAGAACATAAGGCAATGTTAACAATAAACCACGTGATTGTCTCCAGATGAATGCTTGTTTCTTTAATTGTGTGCAAGTCTTATCATTAATTTTAAAAGGGCATGGCTAATGTGGATAAGAGTTAATTTCTGTGCCTAAAAGAACACATTTATGATTCAGTTCTAAATTCTGTATTGTTTTTAAATGCCTATTTAAAAATACTCGTACCCTCGAAATTCCTGAAAAATTCAAACCTATGGTAACTTTTCTTCACTATTCAAACATTGTAATTTTATCTCCGATTTTTCAAACTTCTAGTTATTTCGAGCCGATTTGGTTAGGAAAATCGGGGTTTCAGTGAGTACCGTTAAGTGTTCTGTTAGGCTGAATTTCAGCCGTGAGCCTTCCCCTCGAGTCGCACACTCCCGTGAAAGACATGTTTCTCGGGAGTGAGAAACTCGAGTACGGATGAAATTCACATCGGGGCTAGTGTTCTGCGTTTCGTTTTTTATTTGGAAGGGTACAATTTCTTTTTTTTTTTTTTTTTCGGGGGGGGCAGTGGAGTGGGGGGTTCGCGTATGAAAGTCCCTATTTGAACTGGTCGAAAATGATCCAACATAGCATTATTGGGAACACCTTTTTGGGCAGTGTGGCACCTTTTTCTCAGATCAGGTTTCACCGTGTTCAAACTTTTCATTCAGTTTTATCCAACATGTTTCCCTGTGCTACAGACCACGACGCCGGTACATATTACCCACATTTTAAAAAAAAGCGCAGGTTTGAGGTTCGTCCGATGAAACATGAGTTTTTTCGGCGGTAAACTTCTTGCCCGAAAGTAAGTTCTCTTGGTTTCTGAAAACGTAATACTACAAGCACACTCCAATTGCATAGACATCAAAAATCATATAGACCCTTTCCTTCCAAAGATGAAGTCAAGGAAGACCCAAAATAATTCTTTTGAAACCTAGTAATAATAGCTTGCGAACGATTTTGATCTTTGGGCTGCCAAGACTGGCGTTAATCCGGCTGTCGATTGACTTCCGATTTTCCTGACGGCTCGCCCTAATTTCGTACCCAGATCTCTCAAGGCCAGGGGAAAGTTCAAGACAGAGTGAGATTAAGAGTGAGATCTGGATACAAGATTACTATCAACCAATTAAACGTGCCCAGATCGGCCAATCAAAACGTCCGAAAACGACTCTAGAATTCCTTTTTCAAAGAACACTCAACGCATTTTGACGGTTACGAAGCTATTCAGCTTACTTTTATTGTACTCTCTCCCATCTTGCTACGGAGAAACATCTTCAAAGGTCCTCAAACGCTGGAATCTACTGAACGATAAAAAGGATGAATCTATGACTTGCCCACAGGTCGGGCTCAAAATTTTCCTCCAGCGCGCGGAGAACGGGCTGAACAGTGAGACCATATATTTTTAGCTGCTCATTCCATATAGTGATGATGGGGTTCACCAGTCTGTAGCACACACAGTGTGGTTCCATAATCTTGCGCACTTCCCTTGTTTAGGTACCCTTTTTGTCCACATTAAAAGAGAAACAACTCCTTTTTAAATGTACCTTTTCCCAAACTGTCTTTTATACTGTGAAGTCTATAGAAGAAAGAACAAGAGAGAATCTACCCAAGAGATTGAAAGGTACTGTACCAGTTCATGCATATTGGATGCGACTAGAAATTAATCTACCCTGTGTTCCCGGAAGGAGTTTGCCAAAAGAATGATTATTCCATCACAGTTTTAGTCTGCGAAGGAGAAACGGATGTTTTCGCAGGCTACTCTAATATTTTTTGTAGAGGATTTAGCATACTCAAAGGAGAATATAGATTGGCTGAACATTATAAAAATGCCAACCAACTATTGCTTAATAAAACCAAACATAACCATTAGTATTTTCTACATTTTTATAATTGTTATAAGCACCTAAAATGGCTGTGTTGCACACAAGAGGTGGTCATCTGTTGAGATTCCTACTATAATATGTATAACCCGAGGCTGACCAATTAAGAAGCAATTAAACGAGCGTTTTCGAAGTTTTCCAGCGACAAGGGTAATTTAAAAACACTGTGCAGTTAATCCTTAATTGAATGAGGACTCGTTTAATTCTTGTTTGTTACTATAAGATAAAAGTTTATAGAGGAAATCACACCAGGCCCTCCCTTGATAACCAAGATATTTTCTTCTCTCTCAGCCAATCTGCGTTCAATAATTTTGTCCTTTAACTGATGCGTGTGATATATACTACATGGCCGAATGGATACGAAATTTCTCTTCGAGTGTTGAAACATATTTCTCCAGTGAATGCAACAAACGAGTAGAATATTTTTCAACACGAGAAGAGAAATTTGTTCTATTGTATAACCACTAGTCTAATGAATTACAAGGTGAGTTTTCGCGCGAAATCATGATATCTTCACATGTGAACAGATCACCGTCGCTACGGCTACACAATAAATCACGCCTTTCACATAGACTACGAGTAGTCCCCATTTTTCCTCAGGGATATTAGATAGGGCAAAACACGAGTGCGCGTGAGAATCACCTCTCGCGAGAAAGGCGCGCTCGCTCTACTATCTCTGAGGAAAAATGGGGACTACTCGTAGTCTACCTTTCACAGGAATAATCTGTTAAAGTGAAATGGTTTGGTATTTTATTGGTGTTTATGTAGTAAATAGAGCGTTACATGACCGCTTTGAGCTACGACATTTCTCTTGTGTTGACAACACTCGAAAAGACGGAATTTTGTAACTCCGCGCGGGCATGTGTTAGGGGAGGGGTGGGTTGTATACTAAGGGGAGGTGGTTGCTCAAAGAATTTACACTGTATTTATTTTCCTTTCACCTTTGTTATCAATCCTTTCAGATATTGGACTTGTTGACGGTCAAGAGATTGTAGTAGCCGATGCCACAACACCTAAACCATTAATTGTTAAAATACACTTTTCATCTGACATGGAATGATAAGAACATTGACAACTGAACTTATTCCAGAGTTTTTTCGGAAAAAATTATTGTAAATCAACTACTACTGCAACCAGAGAGATGTGGTGAAAATTGTAGACTTTCAAAAAAGTCCGTCGGATTCATCTTCGCGGCCAAACAAGGCTCTCTCTCTCGCCAAGAGGTCTATGAAAATTGGTGCTTATATCACTCACACTAATTTTCCCTTGTTGTTTATCGTTCTTTCAGAATTTTAAAATAAAATGTAGATAGCTCTCATGTTTTGCATTTATCTGTTATTTTAGCAGGCTCGTACCCAGTCGTCATTTATGTGTTTTTTGGATGAGAGAAGATTAGTATTTTTCCTTCGTCCCCTCCCATGAATCCCCGCGCGCTTCAAACTAACCCAATCTTCTCTCACCCCAAAAACACATTAATAGCGACTGGGTACGAGTCTGTTATTTCAGTGGTGCACGAAAAGGAAACATTAGGAGAAGGGAGGCTCGCAAGAGGGTTGGGCTTAATAGCTTTCTTTCTATGAAGAAGGGAATGGCAAACTATTATTATTTATGTTTAGCAATAACCTGATTTTTTTTTGTTAAAAAAAGATAATGCTCAAGTGCTCAATACGTCCCTGCGGCGGGGGGCGAGGAGAGACGACTGCTTCAATCGCAAGCCACGGGATTTTATTTCAGTACTCATCGTTTTTGCCTGAGTTGTTTACATACTGTGTGGCGCTCTTTCGACGTGTGCTACGCAGGCTAAGTGAAACCGTGACTTTTTGCTACAACCTTTTTGTATCACTTTTCAAAAGACGATCGATTCAAAAATAAAACTGTACCTTAGCGCCTAACTCCTTTAAATCAATATCGGTCAAAATTGAAAACATTAACTAATGACTGGGGTAAATAATCTTCACTGACAACTACAGTCAACTCCCTTTATAGCGCACACTGTGGGACCTTGAGTTCATTAGCGAGAGTCCGTAACAGCGGGAGTTTATTTCAGTCTAACATCTGTAATCTATTTTTGGTTGGGATTCAGTACGCTCAGTCTCCAGCCTTGGGTGTCGGCGCATCGAGACACCCAAGGCTAGGGACTGAGCCTAGGCATTTAGCTGCTGTCCGTTCGTATTATCGGAGTGTCCGTAAGGTGAGTAAACTACGAGTAGTCCCTATTTTTCCTAAGGGATATTAGAGCGAGCGAAACGCGAGAGTGCGTGATAATCACCCCACGCGAGAAAAGGCGGCGAGAGTTGACCCGTGTAATTAGATCTGATAGCCGCGATCTGAAAACATCAAAGTCAGCTAACTACGCTCTCCACAGGTAGCCTAAGCTCGAAATGAGCATCGGCGAGCATCGGCATTGTTGCGTAACATTCAAAATATAAGGATTTGTATCAGGGACACCCAACGGCAATTTTCGGGAAAATATCTGTTCGGAAGACAATTTGAGAACTAGAATTTACAGAACATTTGTTGTAAAATTTCTTGCTTGCCTGCCTCTCCTAGGATTTTCGAACATCTACAAAAAGGTATAATTGCCCATTTTAAACGGATATTTACCCTAAAAAAAGGCCACCTAGAATTTTCAGGAGCCTTTTCCTGGCTGAAATTTTCGAAAAGGTAAGTTTTGATCCCTATAATTTTCGGATCGCTAGACTTTCAGCTAGGAAATCCGAACAGATGAAAAGTTTTTAGGGGATAAAAATATGCCTATATCTACCGTTTAAATACTAAAATACGTTCAACAATGCTATGTTAAGTAGTTTTGAACTATATCCTCGTTGGGTGCCCCTGTTGTATGGGTAGCCTGCGTAGCAGGCGTCGAAAGAAGTAGGGGATAGGGAAAAAGGGAAAAAGGGAGGGGGGGCGCGGGATAGAGGGGAAGGGACACCTGCAATAAAAACCCCCTCTTATTCATTTCTGCGGACGCTGGCGTCCGCAAATTCCTGATTGGCTGAGCCGTAATGAGTAACTTATTGGGGTGTATCCTGGCGTGTATTAGTGTGAGAGACAAACATGACGAAGGCATCAAGAAAATGCGTTCTACTGGCATAAGCTTTGGAAGATCAAAATTACCGTGACTGCAATCATGTAGCAACTTCACGTTAAAACCCGAACTAAAACCAACTGTAACAGCTTGTTTAGCAGGCAGAGATGCTCAGGAGGTTTTGTATACTGGATTTGTCCAAACACCGAGCAGCAATTCAAAGCGATTGCGATTCTTGCCAGACATCTGCAATGCCGATATTCAAAATACCTACCTTTTCCGCAAAAATATATACCGTCTTGAATGGAGTTTTAAATGGTTTGCAAAGAGAGAGCTGAAGCTTTGGTAAAAACTATCCGTTGAGCGTTTTGATAATTCTCCTTTACTTTCATTATACGCGTCTCAAGCTGGCCGTTGTTCTGTTCTTTGTGACCATCACGGTGCTTGATGAGGTTGTAAGATAAAAGGTCTTGTCAGGAGCCGATTACTTGGAGCCTCCACGGCTCCCATATAAGCCCTTGGAGTCAACCCTTTCCGACGAAAAATTATTTATAGAAATAGCTTTCGCGGAATATTTTCACGCCTTCTCAGTAATATTCAATCGGCTCCTGGTCTTGTGTATTCACACGATACTGATCATAGTTCAAGTTGTCGTAGACTGCAAGCAGTAAAAAAATGAGAGAGACAGCTCGTAGTCTATGTTTGTCGTGTTTGCTGCGGGAGCAAGAACAGTAAAAATGTTTCATTTCGCTCGATTATGATATCACTTGACAATTTCCGGTAAACAAAGTAATTCAGTTCGGACCATGCTGAGAAGTCCCGTACTTGTGATTGGTCACGTATTGACAGTGACATTATCGGATTAGTTGAGAAAATGGTGGGCGGATCACAAAAACACCGGCTCTTATAGCAGGCGCTCCCTTAGGCTCGATTACCAGCCGCTGTTCGGGAAAATGAGCCCGCACTCATCCCACCCGGGAGACGGCGGAAATCGAGCCTAGCGCTCCCTTCCCTTTCCCCTCTTTCGTGCTTTTCTCCCTCCCCTTTTTGCGCCTGCCACGCAGGCTATGTATGGGAAAAAAACCCATCGTTTCCGTAACCTACGAAAATGAAAGGATTTCAATAAAAAATAGCTTACCTTACTTAGTGTGTGTTACGTCTCTCCTGTGTGGTCCACGGGCCGAGTTATGGCCTTTTTATGGGTTTTTATGTAAACGGTTTTCTCTCTATATAAAGATTTACCTTGATATGGAGAGAAAACCGTTCACATAAAAACCCATAAATCGGCCCGTGGACCACACAGGAGAGAGTTAACACACATTTTAAGTAAGGTAAGCTGCTTTTTACTGAAATCCTTTCATTATCGTAGGTTACGGAAACGATAGGTTTTTTTCCCATACAAATCCTTATATTTTGAATGTTACGCAACAATGCCGATGCTCGCCGATGTTCATATTTCGAGCTTGGACTACCTGTGCGCTCTCTCAGTAACTGGCTCGCATTTTACAATATCGGAGGTTTCCAACAGACTTAATTTAAGATTTGGAATTACCTTTAAGCGTCAAATAGAAATGATTAGAGAAAGTCGAGGCTGTGTTGCGGCACGTTGCGGTGATAATAAATTATATGCAAATTGCAAAAAAGTCGGTTTATTTTGATCAGCATAAGAATTCTTTTTCCATGTTGTTATTAACTAAATTTGGCTCCTTTTACAAGGTTTCCTCTATGACTGCCTAAATGTTTCAACCAACTTTCGTTTCATCGTCATTTTGACACGATATTGTTGTTTTTAAAAATTTTTCGTTGTCCCATGCTCGTCCGTGTAGGCTGCTGCGTCACAAACTCGAAAAAGTTCTCGACCTTATCTCATTAAAATTCCCTTTGAAATCGAAAACGTACACATACAACAACTTCCTTGAAAGTTGTTTTGTCTCCTTTGGCTGTGAGTAAGGGACGCTCATTCAGTACGCAATGAAATTTTCACTGGCAATTAGCAAACCGCCTCGCACCGGTTTACATTTTTTGGCCGTGTCGTTAATGTTGTGTGGTGTGGCTTGGGTCCATATTTCTGCTATGGATGATTCTTTGATTGGACAACACCAGGAGGTAGATAGCAGCTCTAGTCCCCGAGAATCGGATGATAAACACTCTGTCCTGTATCGCGAGCGAAGAGCCGTAAAAAAGAATGCAACCCCCAAGCAAGACGTTGAAAAACGACTGAAGGTCATGGAAGAAAGGCGAGTCACAAAACGCGTACCTTTGTTGTTCCGATAGCTATCAAGCCGAAAAATCAGTAGCATGAAATTTACTTCTGATATTTTGATTGAATAACTGATTAGCACTTTAACCTAAACACAAATTTTAACCAAAATCACATGTTTTACGGCGCTATATATTGTTTCTTCTTTTCGCGGTGGAGCGGTGTTTCGCGAACTGAAGTAAAACCTTGTGTTACAAGGAAGCGAAAATCTTCGCGCCTTTCCCTTTTGGGCATCCATTTTTCTATTATAATATTTTATCATGTATATCTGTACTATTCATATAATATGTATTGTCCAACAAAGTACGTTAAACATGCAGGACTCTAACCCGCTTTAAGGTACGCTGTTCCTTCCAGGCGTTAAGGCAGTGGAGACAGCGCAAAGAGGAGTCAGCAGGAAAAACAGACTTCGCACCGCACTCAGGCCCGTAGCAGGGGGAGGGGCAGGGGGGACTCGAGCCCCCCCAGAAATTTTCAGACTTGAATTAAATTCTGCTACAAAAGTGGAGTTTTTCTACTAAAATGAACAGCTGTCAATGGAAGCTAAAATTTCAAAGTATTGACGATCATAGTAAGACTATGTACTGTTGTTCTTTTGTGCAATTTGGAATTGTGTAAATGAACGAAATCGTATTTTTGCTCTGCCAAAAACGACCAACAGCTGTAAAATATATATCTTATTAAGCATCAAAATAGTCAGATGCAAAATGGATCGAAATGCACCAATGACAATCCCACCTGAGCCACCTCATGATGTTGCATGTTCACAAGGACAGAACAGATGCTCTAACCCTTGTAGACGTAGCTAATGACTTCGTTGGGGAGAAAGAAAACCGAAAGCAATTGTTTGGCAAATTTTCCGCGAACGATATCCCAAGCAAGTTCTCTATTTCGTCAAAGTCAACACAAACGGAAAATTAGAGACAACAACAAAAGGTGTTGTAGACAAATGTAGTGATCTGACATGTACCAAGAAGTATGCTTTAACCGAGGAAGCAAAGCGGGGGGGGGGAGTTAATTTGGGCCACTCGCTCAGCCCCCCCAGTCATTTTATGCTTGGTACGGGCCTGGCACTCCACAATCTGAACGCCTGGAACAGGCTAGCTTTGAGGCGCTATATTTAGCGAGAATTTTTGTTCAATGGTCTCTTATCTTATTGGGAACAGCAAAGAATATTGAGTTTATTGGGGGTGTTTTTGTAGATTTTGGTTTTGATTTTGTTTTTAAACGTTCATTCAGCACAAAGTTTTGTGTGTTTCTTGTTGTTGCGGAGAGTTACTCATTTTTAAACACCCTCACCGAAAATCTTTTCCCCTCTTTTGCAGGCATAATGAGAGTACAAGGCGATTGCAGGAAATAGAGAAGAGGTTTAATATACGGGTTTTGTCAGTTCATTATGTGCATTTATTTCTCATAACGTTCTAAACAAAGCTTTAATTTCATACGTTTACCCTTTATCATTTGGAGAGACTACATTTCTTAAGAAGATTGATCATGAAAACAGTCTCGCTGATATAGCAAGCATTTTAGTGGCATTAAGAGCTGATTTAGGAAAGGTTGTTTCGGGCATTAGGAATTGCGCGCTGGAAAGCAATTGTTTAGTAGTTACACAAGAAATAAATCATTGCCGGCAGTGAGTTCCGTATGTACAAATGCCCAATTTTCAGGCAACCATTATTGAATTAGGTATATACATTTATCCATTGTCTCCCACTGCAGGCTTAATATTAACCTAATGCTTCAGCTAAAATTTGACTTTTGTTATTTTCTTGATCTTTCCCAGACTTGATGCCCTTCTGCGCATACCGCCTCCTCGATCTGGAGACTTATACGCTTCTCTTATGGGTTACCTTTTAGGTTGGTGTATTGTGGTTTCTAATTATTGTAATGAGCAATCACTGCACACAATGGAAATTGCCAAAACAATCCAGCAATCTAAACGGGCAGCGAATGCTTAAAGGAGCTGTGCCAGGAGAGAAATTCGGCCCAAAGGACCTGGCCCAAAAAATAAAGCGAACATTAAACCCATTTAACCCTTGTAAAGCATATTTTGTCACCGCGGACAAATGTTCCCACTTATTTTAGCGATGTTTGACTCGATGGTGCAAAAATTGCGAAAAACATGTCTGCGATTGCCTCTTACCCAGAGGTCCCTCTCTCTCGATGAAAATTTGCGCGCAAAGGAAGGCGGGAAGGAGAAAACCGTCAAGACATCGCTTCTCCTCTCTTCTTTCACCTTCCCATGGTCACTCGGGCTTCGTCACCAGTCACTCGCGTTTCGCGGTCGCCTTTGTGCGAAAAACGAAGCACCTAAGGAGGAGGCAGTGTGTGCGACATTATTCCGGGAAACTGCCCACCTACCTCATCCCTGTAATCCTTTTTTTTACTCTCTACTCTAGGACAGCGTGGTCAAAATACAGGCAAGGAGAGAGTTGGACCACCTGGCCCTCCTGGATCACCTGGACCAACTGGATTGCGTGGACCATCAGGCCCCAAAGGCACACAATGAAATATTCTATCTTAAAAATAGGCTAAAAATATCTTCAATAACTGAAAATAAATTTTTCACTAATAGCAATACAGTAACACCCTTTCCATACCCTCCTCTTAAGAAAATGAAAACTAAGGCAAAGATATGTGCTAAGAGCACTTTGCTTTGCGTACGTTAAAGATCAGATCGCAAAGACAGCAAACCAAAATCGCTCAGACAAATGATACCGTTTAAAAACCCTAAGCTTCAGCACCATTTCTTTATAGGGGAACAGGGAAAACCTGGCACCAACAAGCCATTTCCAGGCCCTCCAGGTCCTAAGGGGGATCAAGGACCTGTTGGAAAGACTGGAGCCCAAGGACCTCAAGGACTTAAAGGGCAAAGGGGACAGGATGGGTCTGGCAGTTCAGGGGTGAAGTATGTGCGCTGGGGAAGGACCACATGTCCCAACGGGGCACAGATAGTCTATAAAGGTAAAGAGTGCTAAGGACATAACCGTGAAAAATTTGAAAGCGACACCCGTAAACAAGTTCCTGTTCCCAGATAATTCAAGCATCTGGTGATAGATCAATTTGTGATGCTGATACCTAAGCTGCAGATAAGCGCACTGGAACATTTTTCTCAAACACCTTTATAACAAAAATTATTGCATGAGTTTTTTTGTGATAGCATGATCTCCGGAATCAGTAATCAAGGTCGAGGTGAAAAAAAAAAATAATGAGAAACACATCGTCGAAGGGAACACAGTTTGACATCGCTCTTGGAAATCATACATTACTATCAGATAACTAATTAATCTATCGTTTGCGCGGATTTCCAAAATCTACTGTAGGCCCTTAGCCAGTGAAAGACAGATAGCGAGTACAACGCATAATAATGTGGCTATATGAGCTTATATGATTATTCTCCGTTTGCTTCATACAGGTATAATGGGTGGAGAGTATTACGGTCACCATGGAGGTGGTGCAAACTACCTTTGCCTTCCGCATAATCCAAAGTAGGCCAGATACAGAAATGGCGTCCAGGGTGGGGGATATATGTACGGCACTGAATATGAAGTACGTGCTTTCGTTGGCACTGTTTTCAAAAGAAATATCCACGACCATGAAGCTCCCTGTGTTGTCTGCTTTGTCAAGTCACGTAGCTCAATGCTGATGATGCCCGCAAGGAATGACTGTCCGTCTGGATGGACCGAAGAGTATCATGGGTACCTGATGACTGAACATCACGGTCATAGGCACTCAAGAGATTTCATCTGCCTTGACGGGGACCCAGAATATGTTTCTGGTAGCCAAGCAAACAGAAATGGTGCTTTGCTGTACCCTGTGGAGGGTAGATGCGGCTCGCTACCGTGTCTTCCTTACGTTGAAGGTCGAGAGTTGACATGCGCCGTGTGCACCAAGTGAAGCCCCTCGTGAAATAAAAGTAATAAACAGTAATTTCATAAACTCTCAGCTGTTGATCACACCTGCTTGTTGAAAAACAGTTAAAGTAGTAAGCAAGGTGTAGTGTACAGAGCATAAGGTGATGTTAACAATAAACCACGTGATTGCCTCCAGATGAATGCTTGTTTCTTTTTTTTCTGCAAGTCTCATCATTTATTTTAAAACGGCATGGTCAATGTGGATAAGAGTTAATTTTTGAGCTTAAAAGAACACATTTATGATTCTGGTGCCCTTAAAATTCCTCAAAAATTCGAACCTAATGAACTTTTTTTTCACTATTCAAGCATTGTAATTTTATCTCCGATTTTTCAAACCTCTAGTTATTTCGAACCGATTTGGTTAGGAAAATCGGGGTTTCAGTGAATACCGGTAAGTCTTCCCTCGAGTCGTACACTTCCGAGAGAAACGACATCTTCCTCGGGAGTGGGCGACTCGAGTACGGCTGAAATTCAGCTCTGCCTAGTGTTCTGCTTTTTGTGCTTTATTTGGGAGGGTACAACATTTTTGGGGGGGGGCGGGGGGGGGGGGAAGGGGGCCAGCGTATGAAAAGCCTTATTTAAACTGACCCAAAGAGATCCAACGTAGCGTTGTTGGGACTAGCCTCCCCGCAGACGTCCTTTGGGGTTCGTTTGTCACGCATTCAAGGACGTCTGCGGGGAGGCAATGTTGGGATCCGTTTGATTACCTTTATGGGCAGTTTAGGATGTTTTCAGATCAGATCAGGTTTGACCGTGTTCAAACTTTTTATTCAGTTTTATCCAACATGTTTCCCTGTACTACAGATCACGACGTCGGCACATATTACCCACATTCGAAAAAAAAAAGCGCAGGTTTGAAGCATGAGTCTTTTCGGCGGTGACCCTCTTGCCCAAGAGTAAGATATCCTGGTTTCTTAAAGCTTCTGAAAGCGTAGTGGTACAAGCACACTCCAATTGCATAGACATCAAAAGTCATATAGACCTTTTTCTTCTAAAGAAAAAAGTTCGAAGACGAAAAATAATTCATTTGAAACCTTGTAATAACAGCTTGTGCTAGGAGCGATGGGTGATGGGATCCTACTTACGAACCATCTCGGGGTTGCGAAGACTGGCGTTATTCCTGCCGATTTCTGACCTATATGTCAATTATCCTGTCGACTGACTGCCGATTTGCCGATTCGTCTGACGAAGGGCCGTACCGCTTCTCCAACTCCCTAATTTCGTACCCAGATCTCCCACGGCCAGGGGAAAGTTCAAGAAAGAGTACGGTGGCCAATCAAATGCCCAGATCGGCCAATCATAAAACTGCCGAAAACGACGCTACACTGACATTACTTTTATATAAAGAGCACTCAATGCATATTGATGTTTACGAAGCTATTCAGCTTACTGTTATTGTACTTTTCTCCATCTTGCTTCGGAGAAACATCTTAGGTCCTCAAACGCTGGAGAAACGATAAACAGGATGAAGCTTAAGAGCTCAAAACTTTTCTCGGGCGCGCGAAGCGCGAGTGGGACCGGAAATGAGACGGAAGGACTTTAACAAAGGGCCTATCCGAACTGGCGAAAAAGCTGTTTATTTAGACAAACTTTCTGTCATCACCAAATGCGGATGGTTTGTCGCGATTTTACAAATTTTGTCCCAGAGTGGACAATCTTCAAAGGCTCCGTGGACAAAATTTGTCATGGGTAAAAACTGGACAAAATCCACCAAATAAACAAAAATCTGTTTTTCTTGTCAATTATTTGTTGTAAAGCCATTATTTCTCCATTAACAAATGCGAATGTTGTCAGATGTAACGGCCTAGTTTCCAGTGCGGATAAATGTTTTCCAAACAAAAATTGGGACGATACAATTTTTGGTTTCAAAGACAATTCCGATTTTGTCTGCTAGGAAAGGCCCAAAGTCTAAATGTAGCTGTGTAAACAACAATATTGCCTCTTGTAAATCCGAAGAGAAATTGGAAACAATGCTTATGCAAAACTTTTGGGGGTAAACAAGGTGTATTATGGAAATGTGAAAGTAGCGAATTGCATCAAAACGAGGTAAACTGCAGCCTCGTTTCACGTCGGTAACACGTAACAGACAAAACTGAGGCCGACTCATTAGGGCCATTTATAAGAGGAAAAATAAGACGCGTCTTGCATAAGACGCGAACTGTACCATTTATACAAGCATGTCTTATCTAAGACAAGAACAGCTAGTATAAATGGTTCGCGTCTTATTTCTATTCTTGACTCGTTTTCATGTGAATGTTGCCCGTAGCAACGGCAATCCAACGTGGCGCGCCAAAAATTTACGCATGCGTACTATGCGTTCGCGTCTTGTGTAAGACGCGAAGGTCATTTATACGAAGTTTTTCCCGTCTTAGCTGAGACGCGTCTTATCTAAGAACAGGTGTTAAGGGCTGTTCTAAAATAACACGCGTCTTAGCTAAGCCGCGTCTTATTTTAGACGAAATGTGCCGTTTATACGGAAAGTTCAAGACGCGTCTTATGTAAGACGCGTCTTATTTTTCCTCGTATAAATGGCCCTATTCTTGGGTTGCACGTGACGTCACCAAAAATCAAACTAGGAAACTATCGATTCTTCTGAGTTTCTACTTTCACGAGGTATTACAGTATCTAAACACCTTTACATAAGCAAATTTTTGGTTCGAAAGGGTTCTTCGTTTTGCGAGAGAGGACGCTTGAATTTCCAGGCTTTTGCGTGACGTGGCATTTAGCTGGCGGCCGGGAAAGCTCTTATGTGGGTTAAAAACACTACCGATTTTGGGAGATATTGCAATCTAAACATTCCTTGTCTCAGAAGAAATATTACTGTAATCTTTATGAGTTCCTCAAGTGAAGAATTCACGCATTAGTAGGAAAACTCGAAAACAGATGTTTCTGTTAGTATCCGGCGGCCATATTGGTGTTCCTGAAAGGGACACCAACATGGCGTTTCCATACAAAGCCTTATAAATCTAGGTAAACCGTTTTCCCCAATATCTCGCATTTGAAATATTTCACAGACCTGATTCTTGGCAAGGGTTTTTGTATATTTATCTTTTTTCATTTCCCAGATTCTAATCCTTCTGTATTGAATGGTTTGCATTTTTATTTTTCATTGCGTGACAGTGCAAGCCGAGAATTATTTCAATATGCAGCATCCAGAATCCCCTCATCCTTTACACCTCAAAAGTGGTCTGAAAAAATTTTACTTTGTCTTGTTTTTCAACCCACTTCTCGATCGATGTCCCACAAAATCTCGTCCGTGTTTGAACATTATAAGCCCGCGAAAACAGCCGTTTTCCCTCGCTCCCCGCCGCCGGGGTTGTTTCGCCAGGAGAAACGTGAATTGTGCTCTGTTTTCGCAAGCTAGAACATTATGTCCAGCTTTTAAATCATCAATGACTAAGAATTTAAATCTGCCCGAAGCAAGATCAGATCATATAAACTTCCTCACATGCTCCTTCTCTGAAATTAACGTGTTACATGTATTTACATGAATGAAGTGAAGTTCAAAATAATGTAGATGTCCGTCCACACTTATTTTTTGTAAATTATTTAACTAAAACGGTTATCCCGTCATGCGTCCATACGGGCAAACAGAAAGACTTTTATTAGTTAATGAATAAATAACAGCTGAAATAACACACTGTAAAAGGACAAAAGAGAGGAAATAAATAAGTAATGAATTAAATACGTAAATTTTTTAACAAGTAGCTCCACAAACCGAATTTCAACCATTGCCGTTATCTTCAAAGACCAGGCAATCAAAGCAATGACAGAAATGACAGTTACGAAATAGTTAAAATCATAAGGTCAGATCTCACTACAGATTAACAGCATTTTTTAGAAAAGCATGCAAAGGCTGTTAACCAATTTATTCTGAAACTTGCAAAAACGTCCCCTCACTGACGAAATCCACAGCCACGTTGCTGCAAAGACAGGCTTGAAGATATCTTTAGTGCTGTGAGCTACAGATGACTCAGCAGTAGTAGAAAATAATGACGATTTGACAAAAACTGCCGTTATGCAGTTGTCAGAGTAACATGAGTTATTTCTGCCTTGGACCACAACCTCATTGGCATTCCCCAAAAATGAACCCCACTGGAAACATAAACGTATGATCCAGATTTGTGCTGGTAAAGCCCCGCAAAGAATGGTTCGGCAACAAGATGAAACAGATGTATTGGAAATAACTGTCCTCCGTGTGTGTGACCAGTTAAAACAAGATCAACATGATAATCATCCAAAGCCAGTTTTGCAACTTTTGGTCTGTGAGCAAGTAAAACTGTTGGGGTACCATGATTGACTCCTGTCAGTGCCTTGCCTATGTCGGTGCCGTGATCCCCAGATCTAAAGTAATGAAAAGTGCGATCATTTCATTTTTCAAATTCATAAAGGAACCAGGCACACCTGCCTCCACCATTTTAAGAAAATTGGTCAGATTTTTCAAAATAAATATATTTTTAATGATAAAAAACACTTTCCAAGTTGAAATCTGACCAATATCCTATCTGAATGACTCAGAAACCCTGGAAAGGGGACTTAACCCTTTAAGCACCAATAGTGACCAACAGCAATTTTCTCCTAACGATATCCATACACTGTAATGAGATGAGGTTATGAGAATTAATAAAATGATCACCTAGGAGAAAATACTTTGATCTTTTATCAAATTCTCTTAACTAATTCTTAAAGGAAATGTATAGAGATCAGTTTGGAGAATTTGTTTGTGGATACTGGGGCTTAAAGGGTTAAAGGAAAAATTTCCTGGGGGAGCCTGCTCCCAAACCGCCCTAGAAGTTTGCGCCTTTGACGCTTGTTTAGGAAATCAGTCAGTATTTATCTTAGATACCCGCCTGGGATCATGAGGAGCTACTATAGGATCATAGAGGGCCCATGTTGAATACCTGTCCATTAGAGAAGAGAAGGCATTTGAATAGTTCAGTCTGCTGTTTAGAAAAATGTATGCAAACAACTTCACGTGAAATCGTATGGTTAGATCCAGCTTGAGACCTTACAATAAACTGCTGCTTATAAGCCCCCCAGTCACAGGCCCATCTCCTGGTAAACAAGAAAATACATGCAATTATATGCCCCCCCATATACAAGCCCTCCTGTAGCTTATATTGAAATGAGTTTGATTTCATATGGTGTTTGAAACTTAATTAAAAACTAGTAAATGCAGAACATATTTTGATCAGCACTTCTATGATCATTAAGCGCTTTTTTATTTTGGTTAAGAGCCCCCATCGGATTTAAGCCCATCCATTTAGAAGTCCTAATAAGACCCCTTATAAAGGTGTATAAGCCCAGGGCTTATACTTTACGGTACTCAAAATTGAGCCACAAGAAGGGGCGGGGGTGGGGTGGGGAGTTTGGGAGGCACTTATTTTGCTAGTTTAGCCAAGGATTAGCTGATTAAGTGCTTAATTGGGAGATGGCACTAAATACAGAGCATAGTGCAAATTCTTATTTGAGGGAACAAAGCAATACAAAGCAAAATGACCCTTTCACCTAGTGTTCATCTTTTCTTTATCATTTTTATCATATAAAATTATTACAGTTTTGCTTTTGAAAGGTGGCCTGCATAGCAAGTGTTTCCACTTGAGTTACAGTAGAACCCCTTTACAACAGCCACCTTGAAGACAGAAGAAAGTGGCGGCTGTAAAGACATGGGGTCTTTCTGCAGGTACCGGAAAGCTTTGTATTTTTGGTCACTTGGGATTAGTCTTTATTTGGAGTTGTTTTGTTTCCTGTCTTTTATTACTATTGTATTACGTAATCTGTGCTCCGGTACTCACAGAAGGAACCAAGACATGGCCGTTGTAGAGAGGCTTTAAACAAGAGTCAATGTATGGACTTTTTGTTTGCTGGGACAAAAAAAAGTGGCCATTGTAGAGCGGTGGCTGTTAGTGGGGTTCCTGGACTGTATAGTACAAAATTTGTAACATAAGGCGGCCACAAAATGGAAGAAGGAGGAGGGTAGAAGAGGAAATCGCTTTCCAGTCAACACTTCCACACCACCCGAAAAACAGGCTGCATTAGTGGCATCAGTATTTTGAGATTTGTGTACAAGCATTTCCTTTTCTCCCATCCCCCTTTATCCCACTTTTTTGTTACCCTTTTAAATTTTCTCAACACACTTTTGTGAAAACGCTTGCTATATATGCAGGTTATTTGAAATGCTGTATTGTGCTTATTATGACTCAGAACAACTTACCTGAGAAAACCACCCTCGGTATCATCCACTCCAGCAAGACAAAGTTCAACCTGTGGTTTGTTTGGATGCGTTAAAAGAACATGAGAATTACGGAGGGGAGTCACGCCAAGATATTCCAGCTCCTTCATCCAGCCATCAATGTCACCAGTATAGTAATCATGGTTTCCTATAAAAAGAGTAAACTATTAAGATTACAGCACGAGAATGGACCCTTTCACATCATTTTTTTCAAAGTTTTGATAAATACAAGTTAGCGAATAGCCATTAACATTGTTGGAAAGAGCGCCTTAAAATTAAGAAACTTACCAAGTTTAAAGATGATATGTTAAAAGCAAGCAAAGATGTTGCTCCACAAAGTCACAAAATTTTACAGGTTTGTGTCTATTTGTAGCCTGCGAAAACAGTTTCTCCGTTTCTCCTCGCTCTTCGCCACCAGGGACGTTTCACAAGAAGTAACGTCTGCGACTCAGCGGCAGAAATTCCATCCTGATGATGCAAACCAATGTTTACATAATAAATCCAGTAGTCATGGGGTTCCAAATACAAATTTGTCCAATTTTACATGTCTTCTGGTCGATTTTGGTAAAGTGTTATATTCATCTGCCAACGAGTTCCAGCAAAACTCAAATGCTTCTTCTAGAAAAGATTATATTCCACAAATATTGACTGTTTTGTTAGAGATTCTTCGCGTTTTATTAGTTTACATTTGACCTTTGTGGCCTTTTTTCTTTTGTCTGTCATTTGTAAACAATAGCTAAAACAATGTAACTACTCTGACGACCAATGAGCGCTTCTGACCGGATTCCAGACAGATTTTATGTCATCAGGATGGAATTTCTGTCACTGAGTCGCAGACGTTCCTCCGCACAAAACATCCCCATCGGCAAAGAGCAAGGAGAAACCGATGTTTTTGCAGGCTAGTCTATTATTTTGGGGCATGAACTTGCTCCCCACCATACAAATGTCTATAAAATTCTGCAACTTTGAGCAGCTATACCTTCATTAGTTTTCAAGAAACCACATTCAAACTTGATCTTTACTTCTTTTTAGCTGCGTTGACAGATTTTTGTTAACTGGTCGCAGTCAAAAGTTGAAAAAACCGTGGAAGGGTCAGCTGTCTAGGGAAATGAAGTATGTCTTCAATACATTAGTGTTGGCATGTATTTGTTTATCAGATTGAAAGGAAGCTTTATAGTTGCCTTGTAAGATGTGTTTGTACTAAAAAGGGCAAACACATGATCACCCGCCTGGATAAAACAATGCTTAGCACACCTGAACTAAAAGATGGACAGATAATCTCTCTGTTTGCCCATTTAGCCTGCAAGCAAGCTTTCCTGGGGCTCCTGGGGTTTGGGGAGGGAGAAACGGGAAAGGTTAGGATTTCACGTAAGGTTCCTTTCCTCATTTTGTCCCCCCCTACCCTTGGGAGAGCTTGCTTGCAAGCATTGTAGCTTATATATAACCAACTTTGTCCCAGAGAGATTCCCATGATATAATTTGGCATGTGGGTCAACTTGTGCTGATAGCCGGGGGAAGGGGAGGGGGTGTGGTTGACATTAGGAGGGGAGACTGAAAAAGGAGGGGGGTGAATAGGGGTAGACAAATCTGCTGATCCATTATAATTTTAAATTTATTAACCAATCCGCCATTAAAATTTTGCCTTGAATCCAAAATCCGGGCAAAAATATCTTCATTATACGCAAAGTCCAAAATCCGGGCCCAAAAACTGGATGAATCCACAATCTGCTGCAATTGCTGGATCTGGAAATCCGTTAAAACCTTGCTTTGAATCTGAAATCCGGGCAAAAATATTTTCAAAATCTTCAAATCCGTTGGCCTATTCACCTCCCTCAAAAAGGGACAAGCTACACATTTCAGACCTGTGGAGGTTGGCATCTCTGCACATCTTTAGTTAATTTATAATAGACTTTTAAACTGACATTTTATAAGTGGATCATCCATCTGTAGTACAGTTGAACCACCACTAGGCAGCCACCCTTGGAGAACTGGCAAGAGGCCGCTTAATGGGAGGTTGGTCACTCAATAGAGGTTTGTCATAAATTATTAGCATTATTCGAGGCTGGGCACTTATTAACTTTTTCTGCCTTAAGGATGGGCGCTTATTCGATCGAGGTGGGTGCTAATTCGAGGAGGGGTGCTTATTCGAATAAATACAATATAGGGAAGAGAACCTCGATAAAATGAAACCTTGTTATAGCAAACACATTATGGTATTCCCTTGGCCCTTCGTTACATCAAGGTTCCACTGTATAATACATATTATGTACCTGTTACAAAGTAGACCCCATATCTTGCTCTTAACTTGAGAAGTGGCTTAACTGCCTGACGAATCTGATAAACAGAAGCATCAACCAGGTCTCCATTTATGGATACAGCATCTGGATTCAGTTGATTAGTTGTCTTTACCACTTTTTCAAGCATTGTCCTACCAACAGTAGGCCCAACATGTACATCAGGTAGCATTACTATCGTAAAACCATTAAATTCCGATGGAAGATTCTTCATTGGTATCCTAACCTTTTTAACCATTGGTTCTTTGATGGCATTTTGCAGTGCTAACACTGCTAAAGTTGTGGAAATTACAAGGATTAGAATAACTTGAAATCTCGCGTAGTGTATTCTTGAGTTAACTAGACCGGATCTTAAATTTACCACGCCAAACATCCACGTAAACAAATCGCTGATGACAGTCGTCGAAGTCAACAGAATCAACAATCCTAAACTTGTGTAAGATAAGAGAGAGATCCAGTGCGGTTCAACGCCAGAAAATATGAGTCCTAGGACAATGCTACCCTGCGATAAGCTAAGCACTATGATAATAAATGCCAACAGAAGTCTATTTATATTAGAAGGATGATTGTATAACGGCAAGCACAAACGAATCCACAGGTATCTTGCAGAAAAAAACATGACAGATTGCAGAGTTAACCAGCTTTGGACCAGTATTAGTTTATACTTGACTTTCTCGTTGAGGCTCAAGAAGGACGTCCCTACGATGGAGACAATATTTATGCTAACGATAGCTCCAACAGTCACTAGAACTCTGTCCATTTTGGCGCTCCTTCTGGTTGTCATTGACGCCATCTTGAAGTCTTGAAAGAAAAAAAGGTAACCGGTGGTGTCACGTGACTGTAAAAAACAAAAATGAGGTCAACGGACAGGGGATAGTCTAGGATGGCTGGGGTTTCGTTCCATCCTAATCAAAAGGCGCTCTTATCTCACCAGGAGCCCCTAAACTAGAGCTATTCTGTCATTTATTTTCTTTTTTTGTTACAATTTTTCTCTGCGTAACAGTATCAGGAACCGATGAGAGTGACTTGTGCTCAAAGGTTTGGCCCTCGAAGTAACCTGAGATCAGACCCAATTTTAGCAGTTTTCATACATTCTCTCTCACGTAGTCCCGCTAAAATTGGGCCTGAGATCAGGTTCTCTTTTCGTTTCGCCTTGGCCGCCGGAATGTTATTTACAAAGCGAAACGAAAATAGAGCCTGATCTCCGTTATCCTAGAAGGGAAAAGTAAAAGTAACGAAAACCACAGGCAAACCAAGTGTAATATAATATGAATTTGTATAGGAAAGAATTTGTATGAAAATTGACATAAAACTTACATCGAACAAATGAACAAAAACAAGCAAAAGTTATCAAAAAAGAGTAAATTTTGGGTTTTCGACAAATCACTGACCCCTATTGACCCCCCAGCCATTGTTCCAGACACTAAACCCCATTTACACGCGCTAAAAAACTGAAAAAAATCTGCACGGCACGCCAAATGTTTGGCACCGTGCTGACGATTTTAAGGCGCGGCAATCCCAATTTTGGACGTGTAAACGTATCGGTCCCACATCTAATGTGGCACCAGTGCTCAAAATTTTAGGGGTGCCGTAGTCTCGAACAGAAAAACTTTGTACGTATCAGTTTAGCATTTCCAATTCCTGCCCATAAGTCGTTATAATTATTTCAATTATTTTAAAGAAACATTTTGCATTTCAAGTTGCAGTTTCTTAACAAAATTTAGCCAGACAAAAGCTGGGATTGGCATTGTAATATTACAGTTACCCACTCATAAACGGAGCACGTGTTTACCGGTTTTTGCTATGTTAGTTTAATCGGCTTGTTACTTCATATAAGCATGAAACGTAACTTGTTGTGTCAAAGAAAATTTATCGTGATTTCTTGCACCTAAGAAAAAATTTTCCGCGTACATGGTGACGCTTATTTATCTGACGCAACAAACTACGGTTCACACAGCTAGCGTCAAAGAAAATGAAGCGTGACTTCATGTAAGGAAAATAATATTTTTTCGATGCAACAGGTGACGCTTATTTTTTCCAACGAAACAGGTCACACTTCACCTTCATGTTACATAGGACGCCGATGGCAACGATTAACCCTTTTTTCAAAATTTCTCTTGCATAGAAAAAAATAAATTGATAAAATGACAAGAAACGACTAGAGCGTAATAGACTCTACTTCTACTTGTTTACGAACTGAATCATACAGTATTTTGTATCTGGCCTTCAGATTTATCGGTTTTCTTACTTAGGGACATTACGGACACGACATGACTGCATAGCATTATACAGTTTCTATGGAAACTGTGCACACAATCAAGTCAATCAATTTAGCATGTGTACATTCTTTACACAACCATCTAGTTTATAAAATCTCTCTGCACCCTTCTGACCTTCATTATTTACCTTCTACATTGCATAAATCTCACAATTAATACATTACCAGAACAAGAAATTAACATCCCGACCGACTCTGATTGCCGTTACTAGTTATTAGCCTATTTAAGCCATGATTATTTTGGCTCTACCAAATTACTACATCCACTTGATATACAAAACACAATGTGAGCTAAGGAGACTTTATTTTATTCTTGACCATCAGTACATGGACGAATAAATACAAAACACATTTGAAATGGTCTGGAAACCTTGAAGGAAACTTTTAATTCTCGAGCTCTCTTGCATCACTGGGTCATAACCTATCCTCTGAAAAACTGTAGGATGTGGACTTTGCAATAAGATGACGGGCCATCATAGCATTGATTGCTCTTCTTAGGGCCTGTTTACATGGAGGTGGAGGACCCCAGGTAGGTGAGGTAACCCGCTTAGGTGGGGTAACCCGCCTGTTCATATAATCTCTCACTTTAATTTGATCACGTTTACATGATAGGTGGGGTGACCCGCCACCTGTTACCTAACCTACCGGGGGTCCCCCACCTCCATGTAAACAGGCCCTTAGACCCCGTTTACACGGGTATGGACAAGTTTTCCACGGACGAATTTTTACCTGTGCAACCCGTGTATACAGAACCGTATCCTGTTACAGATTGCAGTTCTGTTCACACGAGTCCCTAATTCTGATCAGGTCAAAAACTTGCTCGGCCCCGCGAGTATCGTGTAAACGAAAGGCGGATCCGTGCACGTTTTTGTCCATTCAAAAAATGTGTCCCCACCTGTTTAAACGAGGTTTCGATTAAGTATTTAGAATCGATTTCTAAATTTGGCCTCTTTTGAAAAGATAATCGTGTACAGTCAAGGGCGAACACGCGAGTGTTACGAGCCAGAGGATGTAACAAACTGATGCAATGAGCTTCTTCATCTACAATTCAATTTATCTACCCGTCAGACATAGTGAAACATTGTAAATACAATTGTGTCAGATGAAATTCAAAATACAGTACTTCCTAACTCGGGCGAGCAGGCGAGCGTTGTTACATGTCAGAGTTTTTGCTTTGCAAATTGAGTGGCTGTTTCGACCGCTTTCTCGAGACAGCCAACGTTGGGCCCAGATCCCTGCGCGGACAAGTCTTTTCCGCCGCATTTGCCTCCTAAGAGTTCTGAGACAGACTTGACCCACTCGTCCGCCTTCAATCCTTGCTGAATTACTTCCTGTAATGAAAATATTTCATCTCTGTTTAGACATAACACTTCAAAAACTAATAATAATAATGACCTTAATCATGATGAAGATGATGACAAACCGATATCAACTATTAGTTTCTAGTACCATTGAGTGTTAGTCGTATAAATGACGTGATTATAAGGCGAAGTTCCACTCAGCTATTGCGGAATTACAACATTTTGGTCGCGTATTAACTACTCCCGTATTTTCGATTATTAACGTACCGTTTGCCTTGCTCGTTCACACAAGACACAAAATTGGAACAGTCAAAAAGACGAGGGAGAAAACTGTTTTTCAAGCGAGCTTCGCTTGGCCCAACCGTCGAAATAACATATTACATCACGTAGCCTAGGTATTTTCCCAAGTACCATTGCTTCTTCAAAGGGTCAACATCGTTAAAGAGTGTTTACCTTCGGTACTTGAGCCAGACAAATAATCTTTCCATTATCTTCGTCCACGCTGAACAGAAGAGCTGCAGTTTTTGGAGCCAAACTTTTGAATTGCTTCAGAGCTGCATCGAGAACCTTAAAAGTAAAAAAAAGTTAGTTCATCCAATCCACCGTGAAAACCTTTCATCAAAATGGGCTACTTTCTTTTTCTCGGAAATGAACTTGAACTAACATAGTTCCGAAGCTCGTTCGACGGCACGCGAGGGATTCCTCTCTCAAAAGAATATTTTCACTCACTCGGGCGCGAGTGGCCCGAGGTAACATTTACATTTCCTCTTGTCGTGCAAAATATCCCGTTCAGATTGTCATGGAAACGAGGTGAACATGCGCATACAACATCAACACAAGAGTCGGCCACTGAAAAAAGTACAGCTTTGAAAGCTCGAGCTTGCTTAATTTTTTTTTAACTTAAGATGCTTTGACGAGTCGCGTGCCGGGTGTGGCTGAACATATGTTGCACTTCAAACCGTTTAAGACTGGTTGTCTTGTTTAAACAGTGGCTTGAGTTATCCATCGAGAGAAGATATGACGTCATGGTTTATTGGTCGATTGGTAACGCTCTTGTAAGTTGTACTGGACGACCGAAATTCTTTACAAGGTGTTGTATAAACTGCTTGTTTTCTTTTCTATTCCACTTTATGACTATTATTTCGCTTTTGCGCTACTATCAACTACTAACCCAACTAGTGGTCTATTATCAATGCTGCGTTCTTATTGGTTGAGCTACTACTAAGCTATATGTTATAGTCCACTAGTAGCGAAAAGCGCGGGCTTTTTGGCGGCAAAAAGGATTAAAGTCTAGTTTTTACTAGCTAAAGTTGTTCTTCGATATTTTTAGTTGGATTTTACTAAAAACTTCCCCATCTGATTAGCCCAGTCGGCCTTCGGCCTCATAATTGACTCATCCACGAGGAATAATTGTTAATTAGTGTTTTATTGGTATAACTATCTGATTAAGCCCATAACATCCACAGGTGAGCTTCTGTTTTCTACTAGTGCAGTCCGATGTAACGCTCTAAGAGCGTCCAGTTAATGATATTCATCGCAGTATCGAGAATTGCCAGGCTCATCTGCTTTTATTACTACCTTCTGATTGGATCCAGCGTCAAAAACGTCAACGACAAAAGACCTGTTGCTATCCTCCGCAATCATGGCCTTTGCTTTATCCACAGCCTGAAACAAAAATTAAAGAGTTTGAACTTATTCATGTTGTGTGGTAATGTAATATATGGATATTCTTTTTTGACGTAGCGGGCATATCATGAGACAAACTAAACAGCAAGTGACGCAAATACACCAACCCTCGGTCTGGCCAGTACCTAACGCATGCGCACAGTCATATCACTCGCGCAGTGGGAGCCATAGACAGCTGCTTCACCCTTATCAAGGCTCATCAGCATGGCATGGCCGTCGGACCTATGAACAAACAAAGTCGTGTTTTTTGTTGTTGTTGTTGTTTCGAGGCGGGCGTACACAAAGGAGTGCAATGCTGTGCTGCCATCAGCATACAAAACACAGACAAGACCGCAACACTGTACTTCGTCAACTGTACATTACATCTCGCCTCAGGATGGGTGCACGAGCACGCCAAATATCGCCAGGGTAATGATCCACGTCCGCCACCCCTTACTAAATTACACAACTTCACCAATATCTACAGCACATAATGACAAGTTAAAAAACGCAGGAGGGCTGACTAAATTAACTAACTACAGTGCAATAGCAAAAAGGCCACATTAAGCAATAAATCACCATGGCCCTTATGCAAAGCAATATTCGAAGCAAAGCAGTAAACGCACAAAGAAGCATGCAGCTAAATACCACTCTACAATAAGTGTTTGAAGTCCTATTCAATACACTATTATACAAAATTACGTTTTAACGTACAAACTAAGTAAACATTATATACCAATCTTAGAAGCACTTGAACACAATTTATAGTAAACACAAAATCAACTAAACACTTATTAACTACGATTCATAAAAAAGTCGTATATAAAATGGCACTAAATTTCGTTAAAGCAGGAACTAAGCCGTGTATCTCAGACCCTATACTGCCGACTCAAGAAGTGGTGTCCTGGATTTTCGTCAGGCGAGCGCAAAAGCACTCCTTTACGCACCAGCTCCTCTCCACACATGTGGGAGCTGTTGGCTGGGAACCACACGGCAGCTTTCCCACGTCACGCGCAACAAAAGTACGCGGTCTCACAATAACTAGGATGAAATCAACGACGTATACAGATTATAAAAGCTCTGCTAGATTTGCACATGAATTTTAGTGAAAAAGAAAAGAAAACAAAACTCAACACGGAACCAGAGTTCATCTTGGTCATTTTGAGATGAGAATGGTGGAAAATGTTGGTTATATTCACAACCGATAAAACAGTGTATACGACAGTCTCACGTTAAAAGTAAATTGGTCGGTATTTATTCACCTGCTGCATCATCGCATTCTTCTTTGCTCGATCAGCATCGTCCACAAGTTTCTTCACGGCCTTTAACTTTGCTCTCATTTCGTCTTTACGCCAGGCAGAAATAACAGCAGCGGAAAGATCCTGGGATAAGGAAAACAAACGAAGATCGCTTTAGCCTGGGACCAAGCTCCGCATTGGGGGAAAAAGGAAAAAAAAATCGGCGAGCGAAGCGAGCTGAGAGGTAATCTTGGGAGGGAAAAGGGTGGCGCTCTTTCCCCCTCCCCAATCCACCGCTCGACTCGCTTCGCTCGCCGATATTTACTTATTTTCCCTATTTGACCCCTTTTTTTTTGCCTGTTCCCCCCACTGCCGAGCCTGGTCCCAAACTAAGATCGTTTACATGACGTCACAGCGGCCATACAATGGTGCACAACACAGTGAAACGGCGCTGGGCCACGTATATATACAGGGCCTTTGGAACAAGATTGTCTTCTCTCCCGAAATAGAACTTTCTTTTGTTCCAGAAAAATTGCAAAGCTGCTGACCACGTAAGTGAAAACGATCTGAAAGATTCTTAGGCCTAGGCCAAACGTCAAACTTGTCTTGAGACGAACCAAACTCTAATTTGGGTCGACCTAAATTATGTTTAGATCGTCTGTTGGGCCAGATGTCGAACTTAGGATGCGTCGAACCATTCAACTGAATTAGATCAGTAATTAATTTTCTCCTGAACGAGGCTAAATATACATTATCAAACAAACTTTTAATTTATGAGTTGAGCTCGTCGCATGTGAAGACCATCGTATTTGGAATTTGGAAGTGTTGGTTTTTAAGGAGAGGGGAAAACCGGAGTACCCGGAAAAAATCTCTCGTAGCAACCAACAAGAAATTATGTACATGTATTTGAATAAAGTATTATTACAAATGCGAGAAAATTATCACTAGCACTATTTATTCTTACTTCAGTGAGTCTTGCAATTTCCTGTGATGTCCCCTTAATGTTCAAGCTGCCATTTTTCATATTTTCCTGTACCAGATTCTGTATTTTTTCGACCTGTTCCTCCAATAAGTGACATTTTTTCTCAGCCTTGAGCGCTTCCGGTCCTGTCAGGGCAACTATCCGTCTGATTCCTTTAGAAATTGCTTCCTCTGATACAAGAACAAAGGACTGCATGTGCCCCGAGCGTTGCAAATGTCTGGTGAAAACAGGTTTAGAAGACAAAAGGCAGTTTACAATTACTGTCAAAAGCATTTCGTCCTTTGAGAGGTTGTAGAGGCTACTATATTGGACAAAATGTTAAGAAAAACGGACGTCGCCATGTCTAGTTTCAAAGAAAAGCTGTCTCAAGCACTGGCAGTGACCAGGTTTCTATCTAGGATTTATCATTTGGGGGAGAAGTCCTTAGTGGCCGAAGGCGACAAGCCTCTTGGAGGGGTCCCCCACCCGAAAATTTTTTGAAATGAATATGCGCTGAGATGCAATCTGGTGCATTTTGAGACGTAATTTTGAGAAATGTTACAGTGTATGCACTAACCTTGTCGCGTCTTGATGATTTTTTCGATATAGTGACTTATATACTGTAATGATAACAATATTTTTGGGGGGGAAGCTTCTACCCCTCAAATACCCTAGATAGAACCCCGGTGACAAAAATTTTCCCCTTCCCTGTGGGTCCTGTGGGTAAGGATGTGCACAATTCTTAACACTCTTTGTCCAAGATTGTAGCTTCCCCTCTCTTACAGTGATTTGTACATTTTATGTCACATACTTTGGGACAAATTATTTTTAAGGCCTTGTTTCAATACGCACCAGAAATGTCTCTCTCTCGGAAAATGTTAGCACTAAATATTAAAAACTTTTATGTAACATGTGCATACAAACAACTTTACCTGAATAACAACAGTTCATTTGTCAAGAAGACAACTTTGTTTTACTGTCGGTTATGCGGGAACTTCGGAAGTGGAGATAAAAAACAACAACAACAAAAAAAAAACAAGGAAAAATGGAATTGCTGCTTACGTTCCGCCACAAAACTCCACAGAGTATTTATATCCGGCCTGTGGATCTTCTTGTAGGTCATCAAATGACGAGCCAATAGAAAGTACGCGGACTGGGTCAGGGTAAACCTAGAAACCAAGAGAAGTTGAAACAGCCAATCACAATGCGTGCAAACCATCAAATGAACCAATCAGATTTCAAGGTATGAGCACGTAGCCGGCACCAAGCACGGGAAAAATAAGTGCGCGAACGAGACTTCTCCTCTGCGGTTCAGAAGCCACGGTGATTTTCGCGAAAACACTGTACAAGGTTGTAACTAATTATACTAACCTCTTCAAAAATTGCCCTGAGTCCTTGAATATCCTTCGCCAAAGCTAAAGGGACTTCTTTAGCAAATACAGGCATGTTTCTTGATACAATATCCTGGCTTGTTAGTTCAGTGTTCTTGATTTGTTCTGTTGTCATCGCACCCTAAAAGAAAAACCGCATGGTTAAACGCCAGGAGTGCTAAAAACTTAAAATCAACAAAATTCAGGAATTTCACTTATTAAAATCCTGAACATATGAGTGCTACCACGCGACGGTACTGTACAAAAATAAAAAGGGTTCATTTGAAATGTTCACAGTTAATTCATTACACACTCATGACCACGACTGTACTATGGTGGCCTAGGAGTGCCATAAGAAAATTGTGTAGTATCTTGTAAGTTCCCCGTAATTTATTATGTTATTTCATTTTATTTTTAAACTTTAAACGAAAAAAAATTATTATCGAGATACTTTAAATCAAATTTAAACGAAAAAAATAGAAAGTAAAGTAAAATAATTTTTAAGCAAAAGTAAAATGAAACAAAAATAATATTTCCTTGGCCTAGCAGTGCCATAAGGTTGTTCTAAAAAAAAAAAAAAATGTTGTTCATGGCCTATCGATGCCAGAGCCCACAATGCACTTGGGTATTGACGTTTCCCACAGAAGATGGCGGCAAATCACAGCAGGAATGCTGACTGGATGCAAGATCAAACGCTTAAAGATGATTTATCTCAGTACGTCCGGCAAAACTGGAAAAAAGTGAGATTTTAGACTTCATAGAATCGAAATACCCAATGTATGCATGGAGTGGGCGAACTTTAGCACGCAGGCTGCAGTACTTTGACATAAAGTTCACGGATTATGAAGTGGATATTGAAGATGTGAAAGAAGCTGTGAGACGCGAAATGGATGGTCCGGGACAGCTGCTTGGCTATCGTTCCATGCAACAAAAGGTACGCGAGATTCACGGGCTAAATGTGCCCCGTGATGTTGTTTACGCAGTCATGAAAGAAGTTTCCCCGGAAGGACTTCAAGCTAGAGGAGGTGTGGGAAAAGCAAAGCGACACCAGAGAACCAATACTTATGTTACTGGTGTAAGTAGGCTTCTATCCATTTTTTACTTGAAATGACATCGCGTTGAAATTGCTATTAGGATTTGTTATAACACTACTTTCTTTATTTTCTGGATTCGAAAAGGGAGCAGACTGCACTATATCTTTAGATGGCCATGACAAGCTTTGCGGATACCAGAAGGTGATGTTCCCTTTGTGTATCTACGGTGCACAAGACACGTACAGTGCCAGGATAAATTTCTTGCGAATTTGGACTTCAAACAACAACCCTAAAATCATAGGAAAATTCTACTTGGATTATCTTTATGAACGCCGAGGTAAGATGTTTGTTGCTCAACAACTTCCATTGGTAAAATAAATGTTTTTGTTTTTATATAAGATATATATGTTTGTTTTTGACAGGTGATTGCTTCGAGAGTGCTCCCAGTGACCCCTCTCCCCTTGTATAATTTTATCGCGTCAGCGGTCGTAACCATTTTAAAAAATTGATGATTATTTACTGTCCTCCTGGCACAGTCGTTCTTTTTCAGTTTACTAATGGTTATGACCGTTGACATGATAAAATTATACTAGGGCAGGAGGGACTTGAAATAACCCAAACCCAGTATTCACAGTTGATTTGTAGATATCATGACCCAAAAATACAAAGGAAATAAAGTTACGGTATGCTGACATCTTTTACATCCATTTTAATTTAAATTTAGTTTTTATGTTTTGATTTCCAGAGTATTGCCATTAACAATCAGGATAGACAGAGGTTCAGAAACTGGGATTATGGCAACAATGCACACTTTTCTCCGAGCGCAATATGATGATTTAGACGATCCTGTTCATAGTGTACTCTATGGCCCTTCGACACAAAATAAAATAGAGCGTTGGTGGCGTGAGCTGCTGGATAGAATGGAGAGGTTTTTTAAAACATCACATTCGCAATTTGTTCCAAAATGCGACTTACAGGCATCTTTGATATTCTTGAAAGTTGGTTCTTTGTGGATCGGCACGCGGGTTAAAGGGCCAATGCGGTTGTACTTTTGGCACTTGCCTTGAACGTTTGCCGATAGTCTCTGCACAGTCAAGAAGCCTTCAGATGCACTGGGGCTAGCTTTATCGCTCTTTGCACCTACCCGTCTCTTTCCTTGGCGCTCCTTGTAGTCGTCCCATTGCTTACGTTTACCCGACATGATTGAAGAGGGCGCGATCCATTCAACCAACATTCAGACCGGTCCGACCGGGAAAAGAGGACCACCTCAAAAGATGGACCTGTTTTTTCGAAACTTTTCCGGTTGGACCGAACCGATCCATTGAGTTTTGGACCGAAATTTCCGGAAATTTTGGTTGAATGGACCGCGCCCTCTAGAGAAATCATGCAAACATCGCTTAGGAGCCACGCAAAAGATCAGCGAAGTGCATTGTGGGCTCTGGCATCGATAGGCCATGAACAACATATTTTTTTTTTTTGGAAAAACATTATGGCACTGCTAGGCCAAGGAAATATTATTTTCGTTTCATTTTACTTTTGCTTAAAAATTATTTACTTTACTTTCTATTTTTTTCGTTTAAATTTGATTTAAAGTATCTCAATAATAATTTTTTTTCGTTTAAAGTTGAAAAATAAAATGAAATAACATAATAAATTACGGGGAACTTACAAGATACTACACAATTTTCTTATGGCACTCCTAGGCCACCATACTGTACACAGGTTTAGCATCATATTCAATAATTCGAGTTTGAATGAGCTATTTGCCATTATTTGTTACTTTCCTCTTTGAAATTATTGCATTTAGACACCTCATTGAGATGGCTATCAGGAGATCGTGCAATTTATCAGAGGTTTATGCTGGACATATCGGGCGACAATATTAAATTATTTCATCCACAGAGTCGTTGACACCAAGGGAAGTAGCAAACATCCATAACAATGCCCTTAATCGCTGATCTACGTTCTTGATGGGTGAATTAATTTGTAATGTAACAAGACAAACAGACAGATTGACTTTCATTTTCGACCAACGCTCACAATTTTTAATTACTTTGAGTATCGCAATTGTTAAAGAGGCATTTTAGTACACTTAATTTACCTTAGCGGTGAAATCAAATCGGAGTTTATCGGGTGCAACTAGCGAGCCTCTCTGATCCGCTTCACCCAGTTCTTTTCTCAAGGAGAAATTCAGCACATGCGTAGCTGTGTGATTATTCATGGTGACTCTTCGCCGTTGCTGTAAAAAAGACACGTCTTAAATTCTCTGCGTATAAATGAAGAACGGAACCAAACTGTGCCTAGAATGGAAACATCTTTGGGAGAAACATTAGAACGTAATTACAGTCAGTGACTATCTTAATCTGCAAACGAAAGACACCGTTGTTAATAGAGACCTTTATATTCTGTTGACGAGGACGACTATGAAAACGAGATTACCACGTAGTGCGCGCGTGTGAATTTTGGCGTCATTTTTGCGGAAAAACGTGGACATACTGCTGGGGGGTAACCCTGCGATGGACTAGCATCCCGTCCAGGGGGGAGTAGCAATACTCCTAGGCATGCGTCATGCTAAGGAAACCGGGATAAGCTCCGGCCGTTTGGGCTTTTGGCTCGTGTACGCCTTTCCCTTTATCTTCCCTTTTAACGGGTTGGTTCCAGTCGTGAGAATAAAGCCAAAGAACTGTAGTCCAGTAGTCCACGAAGCTATTAGGTTTAAATATTATGGAGAATACATACTTCATCTATTTGGCATTTCATCTGGTCTCCAACTCTCAGGGTACCCTCTATTGCTCCTACATGAAGTACATAGCCTCCGTGAATCTGAACATTCGTGACGGAAAATTCCACTTCCTAAGACGAAAAGACAGAAGTAATCAACGTAACCCAAAAAAACTAAAAAGGAAATGAATCTTTGTATGAGAGTTATGTCAAAAATGCTATCTATAACTCTTGGAAAAGTGTAAACAGGAAATTGAAGGATCCGACGAAATACCTCTTGGAATCCGGATAAAAGGATTGCTGTCCGAGATGCGAACGTTGGTCACTTTGATGGAAGGCACTTATTTTCTCCTCAATGTCCCACTATCAAATGGTATGCACTATTTTCGGCAACACGGCTGAACATAAATTCAAAGCTAATTTATCTCACAGCTGCTTGTATCAAGAGAAGACTATAAACCAATCGCTGTTAAAGATGTCACTTACTTCATCTCCTTCTTTGGTCATGAATCCCTGATCATATATCTGCCCACCCTGCTCGGCATAGAAGCAGGTTCTGTCCATTACAACACCACAGTGACTTCCGCTAGTGACCTCATTAACAAACTCTTTTTCATAAATGATTGCCTTTACCGTACCAACTACAGGCTCAAACACTAGAAAGAAAAGACGCGAAACATGGTTTAATAGTTTGCACACTGGAATCGAATTCAGCAGTTAGCGTCATTGTCATGAACAGATTTGCCAATATCTCAGCACTTTGTTCCGATGGGATACACGAAGTGTGGAACTCCAATCAACACACCCCTCGCATATCCCCTGTGGTAATAACATATCTAATAAGCGTGCTAACGTTTGTGGTGAAAAAAAAAGTATATTTAAGCTTTCCGGGGTGTCTATTTGTAAAGAATAGGCCACAAAACTTAAAATCTATAAATGTCGTCCTCGTCCTCACAACAGAGACTTTACGGTCAGACGAAGTGATGGCAGCAATAACGTCGCTTCAAAAATGAATTTTCACTTATTTTGTCAAATGTAGGCGAACCCTCCCGGAGATGAATTTCTAAGAACCATATTCAGGTTTAGAAAGAGAATATAAAATCTCGTCGTCGCTTGTTTACGTTCTCCCTAAAAAGCAGTATTAGGCAATTTCACGTCGAATTCGCGCAAAAACGGCAAAGAAATGTACAAAAAAGTGAGATGCACATACAAAGTTGTGAAGAAAAATTCAAGGTCTTGATATTCTTGTGTTCACGCTTGTGCTTATATCAAGGCTGTCCTCACTTACGTATATGCTCCTTATGCTTATGCCTATGCTTGCATAGCTAGTGAGGACCAGTATTACTGTAAGTCCACTTACCATAATTGCCTTGCGCATCAGATGTGTATTTGTACTTAGGACTTTCGTCTGTGGGATAAAGATTGAATTCCTTTTGCAGCTTGTTGATGGCATGAACATCAAGAGTAATGGCATCATCGTTTCCAGACCCCTTTCCTCTGGCAATTTCCTGTAAGTTGTAATTACATTTTTCAGTGGCACCCAACAACCTATTAAATGTTTCCAAATACGTCAGCAGAAGTGTTTCAAATGGTTTTCTGTATGTTTTAAAAGCCTGCTTGGTTAATTTGGAGTTACCGTAAGGGTTATTTACTTGTTCAGACGTCTTGGGGAAACTTTGGCCGTTTCGAAAGTTTCAGGTGGCTTTTTCGTCTCGTCGGAGGCTGTTAGCTACCCTAAAGGGTCCGGTGGAAAGTTCGAGGACATGGGTTAGCTATATTGTCATTTGAGAATTTTAAGGGACGTTTTGTCTTTATGCCTCAATTTTCATGAGACCTTTTTCAACAACAATCGCACTATGCACGTAATAAAATGTGAAAAATTGAGAAAGTGCCATCACCCAAAAATCTTAGGTAAGTTAGTAAAAAACCTCTCAATCTCTTAGACGAATGGAACGGTTATCCAAAAATTTTCAAGCTTTTTTGAGCTTTAGAAAGTTTTAGACATTTAATATATTACAAAAAACGTCGTCAGCTGCCCTGTTTTTGCTTAACCCTTTAAGCCCTGCTAAGAGTGATCAGCTTAAAATTTCTCCTTGTACTATCAATTCTCTGTCAAACAGAGTGGTGATGAGAACTGAGGACTTGATCACAGAAGATGAATCTAATTGATACTCATTCAACACTGGATTCTTCCCACTACCTTCTATTTGAAACCTACAGGGACAACAAATGACAATTTGAATTTCAATGTTATGGTTTTCAAGGGTAAACACTATTGCAAATATTTGGTTTTGCCAACTGAGTTGATGAGTGTGAATTGTCACAGCAAAGGGCTAGCTCTCCAAACGAAGGGCTAGTGATCAAATAGCCTGCGTAGCAAGCGTTTCCAATCGAGTTATTGCGCGATAGTTAGAGCGGGAGCTGAACAGCTCTCGTCCCAACTTTCTCGACGAACTCGCGCGGAAACGCTTGCTACGCAGGCTAGTGATCAAAACATCACCTTTTTACATATGCGTGCGTGGGAGGTCAAAATGGCGGGATATGGGCCAAGTAATTTTTTGTGTATGGACTGAGAGGACGTTGAGGTCAATAAAAACGCAAAAAAAACAAAAATAAAATCAAAGACAAAAAAAGAGGTAGATACATAGAATCGACTATCAGTCTTTGAACCACTTGCAAGGTGACAAAAAATCCTGAACATGACTACCAACCTGGGCTGTTTTCTTGCATTCTTCATACATGCCCATGTCCACAGTCAGCCCTCTTTCTTCAGCCATAAGTTGAGTCAAGTCCACAGGGAACCCATACGTATCATAAAGCCGCCACGCAACATCCCCAGGTATAACCTGATCTGTTAGCTTGCTAACTGTTCTGTCAAACAATTTCCTTCCTCTGGCCAAAGTTTTAAGAAACTGGGTCTCTTCTTCATTAATCACATCCATTACCTGTAAACAATCAATCCTAAAATGTTTCTTGCCCAATACAAAAATTTATTTGTCTCACATAAATACAGGGTACTTTTTCAAGCCTTGTCAATAGATTTCACCCACTATACTACTACATGAAAAATTTCTGCAATTTGATTGGCTTAGAGCAGTGGTATTTCAGCATAATTTGAAATACCTACATGTGAAAATTACAAAACTATTGCGGGTAGTAGTATAAACAAATAATAGCATGATTTGTACGTGATATGTGGCATAAACACCACTCGTGATATTTCAAAATTGTCTCAAATTTCATTCGCCTACAATTTTTGAAATATCACTCGTGGAATTTATGCCAAATATCACTACAAATCATGCTATTACCTATACAAATTATTTTGGAAAAAAAAAGGTTTAAAGGCTTGTTTATAGTGGAAAGTGCACTTAGCTTATCCAGCTAGTTTACAGGCACTCCACTCAAGTACTTAGAAACAAATAAATCAAATACAACATAAAAGGATTAAATACCCCAGCTGGCAGGAGGCAACCAGATGGCTATTTTCAAGTGTGGCTGAGGATTGGAACTGGGGATGACCGAGAACAAATCCACAAGTAGCCAGAGAGGAAGACTTGAACCCGTGACCACCGCATTGCGAGTCTGACGCGCTGAGCACTCAGCCAGACCTCCTCCTTAATGTAATACATGACTGTATTATCATCAACACCTCTCACTACGCCCCCCCCTCCCTCAACCTCGCCTTATCCGTTCTTTCCTTATCTGCCTTCCCTGAAGAACCCACTCCCCTAATTTTCAATAAATTATAACTAAATGTAGTTTCAATAAACTCATTATTAATTTACCTGTTGAGGGTCTTTAGTCACTTCTGGGAAGAACTCACCCTGAAAAAAAAAAATTACATCCATGGTCATACTGAACTGTCCACAAGATTACCAACAATACATTTCCTGCATGGAGGCAACGCTTATAAATGCAAATCACGTCTTCTTAAGATTCTGCTTATCATTCCTCTGAATTCTGATTGGAAGCACAACATGTTGCCTGCAGAACGCTTGCTCCCAAAGGTAGTGAATTATGCTCATAATTTTTTTTGACAGAATTTATCTTAGCCTACAAATCAGGTTGAATTCTAGCAAGCTTGAACTAAAAACAGCTTCACCATGACAATCAGTGAATACTCAGTCAGCAGGGAAGAGACATCATCCCAAGAAGTTGTACTTTTGAATTTATCAACTAAGATGACCAAATTAATATTATTTATAAGCAGCAGGACAACATTTCTTCACACAACAAATAATATGACTTTTAGTTTTACTTTCAATTTTGAAACATACCAGAGTATCAACAGCAACTGAAACCAGTGTAGCCACAAATCCTGGGGGACAATTTAGTTTTTCTGTGGCATAACGAACACATCTTCTTAAGATTCTTACTGTAATGCTACGTGCTGTGAAAAGTGGCTTAAATAAAGTAAACATACCTGTAAACACAATTTAAGGCAAAATAAAGTCAATATGATTATTCGTCTCCCTGAAGATTTGGAGCAGCAAACAGTTTTGATTTGTAATCACGTGCATACATTTGTCAAACGGCTCCTTTACTGTAATGTTTTGTTTCTTTACGTGCTGTAAAAAAGTGGCGAAAAATTTTTTTTTAAATACAGTAAACACCCGTGAATAAGAACCTAGTGGATTAAGAACCTCCTGGCAGAAATTTACCACTTTAATAATAGGAACTTTCCCTTGCAGCATTCACCAATCAGAAGCACTACCCAGATCTGGGTAGTCCATATCATCAGTATGGAATTTCTGAAGTCTTTCCTCAGATACCATTTCGCGGGAAAACCACTAGTTGGTGTCGCAAAATGTTAGCCATTTTCTCACTAATGAGCTACTATTTGCCTAGAACTAATTGTTGTTCTGTCTTACCCCCTGCCAGTATTGTCAGGTTTCCCACCATCTGTTATAGCCATTGTAAGTGTCCTGATGTGATCAGCGACAACCCTGTAGGCCATGTCAATACCATCTTTGTCCTCAGGACCAACAAAACCCTGATAGGGCCTTACACCTGTCGCCTAAAAGAAGTTAAAGATGATAACAACTACTAGAGCAAACCAGTGAAAACTCAGTCCATGAAGACAATTCAGCAAAATTAATGACAAATTGACAAATGAAAAATAAAAACATACCACGTTTCAACAAATTCATAGGTTACTCATATGTAAATACAACCTACAGTTATTTTCTTCACATTTTGACAACATTAACATAGAGTCATTGAAGTATTGAGTAACATTTTTATTGTTAATTTTTCTTTTAAAATGTTTATTGAAACACTCCTTTTGAGAACAACATTGAATACTTGAAAATATATGTAAAAGGGTATGAATATAAAAAATCAAAATAATTATGTTGAAATGAATATATCAATATATTTTAATTATAATAAAAAAATTATGTTCAAATGCATGCAATATAATTTTAATTTTATAAATTTAATGCTTTTCATCAGGTGGTCACGCCACTTTTAGTGTAAAAACAGCTTTGCAACAGAAAGGCAGGATTTGGAGGTAAAGTTTCCCATATGACGCTGCACACTAGAAAAAATCCTCTGGTTGTTGACTCTCTAATGGCAAAACAGAATTTATGGTGCAAACAAGCTCAGAAGAGGTTTTGAAATTACAGTGCTCCAATTCATGCAGTGCAAAATTAAGTAAAACTGCAGGAAACTTACACCAGTTTTTTATTCTACTGCTGAAGCAGGAAAAGGCTTTATGCCACTTATCAAGGAAGATTTCCCTGGAAAAATTTACCCACAACAGTGAACCACACAAACACACACAAGGAGTACTTACCTTGTGAATCGTTTCAAAGAATGGTTGAAAGAGATCTGTGTCATAGTTTGACATCTTTCCTTGAGTAATTGATGTTAGCCGTTCTAGCCCCATCCCAGTGTCCACATGCTTGCTGGGCAAAGATTTTAGACTGCCATCTGTTTCCCTAATTTTAAAATGCATTAAGCTATGTGAAAACGGATGCAGCAACTCCCAGCTTTGTTGGCCTAGCAATGTTGGGACCTGAAGTGCATCGTGGGAAGGATACACCTATAAGACTTTGTCAGCCATGTGCAAAGCACGAGCATGACCCCAACAATGTTGGAAGAGCTGTGCAAACTGATCCAACATTGTTGCACCATGCTTCAGCAATCACAGAAAAAAGAAAGTTAAAAAGTTTGACCGGACTCAAACCTCGAGCAACAACTCCCAATGACATGCAACTACATGCAACAGGGTGTGCAATCAGACACAAGCCATGTAACATACAACAATGTTGCCTCCATTTGCACAGGCTCTACATCTATAACTTATAGAACTGTGTAGAGAGGATAAAGGAAATATAGTGATGATATTGGCTACTCAAATACTTTGTTTCCACTCACTTCTGACTTCTTGTTGACTGCATGCTAACTTTAACTTCATGGCGTGTGTAAATGAAATTCTATGGTGAGACCATGAAAATTAAATATTCTTTTTTCCAAGCATTAATTTTTTTGTTTTACTACTCATGTGTACACAGTACCATTTGCTTTTCAGTCTCCCACCAGAAAAATACTTTTATAGTGAAATCTTAAGTCGCAAATACCTGCATCTACATTTGAATTTCTCTATACAAAAATCACTTATGACAGAAAACAGAAAATGGAATAATGATAGATTAATCCTTTCAGTCCCAATAGTGACCAAGATCAAATTACTCCAAACAATATCCATACACTGTCAAGAGATAAGTTATGAGAATTAATAGAATAACCACTCAAGAGAAAATGCCTTGATCTTTTATCAAATTCTCTCAACTTGTTCTTTAAAGATATGCATAGAGACCAGTTTGGAGAATTTGTATGTGGATATTGGGGCTTAAAGGACTAAGCGACTGATACCTGTTGAACTGTATAAACACAAGATTCCACACTTCAAGAACAGTAGGGTCGTCCATATTTACAAGTGAGGCAGCATCTCGTCCACCAATCCTGTCAAAGTGAATCTCGCTACAAGGTCCACATGGGCCAGTTTCACCCATTTCCCAAAAATTGTCTTTCATTCCAAATGGTAACACTCTTTCTGGGGGAAGACTTCAACAAGAGGACAACAGTATTATTTTGAATAGGTTGACAAATAAATTTGAAAAGCATTTATCTTATATCTTCTGAAGGCTCTTTTTTGCTGTGCATGTATAATAAAGAGAAAGAAGATCATAATGTTCATTACTTCACAGATGTATAAGTTAACTATTTGTACATTTATTTAATAAGAAGCTGTTACAACTAGGACTAGTGAACATGAAAATTTAGGCTTGGCCAAAATGTAACACTATGCGCATGGAAGGCTCTGTAAGATATCCACTGTTAGATTTTCTGTAGATAGTATTCTATTAAGTAAGTAATACCTTTTAATAATACCTAATTAAGTTCACTGTGCCATATGTACACTGTGCAGTACACAAATTAGTTTGACTACTTACAGTACAGCATAATTTTCATATTATGAAAAATACTATCAATATTTTGTTTGCCCCAACAGAAAAATTCTAGATCCACCAATGAAAGGTAGGTTTGGTGTCAGGTTGGAGAGGTGTTTTAATTGACAAATAATGAATTATTGCTGGTGATTAGAGCAACATGTACATGACATACCCCATATTGAGCCAAAACTGTCGCGTCTCTTCATCAGATTCAAGGCCTTCTTCTCCTCCAAAGTACGTGACATAAAGACGATCTTTGGGCATGCCATACTTCACAGTTAACAACTCCCAAGCCCACTCAATGGCTTCTTTCTAAATTAATAAAAGGTTAAATAACTTCTGCATTGGCTACATGTATATAGAAAAAAAAATGCAAGATAGATATAATGGGAGGTCAGAATAAACAGATACATGTAAGACAACTGTTCTTTGATACTGATCGAAGCATGGCAGAATAATATTGATGCTGTGGCTTCATATTCCACTTTGGCCACTAGCTACAGTGTACCATGGGTTGTTTGTGGTCATCTTTAAAACTCAACTGCAGAGCTATGCTTGTACATAGCCAACTGCTTTGCTTCTGGTCAGGATTCTAAGAATCTTGTTCCATGTTGTCATGATAATGTTAACTACTACTAAACTAGATACATTATTATTTTATTATTATGTTACCCCTATAAAGTCAATTTATATATTCATTTCTTTTACTGATGCTTACGGTGTAGTCAAGAGTCAAAAATATATATAAAAAAATTTGACAGAAGAAGTTTCTTTAGGGATTTCTTTTATCTGCCATAGAAAGTGATGGCAAGAGGAGGGGTTGATTATTTAAGAGGGAGCTGCTTTCACTACTTTTCCTAAGGGGGTGGATACCCCAGGGAGGTACTCCGGATTTCAAGTAACAGGGGTGATTGAAGGATTTTTCGGGTAGGAAAATTTGGCAAGTACCTTTTTGGGGTGGGTTGATCTAAGTAGGACTTTTTAGGGGTATTCAAAACAATCTGAACATTCGTGATACTGTCCAGCTATCCTGGCCTCGTAGTTCTGCGAATAAAGTACAACCAAACTTATCTTATGGCTGTTCAGAATTTAGCATGGGATTTTGGGGGGGTTTATATTTGGTCCACGGATTGCTGGGTTTTGAGTTTTACCCCTATTCGATCACCCCTGTCACTTGAAATCTGGAGTACCCCCCTTGCGGTGGATACATGATCAGAAGAGAGAGGTTATGAGTTGACACTTATGGTGTCTAATCTTTGACACCGGGGAAAAGCTAACTTCTCACCTTGAAGTAATCTCCAAATGACCAATTTCCCAACATTTCAAAGAAGGTATGATGGTAAACATCCTTTCCCACATCATCTAAATCATTGTGCTTTCCACCTGCACGGATACATTTTTGGCTGTTTGCAGCACGCTTGAGTTTGGAGAAGTCACTATTTGGGTCCACTGTTCCCAGAAAAATTGACTTGTACTGGTATGAAAGAGAATAATATAATGAAAAAAATATATAATCAACAGGTTGAACCATACGTAGTTAGAACACTTTCAGTAACCTGAGACTATCAAAGGCAATCCATTAAATGTTTGACCTTTCAAACTGACCCTTTCCCCTTTTATGATGAACTTGACTGTGCATATATCCTAGAGAGTTGAAATAGATACATTCCACTGTCACCCTATGGTCATATCACTATCATTGGCCACCTTAAAATATGGACAGAAGCTGAATCTTTAAGGCTGGTTTTCACTAGTGACGGAGTCAGAGTCAAGAGTTGTAATCAGAGGCATAGAGCTTATGATCTAGTGAAAACAGCATTCTGATTCTACTTATGACTCCATCGCTTACGTTCCGCTTATGATCTAGTAAAAACTGGATTGTTGGAGTCGGAGGCAGAAGCGGAAGAACTAAACCAATCACAAAGCATAGGAACGTGCATTGTGATTGGTTTATCCTTGTGCTTCTGCTTTCGACTCCCACAATCTGGTTTTCACTAGATCATAAGCAGAACGCAAGCGATGGAGTCATAAGCGGAGTCGGAAGAAATGGAAACGTTCTGATTCTTCTGACTCTGATTCCGTCATGCTTATGACTCCAATTTTTGATTTTCACTAGGTCACAAGCGCTCTTAGGATTCCGCCTACGACTCTGACTCCGACTCCGTCGCCAGTGAAAACCAGCCTTTAGCATCAGTCAATTCCAGCTGGGCCAGCTTCCCCCTCCCCCAACGCGAGTCCCCAAGCCAAGCTGACCCCCGGGCATTAGCACTTTTTTTGCCTTGGACAGCAAGTTCTTGGGAGCGGGGAATCTTGAGCTGTCAAATCCCCTGGGGTGGGGATGAAAAAGGAGGGAAAATGCCCCATCTTCTATCAACACTGCAACATTTTTCATTGATTGCACAATCGAGGAGTGCCATTTTAAGCATTTTAATGTGTGATATTTTGTTTCAACAAATGTTTGCTTTGTAATAGCGCTATTCTAATAAAGACTTCACCCCGCAAGACATGTTTATTTTTTTAGTATTGTAATAAAATTACTGAGAGTAAAATTAATAGTGTGCTGTAAAGTTATCTTTTCTGAATAGTGTTATAAATATGAAAGGATGTTCTTCAAATAATACCAACAGAAACTTTTCAATAACCAAATATTTTGTTTGAGCTATTTATAAACTGTTAACATAATTCTTTTCCTCAGAAACTCCGGTATGCCATCGTAACATAAGCAATAATGTGATTGGTGGGAAGTAAACCAATCAGGTCAAATGTTACAATAAACACATCTTTTTTGCGTGTTTCAAATGACATCATGTTTCGTGCATTATGATGTCATCTATCATCACTTCCCTGTCAATTCTCAATATTTGATGATGTGGGGGGTTGACAGCCCTCTATTCAGATAGGAAACCACGTGCATGTCAAAAGCTCTGGGGTGGCCCAGGGGTTGGTAAATGCTCAACCCCTGGGCAGCGCAAAATTTGCTACAGTATGTAATGCCCCACCACCGGGGCTGACAAGGCAAGCAAATGCCCTAAAGTAGCCCGGGGAGCCTGGGCACAGCTGGAATTGACTGATGCATTGTGAACATCCAATAACAATGGTTAACCAATAATCGATTTATGTTAATTATTCGTGAAACCAGGAAAGGTCTAACTGGCAGTACTGTATATCAATCGATTTTCTATAACGAAAGCAGAAAAGTCGGCCTGTAAAGTGATTATGATAATAAAAGCTTATAATTACTTCACGTGCTTTTTAAGCAAGCTCATTAATTTGTCATTACTGGGTTGCCTGTGCGCCCAGTCATAAAATGGGCTTTCGGTTGTCGGTGTCAAAAAGTGGTCTCCCGGGGGAGGGAAGACACCAGGGTCTGGTACCAAGAAACGATGTTCTCACAAATGGTTTCATATGAGTTTCTCTTGCACGAACCCTTGCACGGATACTTTTTGTACCTCGTCTGTGCTCCCCCTGAAAACCCACAAAGCGTTGCGAACCTGAAGAAGGCTATTTGCGTTGTTCGAAGCGATTCGATCATGGGAGTCACTCTATAATTTTTTTATTGTTCGAGTTTAAGTCAGTTAGATGATGTTGGCGCTGGGAAACTCAGAGAAATGCTCGCGTTGCATTCAAACCGACACGCTGTTCACGGTAGGTTCACACTAAAAGATGACTGTGAGCGTCAGGTTTGGAACGCCGTGGCCGCTTCGTGAACTCAAAGAGAGAATTATCGATCGATGTAGTACATGAGCAATTAAGAAGCACAATTTATGAGCAAGGTATTTCACCAGTTGACGACAGTATGGCTGAAGACTTGATTGTAAGCCTTCGTAGTCAGTGAAGCGAACAACTCAGTTGCCGATGAATGGCACTACGCACGTCTATGAGCGAGGGACATGACAACTTTGCCATGTTAGAAGACTGGCTTTTCCTTTAAATATTTCCTTCTATTTAATGCAACACACGCCACTTTGGAGGTTTAAATTTCAGATACTGAGGATAAAGAAGACACAGACAAAAATAGGGACTCTGAGAATTTTGCGCACAATGCACAAGTTTAAAGCTTCACCGGAACATCCCATCCGGGAGCTTCACAGAGAGCGACTTGAGGAAAATAGGAGCTTTTACTGACAAGGTTTGGTGACTGAGTAGAGCATACAAGTGTAGCCCACGTCGAGGTTTCAGGGGGTTTGCTTTTGTTTGTATTTGTATCTTGCTAAACTTTTATCATTAAATTTGTACATGATCTTGTGATCACAATTCTGTGTTTTCGCCCATTCAGCAAGCACGCTATATTGATGTCAGCATTAGCGAGTTTCAGAAACATGCCTTTGAAAGTTTTTTAGCTCTCGTGATGTTTATTGATATTTCTTTTACCATTTTATGAAGATGTTAACTGAAGTGACCGCAAAATGGAAACTTAAAAAAGCGTATAATCCATTTATCTCGAAACATAACACACATGACTTATACGACCTTTATTTTCGTAAAGGTGTTTTGAATACGAACGAACACAGTCAATGTGAGGGGCAAAAACAGCATTTATATAAATGAACCATAGGGTTTTAACTAATATAAGGGTCAATTATTGTGCATTGAGATGAATCGCTTGAAAAGAGAGACTTCGCTTGAAGATGTGATCAGAAGGAAACAAAGGCGTAATAGTGCGTCACGTTCAGTCTTCTTAATATCCAAGGAGTCACTGTGAATAGTGTTTCCATATTGTTTAGCTGGCACAAAAACTTCGGACGAGTTATAAAGCGGCATAGTTATCTTCCATGAAGAAAAGTTCGTCTTGGGTGAGACAAACAGAACTGGAGCGAATTTTTAACTCGCATCGGTATCAGGTAAAAAATATGTTATCGATCGTTTCATCTATTCACATTGTTTGAAGTGCGTGCTGGTGAACGCAACATGCGAACGAGAAGTCTTTAAACTTTTTTAGGTCTCAAAATGCAAAGGATTTTATTCCTTTAAGTTAGAGAAAAATACCGTGAGGAAAATCTTAAAACTGAATATTTTTCTTCTTGTGGAAAAAATAGTGCGTTTTCTTGTAGACTGTGGACCGCAAATTAGGATCGCACTTTTCACAAACGAAGTTCGGAAGCCAACCGACGATTGCGTTTTTCGCTGCTGTCAATCATCTTAACGGACCTCTTAGGAAACAAAACTCTACCTCACGGGTTCAAAAGGTCATAGTTTGTGATTTGTGGATTTCGATCCGTTTTGTGTGTTTCTCTGTTTCAAGGTTCGTTGCTTTTGATCGTAATTATGATTGACGGCAGCAATAAACACAATTGTGAAGGTGGCTTTTGAACTTTAGAGTTCGCATGTTTGTGAAAAGCGCAGTAAAGTCTCTGTGCAGTCAGTGAGGCCCCTGGATCAGGCGGGATCAATGGGCAGTTAACTGTCTGTTTTAGTATACTTCTGGTTTTCATATAATACAATATTTCTGTCTAGTGTAAATCAGCTCATTATACTCGTAGAACGACAACAATTTTTGGAATTTCCAGTTACGTCACGTTATACTGTCACGCTATATTTTGGGGCACAGAGGGATTAGGGGAGGGGTACGTGGAAATAATGCAAATTGTTTCCTGCTTAGAATTAATGGCTAACTTGTCTATTTTTATTCATAGTGGTGGAATTTAAACGTTATTATACAGCCCCCACTTAAAAATAGTACTCTTTTTTTTGGGTTACGAAAGTCTTTCAAAAGGGTACAATGTTTTGAATGAGTTTATGTTTCAGTCTCACTTGAGGTTCTGTCGCATGCAATGGTTGCCGACAAGGTTTTATGGTAGCCTGAGTGTGTATAGCCGCCCCCTCCCCTCAGAAAAAATAGCCCCTTGGCAGCCCAGTTAAAAATCGCCTTTCGGCGATTCTTGTTTTAATTAAGCTTACAAACAGATATGCTTACTGCTGCGATAAAAGCTTAGCTTGGTGGCAAAATTAAAGTTGAAACGTTCCTTTCGCGATCCCTTTTATAAACTGAAGCAAGGCATTTACTTTTTTATTCAGGTCAACCACCAGAAAATGTTTTTTAATGTTAAAGTACCTGATTCATGCCAGCATTCGCGAACAGCAAGGTTGGGTCTTCATGTGGAATCGTGGACGAAGAGGGAACGAATGTGTGCGCGTACTTTTCCACAAAGAAGTCCACGAACATTTGTCGAAGGTCCTTTGCTGATAAGTTAGGATCCATTGTGGAGAGAGAACGGGACGAACTCTTTGACAGTCTGCGAAAGACGATCGAATTCAACGAGGAAATGAACCGATTCGCACCAAAGTACCGGTTAAGAATCATGAAAATTTCACGGAAGTCATGCAATCCATGGTATTAACCGCTGGCTGTTTTTAAAAACTCTGTTTTTCTAAATATGGTCAAATAGAATTGTCAAATTGAACCAATCAACGTCAAGTTGCCATTGCCCGCAGTTCGCGGGATGTCTTCAAAATTTAAAAATGGCGGAATCAGAAGAGGTCGAAGGAGACTACATTGGATTATGTTGTTTTGAACGTCAGGAAAGAGGTAAAAATAGTCTTTCAGAGGGAAAAGAAAAGAGAAATATTTTATCAATCATGCAAAGTGCATTTTATTGCATTTCAGGCGAACGAAAATGAGCTTAGAGCTGCTTTACAGACGCATGTGCATGTTATATTATCAACCGGACAAACATCAAGATCCCGCGAAAAAGAAAGTAAGGTTACAAAAGTTTAGTACGACCTGTTCGCATTAAGCAAAATTTTGCTGGTAGTTTCTCTAGTCCACAATCTTTTAAGTAGTTTGTTTATAAAACCATGTTCACCAGTGTGGTTAATACCTATGAGGTGGAAAGATCTTGCACATGGACCTTAGTAATGACCTGTCCCTGTCACAGGTCGAAGTGACCGTGCCTGCCACATCCACTTTCTTGTATTTTTTTTCTCTTTTTTCTTGTTGACGTACATCTAGAGTTCGAAGGATTTTTTTTTTCAACGGTAAAATAAGCAGCTATATATATATTTAACAGGATTGTAATTATAAGTAACAACAGGGCGGTGCCTTGCATGGGTCTAGGGTCCCGTTTACACTTGCCCTTATCTGGGGCTCCACAATTGTTTTTTTTTAAATGTTATAATAATAATTAATTATTTTTATTTTTATTCTTCAATCATATGTCTTCTGGTCAATTCTTTCATGACTGCAGTTTTGCCTCAATAAAGTGTCAAAAAGAAAAAGATGCCGTCTAGAAGATTTGGACGCCTACATTTTTTTGTCAGGCGACAAACTCCTCTGTTCCTTTTGACATTTAAACGTGACCCCTACCAAGACTCAGACAAACATGGGCCATTTCTGCAAGAGGTGGCAAGAGTGCTGTATGAAAACAAACACTTTGCAATCAGTTCTGCTCCCCCTTTTGAAGTTTTTAACAGTGTTGCAGTTCTGAAATTTGAGAAAGATCCAGGAGAATATAATGTAGAATAAATCAAATCATAGCTTAAGTACAAAGATCTATAAAGGATTGAAGCAGAGCGGAATATGAGAGGGCTTTTAAACACTGTATCTTGATACCTTCAATACTGCAGCCAGTAAATGTTTACAAAGAACTACAGTCTCAGTCAAAATGGTTGTGACACTTTGGGGTCTCCTTGTCCCCTCAATGGTGGTGTACAAGATTTGGTGGCCGAACTGCAAAAAAAAAAACAACTTTGAGAGGGACGGGGGGGAGCACGAGAAGGAAAAAAACAGCATTTGGTTAAAAGTGTTCTAACTATTTTTGTCTGAGACTGTAGATGACCCAGCAGCCTGATATTTACGTCCAATTTTCAAGAATTCTCATCAAATTCTCTTAACAAAATTTGATATTTGTTTAGTAATTTTGATTTCTCTGCCAAAGTAGAAAGAGTCCTTTGTCGTACCAGATATTTGATAAGTTAAGATTTTCGTGAAGAACAGAGAGACCTAGTAATATTTCAGATTGCCAGACCCTGGGATTTGAGATTCAAATATGCTCAAGCTTGGAGTATTCGTCCATTACAATTCCAAACCTTTCTTTTCAAATTTGCTAGGTATTTGCGAAAAAAACACCAAATACTCCTGTTCGGTTTCGATGATAATTTTTCAGGATATCCTTTGATAACTGACTCAGTGTGTCATGTTGGTAAAGTGTTGAAAGCCTTGAGATTTCACTACATGCTCAAGGTTGACGATTGAGTTTACTTCAAACCCAAGGCAATGTTTGAAATTGCTTGAGATTTATAAAGAAACATTAATTTTTATGTTTTTAGAAGAACTAAAGCGTTTTATGTTGTAGAATCGCGTTGTCTCTTCTCTAATGTTATGTCTACTTAAACTTGTCTAGGAGGAGTCTAGACCCCATATAAGCCCGAGGCTGCCAGTTCATCCTTTCCGTCACTATCTTTTTCTATATTTTTCAATATAATGTAACCTGTTAAATGACAAAACAAATAATCAATCAATAAATTAATCAATCAATCAATCGTAGAATTCATAAAAATGGATTGAATTTTAGACTACCTTATATCTTCTTGTGGCTGCCTGGACACTCCATAAACGCATCATACTTTGCTTTCTTTCTGGATTTCTCGCATTTATGTAGCAACTCAGACCACTTTTCATGGATCCTTGAGTCTCTCTTACGTTCTTTCCTGCTTTAACACTTGCTGTTAATCATTTCCTGATAAACATTTATTACAAATAATAATTAAAACATTAATGTTTCATGACTCAACACTCGGGAAATGCTCATACAAAGCCTTTGAGTGAGAAGCAAGACTGTCTGAGTCATGCAGGGGTCTCGTCTGACGTAACCTATTTTTAGTATCTGTGCACAATGCTATTAGGGCCATGGCAATAATTTTATTAATATTCGAGTAAACATGTCAATGCAATGCTTCAAGCTCAATGTTTTTTTAAAGTCACCATTTGGTGACCTAAAATTATAAAATGGTCGCCAGACAAAATTGATATTGGTTGCCATTAAAAAAATGATTAAAAAAAAAAAATTGCAACATGTATGCTTGGTGCAATAATTTATGTGAAAGGCATTACCGTTGACCACTTTGATTGCTGGTGCTTCACTTTCACATAATCTCCTAATACTTTTAAGTATTAGGAGATTATGTGAAAGTGTGCCTTAGATTACACCCTGGTTTTCTGCATTGATGGGAAAGAAAACAATTTAACTTTAGAGAGACTTTTTACACTAGCTGATAAAAGAACATTACACTGTAGCACATGACTGCCAAACACAGGTTGCAAAATTTGTGACATTTGTTTTATGGCGACCAAAACAGTCAGAGCTTGGAGCGCTGTAATGACTGTCTGAAAAGACTAGAAACACATGTAGAAGATCTATGTACATCTGATTTTAACCCCTTATATTTTTTTAGTCTTAAGTAATCCTGAAACAAGAAGTATTTATGTTTTTTATGGACAGAAGGAACTGGATGCAAGGTGGAAGGTAAAGATTGAATGGTTCAGAGACAGACATTTTCCCTAGCTCTGGAAAAAAGAACGACTGAAATAAGCCAATTTTTCTCTTTTCAGGTTATTGAAAAACGGAGAACACCTGCTGAAGTAAGTGAAAGATTAATTACATTAATAATGGACTGACTGACCTGTCCCACATTCTACTACAATAAACACACAGAATGAAATGAGCAGAGCGATGCATAAATGAAACGATTAAGGTGATGGGTTTATTGCTTATTTTAGTCAGTTGTCATCATTTCTAAAGAATGCTAGACTGAACAAGTGTCATAATACTGTGGTTAAGCTATTGATGACTCCTTTTCCTATACAAGAGGGGGTATACGTAGTACATCATAAAGTGCTGTGAAAGGTCTCACTTTTTCCTTAAAGGTGCTCTACAGCTTACTGTATTTCTTCTAATAAGGGCACTCCTCCAAATATGCCCCACCCCCTAGGCTAAAATATCAAACCAGTGCCCCTCTCGAATTAACCCCCCCCCCCCCCCCGCATCCCCTATCACTTCCTTAAATATTAGTAGGGTCTACAAGCAGGAAAACCTGTTTCTATTACAACTTAATTTATTAATTTTAAGGCTTCAGCTATTAAACATTTATACCAATACATATGTGTGTAAAATGTAAAATGGGACCCTTTATTACCAACAGGAGAAAAGCTTAATTAGCGCCCCCTTGATTAAGTGCCCTTCTTCTAATAAAAACTTCTCCTTTGAGCTGAAATTTTTAATTTGCACTGAGGTGCTTATTCTTGGAAATAAAGCCCTATACTGTGTTTGAGTTAACTCTTAAGTGCGGGCGAAACCGCTTTCATATGTAGGTGAATGCCTTACACTGTGGGTCATGAAAACTGGATTGAACAACACAGTAAAAAAAACTCATATAATTATTTAATTCAACGATTTTATTTGTAGTTGATTAGATACAATTAGCCTGCAATATTTCTGGAGCAATCAGCAAGGAAAGACGTTTGTATTTTATTCGCCGGCAAAGATACATTGAAACAGTAATGACTGACACAAGTAATGTGGGTATGCAGTCATGCACAAAGTCTTGTTATTCAATCAAATAATCAATCCATGTTCAATGACCAAAGGCCGTTGATATGTGTTACAAAATAATGAAACAGCTTAAATTACCACTGGAGTTTAAATTAAGTGCCAATGTTGGAAAATATCACGAAGCTAAAATCAGTTCTAAAAATTCGAATTTTGGCTAATACCACCCAAACAACCCTTTAGGTGAACTATTTCAAGAAATGATATTAAGAAATCCTCAAGCTCTTTACATTTTGAGAAATGTGGAAAAGTTCAAAAATTCGATAAAAATACATTTTTTTATTCGTGAAATCGCTGCAAATTTCAACAATTTTCAATTAAGCAGTACATGCGCACAAAAGCTCCTATTGACTTGATGTTGCACATGCATTTACCAGTTACCCAAAGCTTTAAGACTTCATAAAAATGTCTTGCAAACTAACTTTTGTAATATGGTTTTGGGCTTTCATTACTTGCACCTTGATTGTGTGCTGTTTTGGCAGTCGAAATAACGCCCAACTTTAACCGTAAAAAGTTGTTCCTAATATGTCTCAAGTTTAAAATATGATTATACTACATGAAAGAGCTGCGATTCTTTTAACTAGACCTGAAGTTTCAGTTCTGATAATTTAAATGCTTGTGAAAAATATAATTTTAAAATATAGAGCGACTTGGGCCACCATAACCGACAAGAACGTGAAATGTAAACAAAGTGAAAATCATGTAAACAAAGGAGAAAATCACACCAAAGTTATTTCAAGCCCACCAAAGTGTAAAGAAATAATGG